GAGACAGAGTCCGAGATCGAGTCTGAGGCCGACTCTAAGATCAAGTTCAAGACTGAGTTCGAGATAGAGTCCAAGATTCGAGATCGGGTTCGAGACTAAGTCCGAAGTCGAGTCTGAGGTCGGGTCTGAGATCAGGTCTGAAGTCGAATACAAGATCGAATCTAAGACCGAGTCTGAGGTTGGGTCCGAGATCGAGTCCGGGACCGAGTCCGAGTCCGAGTCCAAGTACTAATACAGGTCGAAGGCTGAAAGCCCAAAGTGTGTGTCTCCCTTGGGGGAGGGGGGGGTTGTAGGGGTAGTGAGGTCTAAAAAATAATCTTGAAGAAACTTTCTAGTGGTGCTTCCAAATTGATTTGAGGTTGAAATTAGGGCCAAGGGGCCTTGGGTGGGAGTGAACATGGACTTGGGTGGTGCCGAAGGGGCCACCCCAAGAAGTGCTCAAGAGTAGCTCCCACTCCCGGAAGGGAAACCAACTGTGGTGCTCTCAGCTTATATGGTGTGGTGCCCCACTTAAGTATTTTATGGCTCATTAGTCCTCACCCTTCCTAAGGGCTTGGGCCTTCCTTTCGGGATGGGTGTGGGGGAGTAGAGGTACTCATACCGGACTGTTAGGCCACAGTGTTTCCCCTGGTGTCTTGAAACAAGTGTTGCATCCAAAGCTTGGGATTTAAAGGGTACTATGATTAAGTTTTGTTGTACCAAGGGATGTTAAGAACTTGGAAGCTTGGTGTGTTTAGTCGCTTGTGCCTGTGGGGAGTATAACCGAACCTTAAGTTCAATCTAACCCAAGGAGGGGGATTGGGAGAGATTTGGCAATCCATGGATGAATAGCTAACTCTCCATTGTTCGTGTAGTGAGTTGTTGAAACCAAGTAAAACTAAGTAGGAGCTAGTACTATAGGCAAGAGCCTTGGCAAAGGAACTTAACTAAAGCCAATGAATTTTATTATCATATTTGTATTATTTTCTTGCACCTTTATGGTTTTCTTTCAAAGTTGGAGAAATTCTATTCTGATCAAGATTTGGTAGAGCTTTTGGCTTTCCATACAACATTATTATAGATCTTGCCAAGGTTTCTACAATTCTTGTGATTGCTAGCTTGCACGCCCAGCAATCCCAACTAGCAAGAATGTGGCTGCCAATGAGGGCTTTGATGGGGTAAGTTTTCCCCCATTTTTTTTCTTCTTTCTTAGCTCCCATCAAGTACAAGCCAATTGCGAGGGCCGGATGGTTGGCTCTAGGCTGGAGGAGCTCATGATGGCTGGCTATTCAAGCATGGGCATTAGCAATATAGGCAGCAATGAGGGGTAAGCTTTTGCAATTCAGATGATCCATTTATTGTATTTCCCTCAAGGATAAGCCAGTTGTGAGGGCCAGATGGCTGACTCACTTGCCAGCAGCAATTTGGGTGCATGCATCAAGGCCATTGCTGGATTGTCAAAACCTCTATGTCCAGGGCTGCTCAAGAGATTACTATGCCCTACCTGCTTGGCCAGCTTTCTTTAGAAGTTTTGTTTCCCTAGAGAGTTCTTTGTTGCCTGGTGAATGTAATGATTCCATCCTTGTTTGTTTTTCCTGGAGAGGCTCACTCTCACAATGACTCGTAACAAAGCCAAAGCTGGAGTTGCGGGTGTAATTCATGTGCTTGAGTTCTCAAACCATTCCACCTTGATAACTTGCTGAGAAATCAACCTTTGTGTAGCCTTCAAGAAATAAATGCAATGCTATAGATAATGTTCCTGATTCGGCAACAGTTTCGTGACTTTGACAATGAAGAACCTAGAAGTCTATTTGCAAGTGGAAACATCTTCCACAATGGGGATGAAGATGATCCAGATGAAGATGCTTGTAGAACCGATCCAAAGATGAAGATTATCCAAACAAAGATGCTCCTGCTCTCTCTGCTCAGCCTTTTCTCACGTCCAAGACTACAACTGAGCTTCAAACCTGGCTTTTTGGCAGCTGAGCCACCACCACCTTTGCACCAGGTTTTTGTAGCTGATCATGATGCTCCAGATGAGAGTGGTGATGTGGAAATCTGTCATGATAGTGAGACTTCTCAAGACACTACGGTTCCTCCTCCAGTTGAAGAATGGGTCCTGGATGACATGCTCAAACTTGATGATCTGGAAGCAAGAGGGGAATAAAGAGTTACAATGCTGCCAAGAATGCCGAGAAGAATGAGCGGCTTCACTTGCGTTGAGAGGCAATTTCTCCCCAAACCCAATTTCTCAATAAACTTACAGATTTTGAGCGAGAGCAAGTAGTGTCATTATAAAATTGGGACTATACAGCAGTGTGAACGCTTAAAGTTTTGTTGAACTGATCCAAAGATGAAGATTATCTAGACAAAGATTCTCCTGCTCGCTCTACTCAGCCTTCTCTCACATCCCAAACTACAGTCAAGCTTCAAAAGTGGCTTTTTTGCAGCCAAGAGCTAGCAAAAAAAACTGGCAAGTGCAATGGTGGCCTAGGTCTGGCCAAACAGGATCATAACAGGAGCATGCTTCAGAGGAGCTAGAAGTTAGCCATTTAAGACTTGCCAAGAAGGGTATATGGGAGATCAGTGAGAAATCCTACAATCTCCAACTCCTCTTCACTGAAAGAAGTAGAAACCAAAGGATCAGGAAGTGCCCTGAGGGGACAACAGAGTGTGGGAAGAGCAACATGGTCAATATAATTGGTAGGTAAAGTGAGATCTGCCACACAGGCATAAAAGTGCCCACTCACATAAATGGACAAGCCAGGGGAGTTCCAAGGTCCAACAGAAATGTGTGGTGAGCCTCTCTCATCCACCTTCCAATCTGGTGTTTCGAGCTTCTACCACCATTTCTGCTGGACCTCACGATTGTGCTTTACACCTGTGTGGCAGATCTCACCTTACCCACCACTTATATTCACCATGCTGCTCTTCCCAGGCTTGGCTGTCCCCACAAGGCACTTCCTGATCTTCCAGTTTCTGCTTCTTTTGGTGAAGAGGAGTTGAAGATTGTGGGATTTCTCATTGATCTCCCATCCTTCTAGCTCCTCTAGAGCATACTCCTGTTATGATCCTGTTTGGCCAGACTTGGGCCCCCACTGCACTTGCCAGTTTTTTTTGCTAGCTCTTGGCCACAGATAAGCCAATTTTGAAGTTTGGCTGTAGTCTGGGATGAGAGAAGGCTGTAGTCTGGGACGAGAGAAGGCTGAGCAAAGCGAGCAGGAGCATCTTTGTCTGGATAATCTTTATATTTGGATCGGTTCAACAAAACTACACTGCTGTTTAGTCCCAATTTTACAACGACACTACTTGGTTTGCCTCTCGCTCAAACTCTGTAGGTTTATTGAGAAATTGGGTTTGGACAATGTACCAGTGAAGAACCCAGGGAACCCAGGAGTCTATTCGCAAGTGGACACCTATCGCTCTCTCACCTCTCAACGCAAGCGAAGTCCATTCTTCTCGGCATTCTTCTTGGCAGCATTGTAACTCTTTATTCCCTCCTTGCTTCCCCAACCGTCGTGACCTAATGCTGACGTGGCGGAATATGAAATATTTTCTCAGTTCTACAGAGGTGAGTTTGTTAACACCGCAGACGCTTTGGAAGTCGCGAGCTCATATACAGCAGTCGGAGCTTTCGAGCCTGTCGATGCTCCAGCAGCTCACATCTGCCAAAGTTCAGGATACGATCGTGAGAAACTAACATTGCGGCAGTGGCGATAGAGAGACCAAAGTTCCAAGTGTATTCAAGCTTTTTCTTAAGGAAAGAGCATGAGCATCAGAGCAGTAGCTGCGCGAACACGAGGAAGCTCATCACGATTCGATTCCCATTCACAGATACAATTTCTTTCGAGCAACACCGGACCCAGATTATTGAGAGGTGCCAGATAGGCGGGAAGCAGTGGGACAGATGAAGAAGCGCCACTGGCGGATTAAACTCGACATCATGATGGTGCTAACACTATCGTATTGGACAAAAGGTTTATTTCCGAACTTGAAAAGGTTCTAGAAAAATTGCCCTTTGAGTCGAGAAATCGAGACTGGAAAGGCAAGGGCTAATGGCGTCTCCAAAGAAGGGGTGCTGGGGCACAGGGATATCGGGCATTATGCCCGAGGTTGTGGCTCAAATCCTCGCCAGGCTCCCCTTCTCGGCTGTTCTAAGCGCCAGGTGCGTGTGCCGCGTGTGGAGGTCAGTGGTGGACGAGCCCACCTTCCGGAGATGTTACAGGGACAGCGCCTGCCTCTTCCCCGACGCCAATTGCATCCAGGACAGCAGCGGCAAGGCGATGCGTTGGGCGCCCCGGCATTTCGAGGACGTGGAGGAGGACGTTCCCGACTGGCTGTGCGCCGTGTCTCAAGACAAGCGCCTCTTCCTCGCGCGCTCCACACAGGTGAGGCGGCTCTTCGTCGGGAGTCCCTTCGTCAACCGCTGGGAGGAGATCCCCTACCTGCAATTTGGGGACATGTCCAGGGTCCGCCTCATTGCCACTCGTTCTTCGTCCCCTCCCTGGGATTACAAGCTTGTGGTGTGGCGCTCGGATGGCGTGGTTTGGAGCTTCACTCGCGGACAAGCGGAGTGGCACAGTGTGACGGGGGCCTTGCGCAATGGATCGCTGCTGCTGGTGGTGACACAAGACGTTGTTCTCTGTAGAAAGGGTATGGAGGTGGCCTTTTTTGATCTGGCAAGGAAGAGTGTGTCACATAGGCTTTTAATCGACAACCCGCGTGTAGAGTATGTCCTGGCTCCTTGGAGGGGGAAGCTCTATTACTTGGTGCTCAAGAATGTTGGAGGTCTACAGTACGAGATCATAATCTCGGAGTCCTTGTGGAGGCAATTTCTTGAGAGGGATGTGGGCCTGCGCAAGATGGAAAATTGTCAAGACTTGAGTTATATTGGGCAGGCCGGGAACTTCATGAATTTTGCTTGTGTCTCGGGCAACGGTGATAAAGCATCCTTTTCGTTTGATTTAGATAAAGGTACCTGGGATACCAAAGTATATGCATCCCCGCCACCCCTATCAATACACTTGTAAAGCAAGAAATTAAATACCTAGATATAGGTATATTCCTCACTCAACAACGATACGTTACGCCTCAAGGTCCTCTTCCTTGATCTCTTCCACATCAATCACCTCCTCAATCTCAACCTCTTCGTCTTCGTACTCCTGCTCGTCGTCGCTGGGCTCGCCATCACGAAGCTCCTGCCGGTAAGGCTTGTCCGCCTCGTGCATTTGCTTCCACGAAGACAGCCACCCGTTCCACTCCTCAATCAGCTTCCTCCTCTGCTCCAACTCCTGGGTGCTGTGGAACCTCGACGATTCTATGTCCTCTTGGTCATACCTCTTGGAATACTGTTTCAAGTTCCTAAAAATCTCGGCTTCCTCTTCGCTACTAAGGAGAGATGGAGGCCTGGGGCGCCACAAGAACTGTAAGGAAACACAAGCAACCGTCAGTCGGCGGCAGTGGATGGCACTGACAATTTCCAGACCTGGAAGAATCTGTCCCTTGAAACCTTGTATATCAGCTTCCCATGGAAAGACCAGATAATGAAGCCGTTCTCCATTTGGTGCACGGAAGTAACAGAAGTAGCCACATATCTGCAAACGACCAGTGGTAAGGATAAGTTCGTTTCAGAAGAGCTTACCTTCCAGCGGGATCCCAATCCACATCAGTTGCCATGAAATGCTCTGCCGTTGCCATAGTTTCGAGATCATCAACATTGTAGAACTCGAGCTGCCCGTTATACGCCTTGAGACCCGCCAGCACAATGAAGCGCCCCGCAGGCGACCAGTAGAGAGCATTTGCCTGCTTTCCTTTGAGCGTGGCAAGCTTGGTTACACGGTCCACGTTGTTTGGGCTTTTCATCGAGTAGAACGTTACGTCGGGACGAGGACCATCTCCATGAATGATGGCGAATCTGTGGCCCTTTGGTTCCCATGCGAAGGCGATAATCTTGTCGTTTTTGTTCTCAAGCTCCAAGACCTCGATAGGAATGTCTCGTTCTTTGATCCGGAAGAGCTCAAAACCGGTATACGTGCTCTTCTTCGTCTTTGTATACCGGTCAACTTTGACTGCTAGATAGTCTCCGTTGCTTTGCCAGTACATCTTGCAGTCACTGACACTGAAAAGGTTCTTCTGCCTCAGTTCTTCCCTGCCAGGAATTTGAACCAGGCTGACCTGTTGAAGTTGAGAGCAAACCAGGTCACATGTAGAGAAATCAAACACAAATACATACCCTCGCAGGTTGATTGCCACCGTTGCCTTCTGGAACAAAAAGGGCCAGAATTGAATCGGTTGGTGACCAGCTAAAATCTATAACATTGTCAACTTTCAGCGACTTCTTGTCCAGTAAACCCATGGTCTCTGTCTCGTAAACACTTATACAGTGCTTTCCTATACGCGCAAAATACTTGTCATCACGGCCGCCAGACCACCTAGATGTAGGAAGTAGCATTTGAGTCCAAGTTAAGATGGTAATCATCCAGTCAGAACTAACCTGAACACTGGCCAAGACACTCCGGCAACACCTCCAGTCCCACCAGTAGCAAACTCGTCGGCGCTGCCCTTGAATTCTCGGTGCGATTTACCACTTCGTACGTCGAAAACGTTAAGCACTACTTTCTGCAAAATCATAGCAAGTACTCAGACCAGCTCAACACCGGTTGCAACATCGAACTTACTTGTGTTTCGCGGGGATTGCTTGGTTCGTGGCTGCTGTACGTTACGAGGAACTTTTCGGATGGGGAGAAGTCAATTAGCCGCACCTACGTTTGACACGGTGAAGCAAAATGAAGCAAAATGAAGCAAAATTTAAGATCGAAGTTCCGACCTGTTGGTGAATGAATCGAGTGATCCGGCTAAAGTTAGTGCATCCACCCCATATGACAGCACCTTGCCGATGAATTGTTGCGAGATACGTTCCAAGGGGAGACCATTGAACAAAGCTTTCCGTCCAGAACTATTTAAAAGAGAATCAGACCAGATAGAGATAACAGTAGCTCGGCCTACCGATCGATGATATGCCGTCTCGGCCTTCAACAGACGGGCATCGTTCCAGCACACCTCTGTCTCCGTGCCAAATCGTATCACAAATTGATCGCGTCCTTTCTCGTCCATCAGCCATTCGAGAAGATTCTCCTGATGCAAAGCAAATAGTGTTTAAGAAAAGAAAGAAGCACATAAGCAACAAAGTAAGACATACCCCTGGCACGTAGCTCTTGATCTCTGGAGCTACCCACTGCTCGGGAACTTTCATGTACTTGTCAATGTCATCGAACATCCTCACCATAAAGACGTGAGACTTGTCGAGCTTATACCCATCGGCTTGTTCCCGAGCGGTATGGGCCTCCTGCAAAGTAGATTGAGAAACGATAGAAAAACTCCACCACATCTTGCATACCTGGGGACTGGAGTACTCGATGAAAGCAAAGCCCGCCGTTTTGCCAGTCGCTTTGTCTTTCGGCATGAAGAGCGTTCTAATGATTCCCATTTGTCCAAAAATCTTGCGTACCACGTTTTCGAGCTTCTCATACTTGGCAGGCTCCACCACCGGGAGATTGTCTACGACAATTATGCTCCCGAAACCAGACTCGCTCTCCACAATCTCCTCCTCCTCCTCTTCATCCTCACTAGCCACAACCGAGATCCGCTAAGTGGAGCGATTTCGACAAGAAAGCCTACCTCTTGATTCCAAAATCCTCGCCCGGAGGGAGCTGAATCTCATCGAGATTCACCTGCGACCAGTCGATGTTCAAGCCAGGCCTGGGTGGCTGCTGCTGCGGCGACGGCGGCTGTGGATCGTAGCGGTATGGGAGGGCGACCTCCGCCATCGCTGCTGCTCGTAAACCCTAAAAAGCCCTACAAACCCTAGGCGATCGCTACCGTCAAATTTGAGTGGCGTGGATGCGCTTCTGTCCAATTCGTTGGCGTCAACACGGCAAGCCGCCAAATGCACAAAAAGGAGTGAACCCCGCGACCATAAGACGAGCACCAGAGAAGAAAAGGAATTCTCGCCTCGCCCTGGATAAGATCGATTTGCGGCAAGAAGAATGTTTAATCGCTTGAGCTCTAGGCTGCGCAATTCCGGAGCTCACGGCCACAGCAACAAGGTGAGAGGCTGAATTGGGTCGCAGGAATTCACTCGCTTGTTTCTCCTCGCAGAAGAAGATCGATTCACGGCCAGCATCATCGCCCCCTGCTGCTCGCAATGGGAATCGCCCATCATCGCCGGCGAACTGGGACGACACGGAGAGCCTAGACTCGTACAGTGCCTTCCACGCCGAGAGCCTGTTCCCGCTTGATTCCAGCGGCGAGCAGGCGGTGGATCCTCGGGCCTCCACCAACGATCAGTTCCTGGGGAGCCTTTCCTTCAATTCCTCGTCCGATGACAACGATCAGGCCTCCAAGAGAAGCTGGCCGACATCCTCGTCGGTGCCCGAGGAGGAGATCAACGTGGGACCGGCTGTTCTTCCCGAGTACGTCGAGGCCGAGGAGCAATTCCTGGATGATTACGAGGACTACTTCGAGAACCTGTCCCTGGACAATGTGAGGAAGGAGCAGTACTCCAATCTCGACCTCCAGCGCGTGGTACACCTTGACTACGCCAACAATCCACTCTTCTCGAGCTACCAGGTATTTTGCCTTCACACGGCATTTGCTGGAACGCGCATAGCCTGATCTTTGGGATCTCCTCAGGTGGAGGAACACACGCAGTTTCTTCTGGAAGAGGCTCCCTGCTCGGCATCCATTCTCCCATCCAGCTCTCGGCTAAGAAACCGGATAGTCGGCCTCCAGAACAGGATCCTTGGCATGCTCAACGCATCCAAGGACGATTACCCGACGCTCGTCTTGACGGCTGGGGTGTCGGCCAGCTTCCGATTGTTCGCAGAGATCTACCCACTGGACAGGAGCAGCCAGATTCTCGTGTGCCAGGACGCGCACGAGTCCATCCGCCACCTCGTCTCGGCCGCGGCGAGGTCGGGCACCCGAGTTAGCGTTGCCGGGCTGCGATCGACGGACCTCGCCGCTCCCCGGGGCGAGATCCAACGGCTGCTAAACAAGATGGCGTCGAGACTGGTCATCGGCCAAGGCGGCGGCGTCGTCGTCATTCCAGCGCAATCCGGCCTCACCGGCACTCGCTATGGTGTGGATTGGATCAAACAAACGCACGCCAAGGGGTGGCACGCGCTGCTGGATGTCTCGATCGCCCTCCCCGCGGCTGGAGTAGTGGACGTCGCGATCGAGCGGCCCGAATTCGTGGTGGGCTCGCTGCATCACGCGCTGGGGTATCCTCCCGGCGTGGGATTCCTGGCGATCAGGCGGGATGTGGAGGCTCTGGTGATGAAGAAGCTCAAATCCAGGACAAGCCCAGCGTTTGTGGAGGCCGCGGGAGTTCACATTGCTTGCGAGGACGGTGGAATGGTGATCAATGGGCTCACGCTGGCGGCAGTAGCGACGGGATTGGATCATCTGGAATCGATCGGCATGGACAGGATCGGGAAGAGGGTCGAATGCCTGGCAGCGTGGCTGCACGCCAATCTCAAGAGGATCAACCACGTCGGCGAGAACTCGCGGCCCATGATCAAGGTCTACGGCAGCAAGGAGCGCGAGCGAGGGAGCATGGTGGTGTTCAATCTAGTGGATTCCACTGGGAATCTCTTCCCGCCTCACATTGTTCGCAGCCTGGCCGAGAAGCAGAACATCAAGCTCGGGACTTGCGGATTCGCGAATCATCCACTGGTGGCGCCGATTTCCCAGCGATCATCGTCGGCGCATCCACTCGCCACATTCAGGGCCGTGAAAATCTCGCTGGGTACCGTGTCGAATTTCCAGGATGCCTATCGATTCGTCCAGTTCTTGCTGCGATTCAGGGACGAGGAGTACATGTCGGTGGAGGCCATGGGATTCATCGAAGAGTCAGCGTTCAAACAACGTTGAATGGACTAGCCGGTCGTGTAATTTAAAACTCTTTGCCGGAATATTTAGTGAATATTCTGCTATCTCTAGAGAAAAAAGAGTCCCTTCTCTGAAACAGGAGTAGTAAAGAATGGCGATGGCGTCGGCGAGGTCGATCGTTTTCTCCGGGGCGCTTCTCTGCAAATCTCTCCCTGCTGTCACTGCCAGGCTCAGCATTGCTGCGGCGCCTCATCGGCGGCTCTCATCATCGGGTTTGTCGCTCCGTGCGGTGAGTGTTTGCCTCCTCTCTTTCTCGATGTCGATGGATCGTGTTTGCAACCGATCAGGCCTGCTCGCGGAGGATCAGAACTTTTGCCATGTCTGGGAGTGGAGCCGCCGCCGTGGAATCGTCCCAGAGGATCGCGTCTCAGCTCGATCAGCTAGTGGGAGCGAGGGAAGCGATCAAGGAAGTGATCACGAAAATGCATTGCAATCCTATACTAGTAAGTAACAAAAAACTGTTTTCTTTTTTTTTCAACGATCAAACCTTGTGAGCTCTTTCGAATCGACAGATTAGATTGGGATGGCACGACGCTGGAACGTATGACAAGAACATCAGCGAGTGGCCCAAGTGTGGTGGTGCCAATGGAAGCCTGCGCTTCTCTATCGAGTTGGAACATGGAGCGAATGCTGGTAACTTTTAGCAACTTGCGAAAAGCTTGTAACGATCCCTTCGAACTTACGGCAGGACTCATAAATGCTCTCAAGCTGCTTAATCCCGTGAAGGAGAAATTCACCGCAGTAAGCTATGCCGATCTTTTCCAGCTTGCAAGCGCCACCGCCATAGAGGTAAACTTATCAAGAAAGAACAAAGAAGCTGGCCTAAACTTCTAAAGGTGATGGAATCAGATGGCTGGAGGACCCCGGATTCCAATGCGATATGGAAGAGTTGATACCGTAGGCCCAGAGCAATGCCCGAAGGAGGGTAACCTTCCAAGTAAGAATGAGTTTTCCAAGCGCTAGCCAACTTGGACTTCGACAAATGGTGTCCGTTCCTCTGACGCCTGGAATTAATTTTTTTTCCAGGTGCCGGACCCCCAAATCCTTCCGAGCACCTTCGCAAAGTGTTTCACAGGATGGGACTGGATGACAAGGTGCGCTTTCCGCTTTGAAGAATTTTCCTGGCTTGAGCAGACTTTTACTCATCGCCTTGATATACCAAGGACATTGTTGCCCTGTCAGGTGCTCATACCTTGGGACGATCTAGACCAGAACGGAGTGGCTGGGGAAAAAAGGAAACGAAATACACGGTAACGAAAGTGGTTCTTTCAGCATCTTCGATGACATTTTGATGCTTGAGAACATGATAGAAAGACGGACCTGGAGCTCCAGGAGGCCAGTCCTGGACTGTGGAATGGCTGAAATTTGACAATTCATATTTCAAGGTAGACTTTATTTCAAGGCCGGCAAAAGAAAATTTGGATAGTAGTGAACGCTGGTCGTATCGTATGCAGGATATCAAGGAGAAAAGAGACGAAGATCTTCTCGTCTTGCCAACGGACGCAGTCCTTTTCGAAGATCCAGGATTCAAGGTAAAGAATAGACCAACTTAAGAAAATTAGAAAAACTTATCTCAATGTGTATCTCCAGGAGCATGCCGAGCTCTACGCCAAGGATCAGGATGCGTTCTTCAAGGACTATGCTCAAGCGCATGCCAAGCTGAGTGAACTGGGAGCCAAATTCGATCCACCTCAAGTTTGTAGCTCTTGTTCTCCTCCTTGTTGGCTGACTGATGTGGTTGCAGGGAATCCGGATCGACGAGAGCACAAGTTAGGCATAACCAGTACAGTTTTTGCGAAAAGAGTAAAAGAATAATACCCGTGATCAAGTGTGATCGTGGGCGAAGTTGAAGTTTGATTCGCAATTGAAGACGTGCACTAGTGTTGACAACGATCGCAGAAAAGGCATCTTTCCGGACAATAATCTCCAAAGATGCAAGCTGAGATGAGATTACTGGAGAAGAGTCGGATTTTTCACAAGCTCGTGCTCTCACTGTTGGAAAGCGCTGTTTTGGCGGCCAGTCCAAGCCCGCAAGTGTCTATAAAGCGTACGCGTATCGATCGTGATGTTCACAAAGATCTAAAACAGTCGAGACAAGATTTTTTATTCGAGCTCCACGAGCAGCCCAGGTGCTGAGTTCTTGCTTGGCTACCCAGCATTCGCGAGAGAAAAGGGCCACACCTTTCTACTGTTTTTGTAATAACAATAGTTTTGTTCATCCAGATCAAATCAAACTTAAGAATAGAACGAAGGAATTGTCAAACATCCGGCTCATCTCTCCCTTCCAGCACGAGTCTCATGGCGTAAAGATACGCAGGACTTCCAGCCATCACCACTTTGGTCTTGGACTCGGGCAAGTACTCGACGTTTATCATGTTGCGAGAAGCCATGGCACGGAGCTGAGAGCTCCCCTCGCTCACATCCTTGCCAAACACCTTGTCCAGAACAACAGACCACTCCACGCTCCCTCCATTCTCCACGAGCAGCTCCGCCACCCTTCGGTACTTGTCCCCCTCCCACCTAGATGATCACCATCAAAAACACAAATGATTAGATCCAAGCACTTCTTAGAAACAAGATATCTATCACTTACTCGCCATCCCTGCCTTCCAGTCCGGTGTGTACGCCCCCAACCACGGAGCCAACTATTGCGCTAAGATTCGGGTATGGGGAGACGCAAAATCCAAGCAACCTGGGGCAGCCACCACAAATGGGGTATATCTCGCGCCATTCCTCGTCACTAACTAGATCTCTCCTCGACCACCACCGCTGCCACCACGATCTCCTGTCCTCCGCTGCCCTTCGCTTACGAAGAAACGCCCTAGCGGCCTTCTCGCTGAAGTATCCCAAGTGAAAGGGAAGAACTTGGTCTTGCCAATCCTCCCGCAAAGAGTCGTCTAGACTCGCCAGGATCACCACTCCTCTCCTCTCCCGTGCAATCTTCGCAAGGACTTCTATCAGTGCCCGTGGCTGCGGAAAGATCTCGGGGATCCTTTCAGCCTGGTCGATGATAAACACTGGCTGGAGTTGATGCTCACTAGCTAGTATCTCCTCTATCACCTCTAGGATTGTCAAGTCTTTGGACTCTTCCATGAGAAAATTGTCGTTACCTTGGATCCACTCGAGAACATCCGTCATTCTGAAACAAGTGAGATCGAGGTGGTAGACGGGGATCGTTCTGCCATACTTGGAAGCCATGACTGCCCGAAGCTCCCGCAGAAGAGCCGTCTTGCCGGAGAGCTCCGGCCCCTGCAGAAGCACAATCTTATCTATGCGCCGTTCCACGTAGCCTAGCAAGTCGCGCAGCTCCCTCTCCCTGCCCACGAGTTGCTTCATTGCCCTACGGAAAAGGAATTAGGGTTCTTCGGGACTTTATACGGTATACAAATGACAAACGGACGGTCAGGATTTCCTGGCGGAGACTGCTAGACAAAGCGAAGGAAGTTTTACTGAAGGAGAGAATCGATGAAATCGATGAACTGCGGGGGTGAAGAGCTCCGTCAGTGTGGAGTGCCCACGCTGGTATCCGAAGAGAAAGTTAATGGACACTATAGACTTTTTATAAGCTGTTATAAAATTCACCTTATTGAGACCATGGGAATAATTTATAAATTATAGATTCTGGAACAAGAGGTTAAAAATTCTCCCCCTTGAAAAATTTCCTCTAGGTGGACCCTGTCATAGCACTTACGAAAGATTGAGAAAGTTTGCTCCCAGGGGGGCCATATGCCAGAGATCACGGCACGATCTCAGAACTTTCAACTGGGAGTAAAATTCGATCGAAACTCATTGCAGGAACTCCGGATTGACGAGAGCACAGGTAAACCAAGTTTGTCTTGAAGCAAAGCAAAAGACCAAAACCAATACGTGTGAGCTGCAAGTGTCCCGTGATCGTGGACGCGATCAACTCGAAGCTTGATTGGCGATTGAAGACGTGCACTTTGACATGACAGTGCCGACAACGAATGCAAAAGCGGCAAGCCCAACGAATTCCCGGAAATCTCGACCGACCAGAAAAAGATTGATTGCCTGGACACAAAACATTACTCGTCGACCATTTGCGGCGGCAAGCCGGGTCTCAAGAGGAGATATAATGCAGGACCAACGAGTGGAATGATGGACACTGGAATCAGCCATGAGTTATTGGACCTGGAAAAGCACCAATGAAGATGAAGATCCTATCAGTGATCACAAGCTCGACTCGACTCGAGTTACCTCCGAAACGTGATATCGTTGAACACCCAGAAGACCACGAGCAGATTAAGCAAGACAAAGTCGATGCTCATCACGTGAATCTGCACAAAAAACCGGTGATCCAAGTCACGCCAAACTCGGCAACTTGAAATCCTTACAAATCGGCTCTCTCGGAAAAATCCGAAGTACTGACTCCAGCTCTCACTGTTGGAAAGCGCTGCTTTCGCGGCCAGTCCAAGCGCGCAAGCGGCTACAAACTGGATACACATCGATCGAGAAGGAAAAAAAAAAATCAAAATCACACTTGAGGAAGAAATCGAGACAAACTTACAAAAGACAAGATTTTTGATTCCAGCACCACGAGAGGCCAGGTGCTGAGCTCTTGCTTGGTTACGCGGGGTGGCGGTGGATTCCACAGCCCAAAGTACGGCAACAAGGCAAAAACCCCCGTGAAGAAAGAAACGAGAGAAAACGGCCACACAGGAACGCCACCTTTCGCACTGGAAGTAGAAAAGTTTCGTGAGCTTTGTTCTTCCAAATCGAAACTTCAAGTACCTACCTTCTTCCAGTGGGGATGAGAAGCATCGCATAGATGAGTGGAAGAAGGCCCATGCTAAACCAGACCGTGACAAGCACCGGGTTGATCGAGAAACCTTCGTCGCCTCGCAAGAGCAGCAGCTTCTCCACGAACAATTGATCCCTGTACTGAATGGAATTGGTGGTGGAAACCATCGAGAAGGGAAGGAAAACTCCAATCCTCTAAGCTATCCTCTTACCGGCGTTTGATTTGGAGCCATGGTGAAAGCGTACCCAATCAATCCCGCCCATAGAACATACACTGGCGCATTGAACAGCCAGCTCAATCCACCCCCGCCGCCATCGCCGGAATCTCCATTGCCATCGCCAATGCCGCCACTGACTCCTCCGGATTCATCAGCAGCGAGCGCGTCCTCTTCTTCTTTCTCAGCTTCTTTCGTGTCTGTGGTGGCGCACAGCCGCAGCACCAGGCGGCGATGCTGCGGTTGCAATTGCGACCGACATCGCACTGGCACCACGACGACATTGCGATTGCTCCTCAGCCGCGGCAGACTGCCGGGCCTGGAGGGAAGAGGGGACGCTGCGAGGGCAAACGCCATAGCCAAGCTTCTTGAGAATTGCCAGTCCCGGGAATCGAACGCGTCCCCGCTAGCTAGAAGGTTTGACCCGGTAGTAATTCGAAAGATATTCCCCCTTTCCTAAAGATGAGGGAAGGGCACTTTGGCATTTAGACAGATGGACCAATGCACCATACAAAAAAATTGGCAAATGCAATCACATCGTAAGAGCGTACTTTGTCGTAATGGTGACAGCGACATTGGACCCATCCTCCTCATCCAAAATTCGTTCTCTCTCATGCAAACAAAGAGAGAGAGAGGAGAGATTTGCGAGTGGGAGAGGAATCGATCCCGAGATGCATGGCGGCAGCTCTAACGTCGGGCGTAGCCGGCGAGACTCGAACCCCCGACCGGCCAACGCAGCCAGCCAACCTACCTCTGCTACGCTGCAGAGAGGAGGACGCGAGAAAGAAAAGGAGAGAGAGAGAAAGAGAGAGGCGGAGGAGAGCGTTCTTCTTGTTTCTCTCTTTCAATCCTCCTCCCTCGCCTCCCAGCTCCCGGCGCGGAGAGATCGATCGAGAATGCCGCCGGAAGCTCCATCCCTGGCTATGGCGATGCCCGAGCTCGAGCAAGAGGCGCGGCTGCTGCATGGAGGGGGCGGCTGCGGCGGGGGCGATGGGCAAGGTAAGCAGCAGTGGAAGAAGCAGCAGGGATGGAGGCGGCGGATCTTTGTCCAGACGGACAACGGCAGCGTGCTGGGGATGGAGGTCCACCGCAGCGACAAGGTCCAGTCGATCAAGAAGAAGATCCAGGCGGTGCTGCGCATCTCCACGGAGAACAGCGATCTTTCTTTCGGGGATCACGTCCTCGAGGACGACGTGAGCGAGCTGCGCTGCGACTCGCCCGTGCTGCTGGCGCGCAGCAGCACCATCCACCGGAGCTTCTCCACGCCGTGCCTCTGCCCGTCCAAGAAAGAGAGCAATGCGGCAATCTTTCTCGGGGGGGAGGAGGAGGAGGAGGACAGCCGCGGCCCGTTCGAGATCGTGGGCGGATGGAGCTGCTGCGCCAGGATCAAGCGCCTCATCCAGGAGAGCTGTGCCGGGATCGAGCGTGGCGTGGAGCCGCTCCCAGCGCAGGGAGGACTGGGAGGAGCCTACTACTTCCGAGATCGCCACGGCAAGAAGATCGCCATCGTCAAGCCAGCGGACGAGGAGCCACTGGCGCCCAACAATCCGCGAGGATTCGTGGGCCGCCGCCTCGGACAGGCCGGGCTCAGTCGATCCATCCGCGTCGGCGAGACTGGCATTCGCGAGGTGGCCGCGTATCTCCTGGATCACGGCCACTTCGCCCAGGTGCCGGCCACTGTTCTTGTCAAGGCCGTGCATCCCATCTTCCACATCAACTCGGCGTGGAGTCGGTCCGGGAGCAAGCCCGCCAAGATTGGATCGTTCCAGGAGTTCGTGGAGCACGACTACGAGGCCAGCGAATGCGGCTGCTCGCGCTTCCCGGCCTCGGCAGTCCACCGCGTGGGAATCCTCGACGTCCGGCTCTTCAACACGGATCGCCATGCCGGGAACATCCTCGTCCGCCACAACACCACCACCGCCGCCACCACCAACATGTGTAACTCGGTGGAGCTCATCCCCATCGATCACGGCCTGTGCCTCCCGGAGAGCATCGAAGATCCATACTTTGAGTGGCTGCATTGGCCGCAGGCTTCCTTCCCGTTCTCCGAGGAGGAGCTCGACTACATCCGGGTGTTGGATCCGGCCAAGGACGCGGACATGCTGAGGAAGCAGCTCCCCATGCTCAAGGAAGCGTGCATCCGGATGATGATCCTGTGCACGAGCTTCCTGAAGCGAGCGGCCGAGGCCGGGCTGTGCCTGGCGGAAGTCGGGTCGATGATGAGCAGGGAGCTGGACGACAGTGGCGAGACGTGCAGCAGCGAGCTGGAGAAGATGTGTACAGTGGCCAGAGATCAGGCGGCACAGGAGTCAGCGCTAGCCGGATCGCAATTGGTGACGGACGAGTCCGAGAACGAGAAGGGTGGCGGACATGAAGAAGATGACGACGACGAGGAACAGGTGTTTGAGATCGACATGGACGAGCAGCAGCAGCAGCAGCAGCAGCAACAGCAGCTAATCTCTCCATCGCGAGCTGCTAGCGACGCGAAGAGCTCGCCACGAACTTCGCCGGTGAAGAAGCAGCTCTTCCGGTCGGTGTCCGAGATGCAGCCAGTCAGAGAGGAGGAGGAGGAGGAGGAGGAGGAGGACGGTGATGACGACGACGAAGGGGATGACGATGACGATCTCGATCTCGGCCTGGATCGATCCAGAGGCTGCTGCTCCAGCTGCGTCACCACACCCAGCAGCAGCATCGGTCGGATGAACTCTAAAAAGAAGAAAGCCAAGAAGAAGCGAGCCTCCTCCAAGGGGTTTGCATCGGCGTCCGCGCACAAGCGCAGCACTGCCCGGCCGGCGGAGACGTCCTTGGCCCTGTCGAGCCTGTGCGACAGGGAATGGAACGCTTTCATGCGATGCTTCCACGGCGTTTGTGGCCAAGTTTTGGAGCGACACAACGCGGAGAAGGGGAGCGCGATGATCCGGCTACAGCAGATGAGACTGGGAACTTCGTGCCAGTTCTAGGTAGAAGGCTATAGGCAGCTAGCTCGCTCGCTTGGCCTGGAAAAGGGGCGCTATCTTTTGTTACAGAGACAAAGGAGTGGCTTGTACAATTTTGTAAATGAAGAAGCAGTCAGTTAGAGCCGTTAGATCAGGATCGGATGGCCCGGATCTCCTCCTCTGGTTTCGTGACAACGATGACCATGACAGGATATGCGATACTTTAACAGGAAGATCTTTTTGACAGGCGTTGCGCGGCGGCCAAGGATTCGCCGGCTCCTTTGCCAATCTCGTATGGCAAGTGCCCTCAACATTGCCCAGGGCTTGTTTGCTACAATCCGCGAGCCCAATGTTAACGCACTGGCCACCTTTATAGAGCGGGCGTTTGTATGCTTCTTAGGGTTTGTCTTTAAACATCATTGCAATGAAATTTAGTGTTGGAGTTGGAATCAGCTGGTATATGCAGAAGAATATACTCCAGTGGCCGGCAAGGTGGTGCCAACAATTGGGCCCTTTCTTACCAGGGGACGCGACAGACTGATTTCGCAATTCTAGCTGTGTTTCCTGGCCTTTTAAAGCCTTTACATGATCCCTGCAATTCCAACCAGATCTCACATAGTGTTTTGTGTTTCTAGTGGCGATTATTGTCCTGATTGCACAGGCAACGCCGAGTCTAGATCAAGTGAGTAAACCGCCTAAACGTCGCCAGTAGCGCTTCTTGCCCTCAAGGTGCCGAGGGCGTGTTTTCTGCATGTCTCCAGACATTTGCGAAGTATAATCGAATGCCCGTGCGAGACGTGGTCTCTTGAAACGCTATCGTTGCAGCAGCTGCCCAATAGGGGCATTTGTGTTCTTAAGAGCGGGTTGACACCGAAATGGAACTTGGTGTCGTGTCACAAATGATCTCTGCCAACGCATCAAGTAGTAAAGCTGCGATCTCTGTGTTTTGATTCGGTGTTGGAACGGAAAATCGTATTGTGGAATGGGACTATTCAAGCATACGTCCGCAACGGGCTCGTGCACAAGGCTAGAAGATCCCAGTTTGGACTGCCTGAGAGGCGAAAGATCATAGATGCAATGCCTGGCGCTAGAGACTTGTTTGACACGATTTTTTTATGGCGCCGTGATCCGGCTAGAACAGATGAGAATTCGAGCGTGAGAATCCTCGTTACTGGTGTTATCGGACTACCATTTCTGAGATCTTTTAATACGAAGTTTTCGGTGACAAAATCTCTTCGAAGTTCTAACTCAAGTTAGAGCTCGTCGTTCGTAGGTTCTGCGATATAGAGAGTCTACTCGAGCCAAGTAGAATGCTCCCGGCCTAACAGGTGCCAAATCGCCCAATGGGACGAAGTCTTTGGAACCATATCGACTCTCCATTAGCTTCATCGTCTCCACAAACTTTTCTGGAGAAACCTGCCGTGCAAAACATAGATTACAATTTATATGTGATAAGAACGAAGAAAGACAGCGTACCGCAACACAAGAATCGAGTTTCTCTGAGATTGCCATTGTCTTGGCCACGTTCTCCAAGCTGTGAACACCTTCCACTCTTCTGACGCGGATGGAAAAGAGAGACGATGCCAGCCCGCTTCCATACGAGAACATGAGAATGCTTTGGCCATCGTCGAGTAAGCTGGCCTTGTTGTGGACCAGGGAAGCTAGGCCAGCATACAGTGATGCGCAATACATATTGCCGACTCGTCTCGGAATCAGCGTCGAAGGGGAAACCTTTGCATCATATCCAGGCTCCGCTACAGCTTTCATGACCTGTAAGAGATATTCGGCCTGTGAGAAAAAACTCCACAGATTTGTAATTCACCTCTTTGAGACTTGCATTGCTGACGATGTCGTCTGCCGTCAATCCTTGAAACGGTTTGAGTTTTTCTCCATCTTCTCCCAGAGAACTGTACACAAGGTCCTACGGTGAATACGCCATAGTCAAGAACAAGGTTTTGTAAAGAGATACCTGCAGTCCCGCTGGTAGTCATTCCACAGCAGCCGCTCAAAACTTCTCCGAACGAGCTGGAATAGACTAAATGAATACATCGGAAATCGCCAAAGGATCCAAACCTTGTTAAAAGGTGCATGGAAGACTAGAAAGTGTGCTTCCTGGACAGTGAACGGTCTCGCCTCCATGCTCTCGTATCTGCATCCATATTTAAGAAGCATGCGCTTTAACGAAACACGATTCACACCTTTCGCAGTATCTCTTGTAGCACACATCTAGTGCCTTGAGGTAGCACTTTTGGGATAGTTTGGAGTCAACCACCTGGACGACAGCACAATTCCAAGTGAGAAAAGAAAAAGAAAAACAACGGAGACGTAGCAATGTACCGGATATTCACTGCTTAAGTCAGGCTTGTAGAAATCATAGACGTGAGCCATGTACGTTCCGGTATAGCTTCGATCAAGAACAAGCGGCGCGTTCGGTCCTACAAGCATGGCAACTGCACCAGCACCGCCGCTGGGACGAGCAGCGCCTTCAGCATAAACCTGCAATTGACATGCAGGTCACCGGTTTAGCTCCATGATCGAAAACTTACCGCAATGTCTGCGGCTACAACGATCGCAAGCCTTCCGTCCCATGAGCGACTTTCGATCCAGTTGACACAGTTGAAGAGCGCTGCGGTTCCTCCATAGCAAGCATTGGTGGAGTCAACGCCTTCAATGCCACTGTTCTCCTGTCCAGGTTTTTAACCAACGTTACATAGACCAAAGACGAATGACGATCTCAGTCTCATCTCACCTCGAACAAAGGCATGAGGTAGCTTTTGATGGACTTGCTCTTGTCAATCACGGTCTCGCTTCCAACCTCGAGCCGTCCAATGCTTGAAGGAGATATGTTATAATTCTCCAAGAGCGATTTGACCACTGTCAAGCTATCAAACAAACTTAGAACGAGAATTCTAGTGAAGAGGCTTGCGTTCCCTGAGAGAACTTGTGCGATCGTAGCACCTCATGGAGATCACATCTTCGGTGTCCTCGCAGAAAGCCAGGCGCTCCTGTCCCAAGCCTTCGGTGTAGTACTTTGGCGGCACTTTGTCAAACTTCGCCAAGTCTACCTGAAAAGCGATCGCTCGATCGATCGTCAATCATGGATCATGGATCGACATGAAAGATCACAGTACCTGGTTGACGCACACGCCCGGAAAGTAGACCTCCATTGCGAGAATTCCCACGTCTTTCGCCATCGCCACTGACCACGAACCCTAGGGCCCCTTTTCAAATTATGGCCTTTATTCCCGCGCACACGGTGTGTTGATCGCGCCATGGGTCTGCGACGTCCCACGGCACACCTGTAGCCGCGCCCATGGCCCGGGAAGGATATGAGCCTAGCTTTGTTGCAGCGGAAGCAACAGCAAGATCTTTTTGCCAGGAGCCTCAAGCATTGCGCGGCGGCCAAGGATTTGGCAGAGGGAAAGCGCATCCACGCTCAGATCCAAGCCAGCGATCACGCCCACAACACTTTCCTCCGCAATCTCCTCGTCCAGATGTATGGAAAATGCGGCCGCCCTCAAGATGCCGAGGCCGTGTTTGCAGCGACCCAGGAGCCCAATGTCTTCTCCTGGAATATCATGATCCAGGCCTACGCCGACAATGGCGCCGTCCAGTATGTGCAGAAGATTTTCGATCGGATGCCCGTGCGAGACGTGGTTTCTTGGAATGCCATCATCGCAGCAGTTGCCCAAGGTGGGCATTTGGGATTTTGTGAAAGAGCTTTCTTTCTGACACCTCAGTGGAATTTGGTGTCGTGCAATGCTATGATATCTGCGTATGCATCGAATGGCGAAGTTGATACTTCAAAGAGAATGTTTGATTCTTCGTTGGAGAGGAATATTGTGTCGTGGAACGGGATGATACAAGCATTTGCCCAGAACGGGCTTGTGCACAACGCTCGCGAAGTGTTTGAGAAGATCCCAGTTTGGAGCCCGATTGCAAGCACGACTATGATGACTGCTTACGTTCACAGCGAGCATTACGACAAGGCCAAAGAGATCTTCGATGTAATGCCTGATCGAAGCGTGGTGTCGTGGAATGTCTTGCTGGCCGCTCACGCTTTCAAGGGCGATCCCGAGGGAGCAAAGGCCGGGTTCGACAGCATGCCCTGCCGGACCGAGGTCTCGTGGGGAACGATGATAGCGGCCTTTGCGAACGATGGCTGCGTCGAGGGCGCCGAGAGTTTCTTTCTCAAGATCCCCTACCGGGACGTTGTGTCGTGGAACGCCATGATCCAGGCCTACGCGCAGAATGGGATGATCGACGAAGCCGAGAGCCTGTTCCACCAAGCGCCAGTGAAAGATCTATCCTCGTGGAATGGAATGATCGCAGCGTACGCTCACACTGGCACCATGGTGAGAGAGGCCGAGAGCCTCTTCTTCGAGAGGATGGCCAAGCGCGACCTCTTGTCTTGGAACGCGATGATGCAAGCTTACGTCGAAGCCGGGCAGACCGACGAGGCCAAGACGCTATACGATCGAATGCCGGCTATGAACCTGGTGACGCTGAATTCTCTCCTCGCAGCAGATGCCAAGAATATCAGCAGCGATGGCCAAGAGCACCACGAAGCCCACTGCAAGAGCTTGTTCGATTCGATGCCTCACAGGGACGTGGTGTCGTGGACGTGCATGATGCAAGCTCACGCCGAGGCCGGTCACGCGGATCAAGCGGAGCTCATGTTCCAGCGGATGCCACAGCACAGGGTGGCGACTTGGAACGCGCTCTTCAATGCGTTGGTGAGGAGATCCGACACTGCAAGAGCCAGGCAAGTTTTTGATTCCATGCCCGAGCGCGGGAGAAGCCACTGGACGTGGCTGCTCCACTCCTTGTCCCAGTCCGGAGAGCTCGCCGAGACGAAGCTCGTGTTTGATCGATTGCCCAGCAACGCGCTTCTGTCTTGGAACACGATGATCTCCGCTTACGCTCGGTTTGAATGCCCCCAGCAAGCTAAGGAGCTCTTTGATGCCGCCGAGGAGCGAGATGGTGTCTCCTGGACTGCGCTAATTGCAGCGCTCTCACAGAACGATCGGCTCCAGGAGGCCGAGGCTGGATTCCAGCGAATGCCCGAGTGGAGCACCGTGACGGTCACGGTGGTGATTGTAGGCAATGCCCAGCATGGGCATTTGGATCGAGCTCGAGCTCTCTTTGAGGAGATGCCGGAGAGGAGTGTGATAACGTGGACGGCCATTGTTTCCGTGTATGCCCAAAAGGGGTATATGGACGAGGCGAGGAGTCTCTTCGAGGAGATGCCCGAGAGGAATGCCGTGTCGTGGAACGCGATGATCAAGGCCTACGACTCGAATGGATTCCACACCGAGGCTCTGGATGCGTTCCAGACGATGAACTTGGAGGGCGCTCCACCCGACGAGATCACGCTGATGACGGTCTTGTCCGCTTGTAGTCATGTCGGATCGATGAGCCGAGCTCGCCAGGTTTTCGTGTCGATGGTGGATGACTTTCGAGTGGCTCCGTCCAAGGAACACTATTCCTGCGTGATCGATATGCTTGGACGAGCCGGCAAGATGGAGCTGGCCGAGGAGATAGTGACGAGCATGCCCATCTCCCCGAGCACTATAGCATGGGGAGCTCTCTTGGGGGCTTGCCGGATCCACCAGGACATGGAGAGGGCGAGATTTGCCGCTGGCCGCGCCATGGAGATAGATTCCAGTAACCCATCTCACTATTTGCTGCTCTCGACGATCTCCAGCCAATGTGGCTAGTGAGCGATCGATCACGGAGGAAGGAGTGATTCATGCTACGATGGCTCGCGGCTGAGACAGCGACCAAGAAGGAATGGATGTGCATGGTGGGAGCTGTGAGATCATGCACGCGAACCAGGGATATCGCCGAGGGAAGACGAATTCACGAGCAAATTCTGGCCAGCCGGTTTGCGCAGGACAAGCAGCTGAGCAATCTCCTTCTCCACATGTACGGGCGATGCGGCAGTGTGGACGATGCACGCTCGCTCTTCCAGCAACTAGACAATCCAAGCGTCTGTGCATGGAATACGATGATCCACCTCCTTGCACAGAATAGACATCTGGGCGAAGCGCTCGCGAGCTTCCAGGGTATGCCGGAGAGGGACGTTATCTCATGGAATACTATGGTTACCGCATTTCACCAATATGGGCATTTGGAGAAAGCTACAGAAATCTTTCACAAGACCCCGCAATGGGATCTAAGCGCCTGGAACTGCCTTGTGTCGGCGAAAGCTAACGCTGGCCTCGTAGAGGAGGCTTCGTGGCTCTTCCAAGTCATGCCCGAGAGGAACATCCAGTCGTGGAATGTGATCATGCACGGGCTTGCCCAGTTTGGGCATCTTAACGAGGCCAGCGTGGCGTTCCACCTGGCGCCCGAGTGGGACGTGGTCTCGTGGACGTCCCTCCTGGCGGCGTACGTGGAGGAGGACCGGCTTGATGAGGCGAAGGCCATGTTTGACGCCATGCCGCAGCGAAATGTGGTGACGTGGAACGCGCTCATCCACGGCTATGCCGTCAACGGTCAATACGAGCGGTCAATGGGGGTCGCGTGGCGGATGCCCCAGCGGGACTGGCGTACGTGGCAGGTGATGATACAGGCCTACGGCGAGTGCGGGGACGTGAGACGGGCGGAGCTGGCGTTTGCGTCTGCCCGGCAGGAGCGATCGCTCACAAACGCCATGTTCCACGCGTATGCCCTGAACGGGCATCTTGACAAGGCCAAGACGGCGTTTGACAGCATGGCCTACAAAGACGTGGTGGCGTGGACCGCAATGCTGACGGCGTATGCCCAAAAGGGGCATACCCCGGACATGAAGCTCGTGTTTGACGAGATGCCAGAGAAGAACATCGTCTCGTGGAATGCGGTGGTGGCCGCGTATACCCAGAACGAGGAGCTGGAGCTGGGAATCCAGGCCTTTTCAAGAATCCCTAAGTGGAGCGTCCCTTCGTGCAACGTGATCTTACAAGCGTACGCCGAGCGCAGGCAACTGAGCGAGGCAGTGGACACATTCCACGGAATGCCTGAGCGGGATGTGGTGTCGTGGACGGCGCTGCTCATGATCTACGCCCAGAGCAAGCTCCTGGAAGAGGCCAAGAGAACGTTCCTGCTCATGCCGTGGAGGACCGTCATCTCGTGGACGGGCATGGTGTCGGCGTATGCCCACCACGGGATCCTGTCCGAGGCGAGGCAAGCGTTCGAGGCCATGCCGTGGAAGAACCTCGTGTCGTGGAACGTCGTCCTCGAGGCGTATGCCCGGAACGTCTGGGGCTGCAGAGAGGCGCTGGCGCTCTTCCACGCCATGAATCTTGAGGGCATGGTTCCGGACGAGGCGAGCTTCACGTCCATCTTGGCCGCGTGTGCTCACATCGGAGTTGTGTCCGAGGCCTGCGGCTACTTGCGACTGATGAACGAGTACTCGGACCTCCGCCCCGCGAGGGGACACTACAATTGCATCGTGGATCTGCTGGGCCGGACGGGGGAACTGGCGGCGGCGGAGGAGGTGATCGCCGCCATGCCGGTGCCTCCCGATGCGGTCTCATGGAGGAGCTTGCTGGGAGCTTGCAGGAACCACGGTGACAGCGATCGCGGCGGCCGCGCGGCGGCGCGTGTGGTGGAGCTCGACGACGAGGACACCGCGGTGTATTCGCTGCTGTCCGAGTTGATCTGGCAGGGAGATCGAGAGGGAGAGAAGCTCGGGCTTGATCGCGACCGAGAAATCACCGGCATCATGTTCCTGGTAACGTAGCGATGGATCGGATCACTTTCTCTCTTTGACAATCAAGAACAGAGTTATCTTCGCGGGGTTTATTTGAAGTTTGAAAATATTCGAGGGCGAAACGTGGAAGACCGTGTCAAAGTCGCTGCTTAGACTGAGCTGGCCATGTTATGTGAAGTAAAATCTGGCAGAGCTCCTCTCGTTTGTTTGTTTCTTCTTGTACGTCCAAAACAATTTCTCATGGCATCGCATCGCATGATCGCATCCAGGCCGGGGTCTGACCACCACCCACATTATTTACGCTCATGCGTACGCCACCATTGGACAAACACCAGCATGGCACAGCATTTGATATTCTTTCTCTTCAAATCTCTTCCTCCGAAACGCGAATGATTTGACCGAAGGCCAAGGTCACCAACTTGAAGGAGTTGCGCCACCTTTTCCCCGGTCAAGTCTGGCTTCCCTAACCCGTGTGATCGACTTGTCCACAAGGCAAGCATTTCTTTGCTGGTGGAGGGAATCGATCGTTGGACCGAGAGCAAAAGCGAAGCCCAGGAGCAGTCAGTCACCTTTTTTATACGCATATTTACACAGGTGTATATTGTATTGTATTGTATATGGCTACAGGGGGGTGTATGCAGCGTGTCAACGTCGGTCCCCTGGCCTGACAAAACAAGATCACTGCTGTGTGCCTTGTTTGCGCTTGTTTGCTTTTTGGTGTTTGGATGGAGATGGAGGTGGCCGGGGGGATTTTCCCTGAGCAAACCTCGCCGCTAATTCCTTCCACCCCACCATCAACATGGAGGAGAGATAGAAATATCAATATCTAATGTCCTACTCAATCCCCGACGCCTGGTTACCAATTGTTTAGTGATGGCGTCGATCGAGATCGAGAGCGAGTGTTTTTTAGGTAGAGAGATGCCTGTTTATGAACTGGCTCCAACTAACTCGGACGATGAAAGCCCTGATCAGTGATGAGCGAGCAAAAACAAAGAGGCCAAGCATGCTTTAGTGTGAGTGTGAGCTGAGAATGAGAGAGAGAGAGAGAGAGAGAGAGAGAGAGAGAGCGAGGAGTCTATCACTCACTTGTTGTTAGATAGCTAAGTAGCTATAGCTGGAAGGAAGGCCTGGAGGCTGGAGAGGTGTGGATCCTACCCTAGCTAGCATTGGATTCTATCTCTCTCCCCCTCGCATTGCCCAAGAAGCCGGGGAAGCCGTCACTCGCACAAGCTATCATGGCGGCAGGATCGTCGGGCGGAGCATCCGAAGGCGGAGGGGACGAAGAGGTCGTGAATCACAGCGACCATGATCCACATATTGTGCTCAAGAAATCGTCTAGCCGGGACTACTCGCGGGTCATGTGTGAAACGCTCACTTACAGCAGTGGCGGCCAGCAGCAGCAGCAGCGGGGGCTGAGCTCCAAGGCGATGAATGGCAGCGGGATGATGATGATGGAGAGGCAGGGAAGCATCCGAAACGGTGGGTCGAGCGCCAGGTATGCCGCGCCCAGCAAGCGGAGCTACTTTGGCCACCACTTCCTGGGTTGCTTCCCCGGGAGCCGGAGTAGCAAGACGAGGAGCTCGCTGGGCCTCATTCCCAAGCTGGTTCTCGCGGATCATCCCGGCCATGGTGCTGCCGCTGTGGCGGAGATGATGATGGTGGCATCCGGAGGAGGAGGTGGCGGCGGTGGCGGCGGAGGGAGCATGAGATGCGGCAGTACCAAAGGCGGGCCAACTTTCTCGAGAGTTCCGGCGGATTCTGCTCGAGGGAGCTACAGCGAACCAACGTCTCCACAGGTGACTTGCATTGGACAGGTAAAGGTGAGATCATCGTCTTCCTCCTCCAAGAAGAAGAAGAAGCTCAAGAACAGCAAAACGCTACCCGCAACGCAGCCGGCCCCTTCTTCCATCTACTGCAATGGCCGGAGCTCTGGTGGATTGCTGCTGCGCAGCAAGAGCAAGAGGTCGTCCATCTCGTCGCCCTTGGCATCCCCTGCTCGCTTCGCCAGATCCAACTCGAGTAGGAAAGGGGGCGAGCTGTTTGATGCCGCCGTGCGGGCAGTCCAGGAATCTGTGGTGACGAGCACTTGCAAGGACCAAGATCCAGACACCAGCTATGAGATCGATCTGACGGACTTTGCCAGGGATTCTATTCATGAAGAAGATCCTCCGCCTGTGAGCTCCGACGTTGCTGCAAGTCACCAAGATAAAGAAGACCAAGATGGAAATCACGATCGAGAACAAGTTGCAGCAGCTAAGGACGAGGAATCCGAGGAGGAAGATCAAGAGGAGCACTCGGATTCAAGGAGTAACAGTCCCACCGGCAGGGGATCCACCGGTACAGCTGCTGCCGCGGATGTTATCGCCCAACACCGCCAGCTCGCAATCGAGGTGTGCCAGGCGCTGGCTGCCGCTAGCAATTCCAGCAATTTGGCACCGGATCGTCGCCATCACGGCGACGAGCAGGATCGATCATATCACGAAGAGCAACACCTACGGCCCGCGGCGGTGGATGTGTGTGTCAAGAAAGCGGCCGCCTTGACGCTCAAGCGATTGGATTCGTTGGGGGCTTCGGATCCGTCGCCCAGGGCGTGCCTGTGGATGCGCCGGAGCATTGGAAGGCCACTGGCGCTCGATCTCAGTCGCAAGCACAGGCGGAACTAGGAGAAAAGTAAGTTCGTGTTCTTGGCAAGTTTCAATCGAGTCCCAGCGTGACGGTTTACTCGAACGATCCCAAGAGGAAGAGAAAGGTGGCGAGCCTCCAGGCATGCACGGATTTGGCGTCGTGTCCGCCGCATTCGTTGCCGCTATCAGGGGCGGCAAACTTGTCATGGATTCCTCGTCTCTCATATCCCTCCACCACGCTCGTGTCTGCCGCTCCAGGATCATCGAAGCGCTCACCAAGTGTGTTTGTATGGCTGATGCCCGGCAGATTTTGGTTACACGGAGTTCGTTGGTGTCTGGCTAGAGCCGACAATGGAGCTCAATTCTTCCATGAAATGCGGGATGACGAACAAGGCCGAGACAGTGCCGTACTCGCTTCCATCGTCGTTGCTTGCCGCCATATGCCGGCCCAGTTGACAAGGCACTGGCCTACCTTGAAGTGGAATGGATCAAGCCGGACAGTCCCAGCGTCGCGGTGGAGCTCTAGTCGAAAAGTTTCCAGTCGGAGGCTTGCTCTTTTCACGATTCCACTGCTAACTACCTGAATGAGAAGCACGATTCTAGCAATGGAGAAAAGGATGTGCTTGCATTAAGCTATTGCATCGAGTCATTTTCAGTGGTGCTCGCTCCAACTTGGGACTAAGTCAAGCTTCCTTGTGGATATAAAAGATTGGTGCTCGCCTAGTTTCGTTGTGAAGAGCGAGCGAGTAAGTGGTACTTAGTAAAATCTGAGGATGGCTCTCCTCGCCATCATCTTGCTGCTGATCCACGCCATGAGCTTCGGAGACGCCTCCGACGGTTGTCCCGACGACATTGGAACAAACCTCATGTACTACAACACAGGTAACACGAGCTTGGGAAGTCCGTTCCAGCAGAACTGGCTAGATGTGTATCAAGTCCTGCTGGATCATGCTCCCCAGGCTGTCTCTTCGGAGTTTAGCCACGGCCAGTCGCCCAACACTGTCAGTGGCTTCGCCCTCTGCATCAAAGGCAGCAACTGCAAGGGATGCTTGCAGACTATCAAGGCGAATCTCGATCGAGCAGCGCCACTCTCCAAGGGAGCTAGGCTGTGCATGAAGACGAGCACCGACGTGTGCTACATGCGCTACGAGGCATACAGCTTCAACTTCAATTGCTTGCAGGGGCTGAGCTCCTCGTCGTCGTCATGATCGAACGCTCGTAACTTTCGTGCTTGATCGTTCTTCGTTGTAAAAGCTCGAGCTCTCTAACTCATGATAAACTAAGCCAGTTTGCCGATGAGCGCTTGTCTCAGAGCCTGTGCAGTGAGCCGCTACCGCCTGCATGCTGCAGAGTAGCATGTAGGGGCCGGAGACGTCGTACTCGTGCTGGAGTGCCTCCTCGGCTGCTCGAGCTCCGCGCTCCACATCGACATTGTTTCGGCAAGCCGCTAGTAAAGTCCCCCAGGCCACACCATCAGGAGGGAATGGCATTGTTCCTATCAAGTTCTCCGCGTCCCAAAGCCGCCCGGAGCGAGCGAGCATGTCCACCATACAAAGGTAGTGCTCGCGAGTGGGCGATAGTCCCACATCGTCGGTCATGCAAGTGAAGTGGTGCCATCCTTCCTTGACAAGTCCCAAGTGGCTGCAAGCGGCGAGAATACTAACAAAGCTCACCTCGTTGGCCACAACTCCTTCCAAGTTCATGAGTGGAAAGAGCTCCAGCGCCTTTGAGCATTGCCCATTCAAGGCATATGCATCAAACATGGTGTTCCACGACGTTGCATCGCCCTGTGGAAGCTGCTCCAGCAAGAACCGAGCTTCCTCTAGAAACCCTTTCTGAGCATAGCCCGCAACCATAACGTTCCAAGACACCACATCTCGGCTGGGCATAGAGTCAAACACCAGTTTCGCAGTCTCAAGATACCCTCTCTGGGCATTTGCTGACAAAACTGAATTCCAAGACACAACATTCCTTTTGGGCATTCGATCAAACACAGCCTTGGCGCCCTCGAGGTTGGAGTCCTTGCAGTTGGCTTGGATCATCGCATTCCACGCCACCACATCCACGCAATGCACGCTGTCGAAGAGATCACCGATCTCTAACAGTCGGCCCAGCTGCGCGTATGCCGCGACGACGGCAGTCCAGGCGACGGCGTCCTGGCGGGGCATCTTCTCCAGCATCAATCGCCCGGCCGCCGGATCCTCCCCGGCAACCAGTTGCACCATCGTGCTCCACGACACTCGATTCCTCTTCGGCATCGCATCGAACAGCCTCTTGCTACCATCGACCCCGCCGTTTTGCGCGTAGGCCTGGATGAGCGCGTTCCAGGCAACGAGATCCCACTGTGGCATTCGCTCAAACACCGCCGTGGCTTCATCTGGAGCGTCAACCTGACCGTATCCCCCAATCATGGCCGTCCAAGTAACCACGTCTCGTTGGCTCATCTCATCGAAGACGCGCTTGCTCGAGCTCATCTCGCCCGTGGCCTCGGCATGGCAAGAGATGATGGTGTTCTTGGCTGCCAGCCCTTGCTCGGGCATCGACTCGAAGTGTCGCAGTGCCTCGCTCGTGAATCCGTTGTGAGTGAAAGCCGCGATCATGGCGGTCCAGGAGATGGAGCTGTGCTGTGGTATGCTGGCGAACACGTCCCAGGCCTCGTCCACGCATCCGGCCTGGGCGAATGCCGCAATCATCGTTGTCCAGGAGATGGTGTCGTGCTGGGGGATGAGATCAAACAGGAGCTTAGCATAGGTGATGGAGTCGACCCTCTGGCTTAAGATTTGCAGCATGGAGTTCCAGGAGACCATGCTCCGGCACGGCATTTCGTTGAAGATGGTTGCTGCTGTGGATAAGTCTCCGGCTTGAGCATTTGCCTGGAGCATCACTGTCCACGACACTGCATCCCTGTCGGGCATCCATGCAAACACTTCCTGGGAAACTTCTAAACTATCTAGATCTGCGGACGCTTGGAGCAGTGCGTTCATGGACACTAGATTCCACTCGGGCATCTTGCAAAACACCTCTGTAGCAGAATGGAGATGTCCCGTTTGGGCATACGCCTGAAACATGGCGGTCCAGGAGATGATGTTTCGGTGAGGCATTTGATCAAAGGACTGCTTGCCATAACCCAAGCGATCGTCTTTGTCCGACACAGCGATCAACGACGAGCACGAGACGACGTCCCAATGAGGCATCCGGAGATAGATGATGATCACTAGCTCCGGCTGCCCGCTGTAGGTATAAGCCTGCAGGAGTGTGTTCCATGAAACAACCGTTCTAACGGGCATCAAATCAAAAAGGGACTTGGATTCATCAAGACGGTGGGAGCAAGCAAGAGCTTGAATAAGAGTATTCGTCGATATCGCGTTTGTTTGAGGCATTCTTTCAAAGAGAAGAAGAACAGTTTCAATATGCCCAAACTCGGTATATGCTGCTAATATCGTGTTCCACGAAACCACATTTCGGTGGTCCATGCAATCAAAGACATAATGAGCTCCCTCGACATCTCCAGCTAGAACAAAAATCGCTATCATCGCGTTCCAGGAGACAACATCCTTGCAAGGAACCGCATCGAAAACGAGCTTGGCATCGTGGAGTTGCCCGTTTTGGGCATATGCCTGGATCATGATGTTCCAGGAGAAGAGATTGGGCTGCCGAAGCGAATCGAAAACCTGCCTAGCGCTGTTTACATCGCCGCATCGGCCATACATTTGGACGATGAGGTTCACGAGAAAGGTGTTGGTAGCGTGCGCGCTGGAGAGGATGCTAGAGTGGAGATGTTTCGCCTGGGATATGTCTCGGCAGGATCGCACGAGCTGCGCAAACGCGTCTTGCTCCTGGAGAGCGCTCAAAGCATGGATGGATCTCGTGCGCACCAGTTGCCACGGCCTCATACAAATAAGGCCCCCGCGAGAGAAATCTAGGTTGGAGGAGTTTTATTCGATGGCGAGTGAATGGCGAGCTAGTCCTCTTCTTCCACCAAGTTCCAAGCCCGCGACGTTGGTCCTGGACATGGATGGGACGTTGTTATGGCCCTTGACTAGCGATCGATTGCATATATCCAAGCGGCCAGGAGTGGATCAGTTTCTAAAGGATATGGCGGACATCTACGAGCTTGTGTTGTGGACTAGCGCTCCTAGTGACTACGCAGCCAACGCGTTGCGGCAGCTCCAGTGCAAAGGATCCGAGTTCTCGCACTTACTATCAAACATGGACTTTGGAGCGGATCTAACCAAGGACGTGACCAAGCTTGGTCGGGATTTGAGCAAGGTGGTGCTGGTGGACGACGACCGGGATTTGGTACCAGATCATGTTGTGGATAACGCCATTGTGATCGAAAGCTATGAGGGCGATAACGATGATGACTGCCAGCTCTCTAACGTGGCCGAGATCCTCCGGAAGCTTGCGGTTTCCAAAGACGTGAGAGGAGAACTCCGGAAGCTCAGGGACGACGGAGCTCTTGATCACATTGAAGTTTACAGCGACAGTGATGATGATGTCTTGGAGCTCGATCATAACGATGATGATTTTGACAAGTAGTGTATCTCTCTCATTCTTGAGCATTCAATGATTCAACGACAATGTTTGATAGGAGAGAGTAAAGCGATGCCCATTGCGGATCCAGCTCTAGAGCGTGCTTGGCCACGTAACATCCCCGTCCCAGATCGCCATGGTTCCTACAAGCTCCTAGCAATGTTTTCCAGGCAAAATGGCCACCATCCAGCTCCAGAGATGGCATGTAAGTAACGAGCTCCTCGGCGTGTTCGAGCCTTCCCACTCGTCCCAGGTTGTCTATAACGCAGATGTAGTGATCTCGCTCCGGCTCTAGTCCATAGTCACCGGCCATGGACTCCAAGTAGCGCTGCGCGTCCTGTGGACGCCCAAGGTGGCTGCATGCCGCCAGAATGGTGGTAAACGATATGCCGTCCGGGGTGGTACCGTCGAGCTGCATCTCACGGAAGAGCTGGATGGTCTCCGTGCTGTGCTCGTCGAGGGCATACGCCTCCATCATGGAGTTCCACGAGGCAACGTCTCTGGTGTTCAAAGGATCATCAAAGAGTTTCTTCGCGTCTTGCAGCTGGCCGTGTCGCGCGTAGGCATCGATCAAGCAACTGCAAGACCAAGTTCCTCTCTCCGGCATCAGCTCTTCAAAGAGCTGCCTCGCTTCCTTGAGATGCCCGTTTCGAGCATACGCTGCTATAATGGCGTTCCATCCAGGAAGGTCGTGCCTGGGCATTCGATCAAACGCTGCTTTGGAACGGTCGAGGCTCTCGGCACGAGAGTATAGAAGTAGTAACCCCGTCCAGGAAACTACATTCTTCTCCGGCATATCGTCGAATGCCGCCTTGGCATCCGAAAGTTTCCCAAAGGTCGCAAGAGCCTGAAACATGGAAGTCCAAGAGATGACATCTCGCTGCGGAGCTCGATCAAACAGATCTTGTGCATGACGTACCTGAAACGCTTGCGAGTACGCTGAGATCATCGTGTTCCATGTGACGAGGCTGCGCGCATGCATTGCATGAAACACACCTTGTGCTCTACTGATCTCCCCTTTCAAAGAGAATTCTTGGATCATGGCAGTGGACGACAGGACCCCGTGTGCGGGCATTCTCTCGTAGACAAGTTTGCAGTGCTCCAAATCATCCGTTCGTGCATGGAGGATGTTCCACGAGACATGGGATTTCTCCGGGTTGTTGTCAAACCAGTGTTTGGCATCGCGGTTGTGGTAGGCTGCCAGGTCCCAGGAAACACCATCACGCGCCGGCATCTTGTGAAACACATCACTCACTGCGGACGGATCCGACCCCGCCTGTAGCATTGTATTCCAAGAGATGATGGTCCGAGCAGGCATCGCATCAAACGTAGCCTTTGCAAGAGACCTCTCATCTCCATTCTGGGCATTTGCTGCGAGTAGCACATTCCAAGTGATCGCATTCCGCTGTGGCATTTTCAAGAAGAATGTCTGAGCTTCTTGCTTGTGCCTTGCACGCATAAAAAGCGCAACCATTGACGTCCAGGTAACCACGTCCCTCCGCGGCATCTGGTGAAAGAAATCCATGGCCTCCGCAGTATACCCATTCCGGGCATATGCCTGGATCATGAAATTCAACGAGAAGATGTTGGGCTCTTGGATCTCGTGGTCGAACACCATCCTTGCCTCTTCCGGGCTGCCACATCTGCCGTACGCCTGGATCAAGAGATTGACGAGAAAGAAGCCGCTTCCACTGCCGATGATTCGAGCGTGGAGCTGCCGTGCCTCCGCAAGGCAAGCACAGGACCGGAGGCTGCGGGCAATGCTCATTCATTCTAAGGAATTGTGAGTGTGGATTCTTTGGATGGAATGGAGGGGTCCCGAGGACAAGGAAATGCTCCACGTCGCACCACGACTGGTTGTCGCTAGAGATGCTCAAGACATTGAACGAAGCGTTGGGCACACGGCTGCCTGGCCCGTGACCGTGCGTCACCACCACTAAAGAACAGACACATACCACACTCGGTGTAGGGCATTTGTGCTCTTGCAGCTCACTCACAGTGACAGATATCTCTACTTAGAGGCAGTTCTCACCCGAAACGCGTGTGCTTCTCTCACGCAAGCTAAGCCTTCATAGATTGCTTCTTCGAGGGATGAGATCGCTAAGTACCATTGACAAAGATTCCCTCTTGAGCATGTGGATTAGGAGATCCCAGGGCTCGTAAAAAAAGCTCTACGAGTTGTTTTCCGACGAATGTTGCTCACAGCATCCTCTCTTGTTCACGGATGCCTTGAAGGTCTTTCGTCGCGAGGACCACCTGGAGAAATGTTTGCAGGGCACACTTGACAAATGCACAATGAATGAACTAGGCATGAGAGAATTTGATTGAGACATGAAGCACTTTTTGCAGAGTCGCCAGAGTCGCCAGCGATCCGATCCTTCCATCACAAGTGGATCAGTGATGCGCATCAGGTTTTAATGCGGACGTTGTTGCCAACATCTCCCTCTAAGACGGACACCTTCCTCTTCTTCGACGTGACTGGACCCCTTTTCTTCGACTGGTGTCGCATCACAGAAAAGGCACTGGAAAATATTTTCGGGCCCAGTGTACCTCTCACCAGCACAACGTCTGTGAACCCAGCACTTGCAAACACTGCACTGGAACCAGTCATGAAGCTCTTCTTCACCAAAGTAACACTGGTACTCAGAACAATCGACGCACGAATCCTGAAACAATAACAAATCAGTCTTCAATCTACATGAAATCAAACAAAGCAAACCTCCTCTCTTCTTGGAACCCTCCCTTTCAGAACATCGCAATGTCCATCGACGGCCTTGAGAGCGCTACTAAAACCACCGAACGTAGACACAACTTCGTCGTACACATCCCCACCTTTTTTCATATCCCCATGTCTCACCACATGCCAGAAGCACTTGCGACCTGCGGACTTTTCAGCCAATTCGCAGAAAATTTGTCCAGCCAGTTCCCTCGCCTTGGCGTGGATCCTGATCGATACCTGGATCACAACCACGAGTCCCCCAGCTACATAAAACATACGCGCCCCGAGGTGGTTGAACTCCTTGGGAATAATCAGAACTCTCTTGTTCGGGTACTCCTCACAAATGTCCTCCCCAGTCACAACGACCTCCGGATCTATAACGAGCTGCGCCCCGTTATTCAACGTGAGATGCGGTCTGTATAACGCAGCAGCTAATATCGTAGCCATCTCAGCGTTCCATCCTATTCGAGCCTGTCGAACATGACCCACTTTTCAATCTCAGTGCGAGCGTCAGTATCTTTTTTCTCCTTCAACGTCTTAGCCAGCAACGCCATGACATAACCCCTACCACCTGTTCCATGTCTCCAAAGAGATACCGGTAGACCAGACTCGGCACGAAACCAGTCCACCACATCAAGTCCGCAAGCTCCTTGACTGAAACTTGTAACTTTTGGTGGTCTAGATACTTGCACAATTCACGAGCCTACAGTAGGAAACAAACGCAGCCATGAGATCACACATATCATTGTGCACTTAGCTCGTATCCTCCACATATAAAAAGTCCGCTGGCCGTTTATCGTGCTCAAGGCCCTTCCTGATCCCACTCGTCACAGAAAAGCAGACAACGAGATAGCAGAGCCACGACCTTATCCCTGGCATCTGTACGTTTCGCCACTGAAGGCTTCCTAATTCCTGTTTGACTTCCACCGTCCTTGTCCACATCAGTGGCGTTGGCATCGTCAACTACAGCGATCCCGAGATGTCCCGAGTCGAATAAATTCATCCAAGTTTCTGTAGTCTTCAGTCTTACATATCCTGCTTGTCGTCTATGTAAGCCAGGAGCAGACTGTTTCTCAGCGTCTTGAAAGGATCATTGACAAACTGTGAGCAATCCACGTACAGTAGCTGTCCTGTGCTTCCTCTTCCGCTTCCATCTCGTCTCCATCAGCCTCTCCATCTTCCTTTGGTACTTGTCTAACAGCTTCCCAGAAAGGAGGAACGGGGCTCTTCTCACGAGCCTTTGCAAACCTCCGATGCATGTTCATGTTCACAACAGCAGCCATTACGCAAGTTGTCTTTCCGGAGCCCGCTGTGCCAGTGATCACGGCGAAAGCTGGTGCATCTACTGATCGCCCATCTTCGGCAAGGAGGCTGTTCATGATGAAGCTTTCCACTCTCGGCGCGATGTCACGGCCCATATACTCGAATGATGGTTAAACAAACAGATTGCTGGCCTGAAGTGGAAGTTAGATGGGACGAGTCAGAACAGTGAAAAAGTTCATATCACCAAGCCTCTCATGGAGAGTTTCACCGACTCTGCACGACCCACAAAATCTTGCTTGGCTGCCATTGATAAAGATGTTGATTTGTGCTGTGCTTCAGAAAAACTATTAAAACACGGCTGCCTTTTAGAAAAAGATCTCTCAGCAGCTCGAGCTGCAGGGCAGCCTCGAATGTCAAACCACAGGCTGTCCAGTGGTTGCGGTCGAGAGAAAGAAACACTCGCCCAGTGATTTGGTGCTTCGTGATGGCAGCTCCGAGTTCGCCATTGAAAACTGGATACTCCTTGTCCAGAGCCTTACCCAGCTCGGTGAAGCCGAGCGTATCAACATCGACAGATTCCATCACCCAACAAAGATAGTGAATATTCTTAGAATTTATGCTGATGTTGATTTCCATACACATACTCATTTGCGAGTGATAACGTTTCAGGAGTCCAAGTGACCTTGTTTGGTGAAAGAAATTCATGGCTTGAGCAGTATACGCATTCCGGGCATACGCCTGGATCGTGATGTTCGGATCTCTGCCTTTTCCGGGATCAAGAGATTGACGAGAAAGACGCAGAGGATTTGAGCATGGACAGTGCAAGCACAGGACCGTAGGCTGCTAAAGAATGGAGAGTCTCAATTAGAAAGAAGAGAGGGTCAGCCCGACTTGGCGCCACCTCCAAATGCCGAGGACAAGAAGCCAACGCCCTTGAGATGCTCCACGTCGCACCACGACTGGAACTTCCACTGGTTGTCGCTAGAGATGCTCAAGACATTGATCGACGCGTTGGGGACACGGCCCGGCGCTGGCTTGCCCGTCGCGGTGACATGCATGGACTGAAGAACACCACCGTGCGTCACCACCACCACTCTCTCGCCTTGAAGAAAGAGAAGAGACCACACACTCATCAAACGGGTGTGTCGATCGGAGAAGATCTGGGAATACCTTCGTGCTGCCGAGCAATGTCTTGAGCCGCTCTTGCCGCGCGATCGCGCATCTCACCGAAGCTCTCCCCTCCACCCTGAGAAAACCATCTGTGAGCTCACTCACAACACTGAGCCTTAGTTCTCACCGGGATGGGTTCGTCGCCGGACGAAGAGGCGAGTATCTTGAACGCGTGGGCTTCTCTCTCGCGAGCTTGCTTTGGCGTCAAGCCTTGGAGCCTGCCCAAATGCCGCTCTCGAAGCAGTGGTGTCGTGCTCACCTGCAAAAGCCATAAGAAAACGTTTGACATTCTCAAGAACACATGGGAGAAGCATGCTCTACCTGTGACAATCCCAGCTTTTCGGCGATTGTCTGGGCCGTGTCTGATGCACGGCGAAGATCCGACGAGTAAACCGCTGTGATCTTCTGCGAGCTTTGTTTAGCCAAATGTTCCGCAAGCTGAGAAGACGAAAACCAAAAGACAAAAATGAGAGAGATCGCTTTGATCATCCTGACCTCCACAGACTCTTGGCTGCATTCTAGTCTTTTCAACATACAGCGGATGCTTGCTTCCTTCCAGCGTCGTTTAGATCGGTCTCCAATTGTCCCTGACAAGAAGAAAAAAAACAACAAAAAAGAAAAAGAAAAAAAATAGGATCCATAATCGTCAATGCCATGGTAGCCGATCGATCGATCGACACACACATACCTGGAGCTTCCCGCTGGCGTTCCATGTCGTCTCACCATGACGCACACAAATCAAGACGGCCATGGCCACGATTAGGGCGAAAACCAAAAAGGAGGTCCAGGGTTCAAACCGCAAGATGACACTTCAGCCGGCAATACGGTCGTTATTTAGGGTTTTGGAGGGATTAAACCCTAGCGTGGAGGAGGAGGAGGAGAATGCGCGATGCTGCTGGACAAGTTTCCGGCGCCGCAGGACAAGGGCAGCGGCATCAACTCGTCGTGGCTGCGCGGATCCGTGCTGAAGCTCAAGCGATGCCTCCCAAGCGGCGAGGAAGGGGCGGCATTGGCAAGGGCGACCGTGTCGCATCGATCGCCGTCGCCCAGCAGGCGAGCATTCGAGGTGGGTCAGGCGTCGTCTCGCTCGGCCTTCTCCCACGATGTGTTCAAGCGATCGGCGTCGGTGGATTTGGGCCGCATTGCATCGCACAGGGGTCCGTCCACCACTCCCACTCGCCTGTCCAGCCACGAGCACACGGGGTTCCAGAGGAAGGAGCACGTCCAGGAGGAGAGGAGGGGGCGGAGGGTGGGAGCTGCCGCCGCTAGGGAGGTTGCGAGCTCCACTTGCGGGAGCTCCAAGGCGGCGGACATGGCCGAGCTTGTGAGCGAGAGGCTCCAGGCGTGTGCTGCGGTGAGGACGCCGAGGATCCCCGGCGGCTACTCCTCTGGAAGCAGGCCGCGCGACAAAGTCGTGGAGAGAGAGGAGGTGGTGGACACCTTCTGCAAGAGAGGACTCCTGATGAAAGTTCCCGACTATCTCACCAAGCTCACCGGGGCTTCTAGAGAAGGAGTTCGAGCAGTTCCTCACTTGAGACCTCCGGACTATGGCGCCGGGAGAAAGTCGAACGTTCCTCATGCTATACGGAAGACCAAGTCCGGGACTGTGGCCTCGGCGACTGTTCCAATCAGTGCAAAGCAGTGGCTGCTCCAAGCGATTGGTCTCAAAGACACGGAAATCCGCGAGATGTTCATCCAGGTAACTTTTCGTTTTCGTTCTTGTGTGCTCGTGGCATCGATGAACCGTTAACTGGACTCCTCGTTTATAGCAGCTTCACACAGCACTCGTCTGACGCAGATGGAATCCATCCCTCAACTTGCAGGCGAGCACGTCCGCGAGATAAGAGCCGAGTGGGAAGCCATGGAAGCCAGGGTGAACAGGGTTCCGCCGGAGGCTGGTTTCTTAGTCAAGGACCGGCTTCTACTCGAGAAAGTCAGGGAGCTCATAATCCGTTTTGTCGAGTGCACTAATCCAGTCGTCTCTCCAATCCCTGGTGACCAAGGTACCGAGCTCTCTAAGAATGTTGACGAGGTCGAAGGAAGCAAGCACGAAGATATTAGCGCCAAGGACGCTGAGCCTGCTGCTCCTGCTGCTGCTCATCTCACTGAAGTCGACAACGAGCCTGTAGCTGTTGAAAAACAGGCAAAGGACAACCCTCCACAGGATCAGCAGCAGTCCCTGGAACCACACAAGAGCGCTGCTCCACCTCCTTCTTCTCTTCCTTCTTACATTCCCGTCGAGGACTATGTTGTGAACAAGTATGTCGTCCAGGTACTCTTCGCACTGTCAGTCATACCGGTTGATACGTTTTTGTCTGGCAGCCAGAACTTCTGGGAAGACCCGACTGCAAGTTCACCTACAGTCCATTCGATAAGAGATGGTATACGGTTGTCTTTCCTGCTCTTCAGGTAACACTTTGCAGTAGTCGAAAAACCTCGGGTGTGATTATTTGTATTCAAACAGCCAGGTAAAAGAGAGGACGTGCAACTGCTCGGAGATTGGCTGCAGCATGCAATGCAAAAGAACCATTGTGAGAAAGTGGATGGACGTTTTGAGAACGTGGAAGCCGCGTTTGTTCTTCATTCTATTGCCTTCCTAGAAATCGTTCGTCAGGTATGTGTGCAAATATTCTTCTTTCATGGCTCTACTCTTGGAGTTAGATAAACATGGCAGGTGGATATCCATTGCGAAGAGCGTGGAAACCTCCTTCTCCATCTTTGGAGGCAATTGCTACGTATTTTCAATCAGGTACTAGTCGAAAGCGTGCTAACTTTACAAACCTTAACTAGTCTATTTGCATGCACGCTCAGGTTCTTGTGCGAGCGGAACCAAAGCTCAATGCTACAGAAGATGAAATGAAGCGGCTACGAGATGATCTAGAAGGGGCGAAAGATCACCTGTCACGGATGCTTTCCGATCATGACTTTTACAGGGACCAGTATGACGTTATACGGGCCAAACTCAAAGACAAGGATATTGAGATGAGGAAGATCAAGAGGTGTCGGCTGTGTCGCACGGAGAACATGTCACCCAGATCTCGGAACGAGTATCTCGTCAACCTGAAAAAGCGGTCGATATCGTTCAGATACACGCACGAACCCACGGAAGAGGAACTGAAGCAGCAGGAGGAGGAACTTAAAAAGCAACTCGAGCTGAAGAGACAGGAGGAGGAGCGCAAGAAACTTGAGGCCGGAGGAGCTACTGCCGAAGGTGCACAAGCCGAGGGAGCAGAAGCTGGCAAGAAAGCAGGAGCCGATGAATCTACTGAACAGCTGACAGAAGAAGAGCTCCAGCAACTTGAGGAAGGTGAAAAGCAGCAGACAGCGGCGCCTGTTTCAGAGACAAATCGACGAGACGATTACACACAGACCGATCCCAGCAAGGGACTGAGAAGATGCCAAAGCGCGCCGCCAAGTATATTTCCACCAAAGAAGATAGTCGAGGCCAAAGAAAAAGGTGGCGAGGAGGTGGAAAAAGAGGTCAAGGCAGAGGCAGAGGGAGCTGGAGCAGAAGCAGAAGCAGGAGGAGCAGCTCCACAAGCTGAGCTGAGTGCTGACGACTTGAAAGCTCTAGCTGGGGGATGGGTTGATCCCGAAGCTGCTGGCAAGGACAAAGCCGAAGGCCCCCCAATCGTCGAACGCTTGAAAGAGTTCGAGACACTTGCGGTGGACACTATAGGCTTGCTCGACAGGCTCCCGATGGAGGGTGCATTGGCAGAGAAGATTGAGGTCCTTCTCAAGAAGTATTGCGAGATGACTGGAACAGTTTTGGGCGACAAGTTCAGGGAGAAGTTTATGCAGCGGCACAAGAGCTTGATGCAAGGGAAGCGGGGTTCTGTTGCCGTAGAGAGCGCAAAAGTTTCTTTCATAGAGGGCGGACCAAGCAGCGGCAGGCCCAGTGAGATGAGGAAGAGCAGGAAATCCAAAGGAAGCAAATTTGGTTCCCAGCTCAAGTCTTACGTGCCTCTCGGGTTTGCAAAGATGATGAAGATTTACAACCCGCCCAAGACTGTAAAATTTTTCAACGTTCGGCAGGTAAAGCATCGTCTTCTTTCTGTTATTTTGTTTCTTCGGCCTGATCTATAGATACTCTCCCGGTTCTGCAGCTAACAAAGCTAATTGCGTCGGTGTACGTGAGCAAAATTGTCGCAGATTCTGTCGATGACTCGTGCAATAATGAGCGGCAAACTTGTTGCGAGTTTGTCTATGATTTCATGCTTAATCAGTATGGACTCAAAGGTCTCAGCGAGTCAGCGATCTTTGGTGTTTTTAAGACGGTCAAGACACTCATCACCAACAAGGAGATTGAGAAGCATCATAAAGTAGGCAGGCATTAAAGCCGTAATGGAGAAGTTTCTAATATGCTTTTCTACGTCCTGGCAGATCAGAGTCTTCAGCCGGTTTGTCGGCATGGACGAAACCAACAACTACAGCGAGCCCGATCTCTATCTCTACCTTAAAATCCTTCAGCGAGCTTCAAGCAAAACAGGAGTGCTGCTTCCATCTGACCAAGACGACGGTCTTATATTCTTGAATGCATCCCAGTACGCTTTCATTGCCGACGAGCCCAATCTCGTTGCCTACTTTGGAAGCCAGGGAGCAGCATTGTCGTTCGTGGAGAAGTACGTTGCAAAGAATGCAGTGACTGAAAAGGCGTCACCAGAGGTAAGTCTTGTCTTTGCTGTTTTCCTTTCAAAGTAAAAGTTGTGAAACTTTGCAGATCAGGAAGCTTGTGAAGGAAAGTGAAGTACGAAAAGTTGATTGGGACCTGCTTGTGGAGGCGATACTAGCGGTCTATCCACATAAGATGGTAAGAACAGGAAAAGAAAAGGAGATACAGCTTCTGAGAGTCCTCGCTTGTTCTTGTTTATCCAGGACACCATACAAGACGAACGGAGAAAGAGCATTCAAGTCAGCAAGCCAGTTCCCAAGGATAAGGTAGTAAAGCCTTTTGATTTTACGTGGTTCTGATGTTAAAGTATCTCAGGCAACCGAGCTGGAGAATCTGTTCATTGCCGGAGACGCAAATCAAGATGGAGTTTTGACGTTCAGCGAGTTCCGAGAGATTGTCACTACCGCAGATTCATCGATCTCGCAGCAAAGTGCAATCAGGATGTTCAGGGAGACACTGCTGATGATGCCGGATGGAGGAGACAGCATCAGTCCACAGGCCTTTGCTCAAATAGCCTATAACCACGGCATTGAAGCACCTGCCAGCACTGTATTCGACCTTCTCAAGAAGACCTGGTCACAGGTAACTAGAAATCTATGGAAATTTATTCACTACTATCAACTCATCGTGTCCACAGGTCCAAGATGATATCGACCCAGAAAAAGTGAACGCAAGCAAAGACGAGTATGATTTCTCAAAGGAGGTGCTGCAAGACTTAATGCAGCAGAAGGTGGACGTCAACTCCGCGGTGCAGACGTTCAGGCAGTTTGTGCTTCGCTTCTGTGGACAAGACGAGGAAGAGCAGCCAGCGTCACAGCAGATGCAAGAAGGTGACGAGGAGGCCCTTCTTCAGGAGGAAGGTGACACACTGGGAGAACCAAAGTCAGTACCAGACGTTCAAGATGATGTGGAGGACAGTGGCGGTCTGGAACCCATTGTGGAGTGATTCTCCGCCATAAAGAGGGTCGGGGGTAGGGTTTTTGACGAGGTAGTATGGGTGGCAACAAGAAGCGGGAGAAGCACAAAGGTAAAGCGAAGGCTACTGTGGACCCTTCTATTGGCCCTGATGAGGTAACGCTTGGAATTCTCATATACTTTCCCACGTAACACACGATGCACAGGTGAGGATATGTGTCGAGTTTATGGAGCCGGACCTAGCCTTCACAAAGGTCGCAAAGTTGGCAGCGCCAGCCAAAGCCACGGTCGAGGAATGCCTGAGGAGTGCACAGAAGCTTCTCCCCACTAGGAGCGTGCTTGATCCCAAAGACTTCGTTCACTATGTCATAGGTGCCGAGAGTCTTCTTCGACCGTGAACTAACCTGTTACATACAGATGGTCTCGAGGGGCTCACGGTTGCGGAGTGGGCGCAGCTGACACCAGGTTTGCCACCCACGGTGAACGTGTCCACGGATGCGGGGAAGGGATTGGTGGCCAAGTATACTGCCTTGTCGGGGGAGGTTAAAGAGTTGGAGGCCCAGGTGAGAGACGCCCGGGAGCAAAAGCTTAGTTTGCAGGCCGAGGTGAAAGAAACCAGGGAGCAAAAGCTTAGTTTGCAGGCCGAGGTGAAAGAAACCAGGGAGCAAAAGCTTAGTTTGCAGGCCGAGGTGAAAGAAACCAGGGAGCAAAAGCTTAGTTTGCAGGCCGAGGTCAAAGATGCGAAGGAGAAAAAGGTCCATGCGGAAGGCCTCTTGGCGGCGAAGCAAGATGAAGTGATGGATCGCATGGCCAAGCTGGAGGCGGAGACAAAGAATGGTAAGGCGGAGTTGGAAAAGCAGCTGGAGCAGTGCAATGCGAAGCTGGAGCAACTCCAGCTTGCCAACGCAGATCTTCACAAGGCCATGGCGGAGCTGCGAGAGCTGAACAAGAAGCACCAGGAACGGATCTTCGAGCTGGAGTTTCTCGTATACCATGAGCACAAGTAGCTCAAGTGAACACAGTGTTATTGCATTGAGATTGATTCACGTTTACTTCGCAAGCACAAAGTATGAAGTTGCGTTAATTAATGGGTGAAATGGTTTCTTTCCTTTGGAGTCGGTTGGGTACAGCAAGAGACAATTTGTCTCTCAATGAATGCTAACTACAAAATTCGTAGTGTATGCTTGTTTCAATCACTTCGCAGGTAAAGCAATCACCAGACGTCTCTCAAATATCGACCATCGTTTTGCAGTTGCTTGACAAAAGCCTCAGCTTCCTTGACGTTGCCCTGCCAAGCAAAGAATTGACTTTTGCATCGGTGATAAGCACAAAAACTCACCTCGGTTTGGACAATGGTAATCAGCATCTTGTGAACGTCGCGAGCCATTCCTTTGGCATCGCCGCAGACATACAAGTAGGCCCCGTTAGACAAAAGCCTCCACAAGTCACTAGCCTGAGAGAAGGGACAAGAAAAACAAGCAGTATGAGACGAGAGATACAGGAGATAACAAACGCACCTTGTCTTGCATCTTGTGTTGGACGTATTCCTTGGTGGCGCCCTCTCGCGAAAAGGCCACGTACAGGTTTGTCAAAGTTCCTCTGCTCACATACCCGTTCAGTTCGCGCTCGTAAATGAAATCCTGCTCACAAGACTGGGCGTTGCGGACAAAACAACACAAAAAACGAGAAACACATTTACCTGATTCCGATTGCGGCATCCAAAGAAAAGAACCGAGGGCCCCAGTTGTTCACCCGAATCTTGTAGAGCAGCTCTTTCCTGAGAAAGTAACAGAAATGAGCTCCCAGGAATAAAATAAATCACACACGAAAAAAACACCTGGAGGAATCCTCTGAAAGGTGCCAGGCCCGTGCCAGGTCCTATCATCACGATGGGAATTTTCGGGTCAGCAGGAAGCTTGAAGTTTGATTGTCGCACAAATATAGGAGCCCAGCTGCAGTCATCGCCGGCCTCTTCGGCGGAGCGAGCATTCTGTCACGCAAGCGTTTCCTAGTTAGCGACGGCTCGGAAACACTTGAAAAAAAAACTTCAAACCTTCATCCATGTAGAGCAAACTCCTCTAAACAGGCGGCCAGTTGGACTTGGTCCATGAACCAACGCGCAAGTGACGTGAATCCTAGTGGGCGCAAACCTGCGCAGCAATGACAGTGAGCACAGAAGTAGGCGAGAAAGGACGTACTTTGGAGAGGACGAGATGGAATAATATCTTGGCATCAAACGTGGAGCCACTGAAGCGAAGAAGACCCCGAGGGGCAGCTTGACAGAGGAAAAGTCAGCCAAAACCTCCAGCAGGGTCCTTTGACACGAAGAAATGTATTGCGAATAGTCATCCTGCAGAAAAAAAACACCAAAGTCAACACAGGCTGGAAAATATAAACAAACGATCACAACCAACCTTTCCTTGCAGCGATGCTAGGTGCCTCAAACGGTCTGCATGGCTAGTCTCTGATGTATATGCCGCAAGGACAGCAAGCACAGCCTACACAGACCAGAAGCAAAGGTTAGGAGAACAAAAACTTGGGGTGGCCGATGTGCATTACCTTGCGAGGAGGAGTTTGCAAGTCGGCATAACGAGCCAAGGCAGTTCTTAGAGTGCAGGGTGTGGGAAATGGCGGAAGAAGGCTACCAGGCAACGGAGTGCCATCTTCCGTGTCTGTGTGAAGGGAAAAGACTGTGTCCAGCGAATAATCTAGAAGATTGGCAGCCTCCTCCACAACGTCGTGACAATTCTCAGCGTACACACCAACATGGTCTCCAGTCTCGTAACTAAATCAAATCACAAGACTTATATGTTTGAGCTGGAGATAAAAGAGAGGGCTTTAGCGTACCTGATGCCAGTCGCAGCTATGTCGAACTCCAAGTGGGTGCACGATCTGTCGGACAAGGGCGTATGGAGCTCTTTCCGAGCGGCCACGATGGCTCTGGAATCCCGGGCACAATAAATGAGAGGAGAACTAAAAGCAACAAGATGAAAAGAGGCTCTCACCGACAAGGATGGTTCATATCCATAACGACAGGCCCACCGTTTTCCACCGGGAGAAAGCTCCCTTCGACGAGTTTTGCTAGCTTCTCATGAATTACAACTCGGTATTCGCTGACAGCTGCCGTGTAAGTGGTAGTGGAAGGAATGGCAACGTCGTCCTCGTTCCGAAGCAAAGTGTCAAGCTCCGGCCATAGCTGCTCGCGCCTGTGTGTAGAAACACGCGGAAGCCTTTAAGCACTAGCACTTAGAGAGTCGTACCAGGCGGAGAAATCGTCTTCGATGCATTGGTCGTCATCGCCAACTCCACAGGGAACAAGCCTTTTGGCACCTTGCTTCTCCAATTCCTCGTCCACGACCTTTCCAACCTTGTGACGAGATCAAGTTTTAACTATCAGCAATCGCAAAAGGATGAACGGTCGGTCTACCTTGTTGAAGTACTCGTACTGGCGGTTGCCCAGACCAAACACCGCGTAAGTCATCTCGTTCAGCCACAAGCCTCTTTCGTCACCACCCTGCAAGTCGATCGATCTTACTTAAAGATTCCAAGGAAAAGAAAAAGAGTCTTCTACCTCCGTAAGGAATTTGTAGAACCTGGCCGCATTGTCCGTCGGTTCTCCGTCACCATACCTGCAAAGAACACAAAGATGCACAGTTCACAAAACGCTGCTTGGCAGAGATTATTAAACTCCACACGAGATTCTCACGTTGCGAGCATAAAGATGGCCAGCTTCTCCTTCTTGAGCCTGAGGCGATAGTGGTCGTCGTCCGCTGCGTAGTTGTCCTGGAACAAAGAGTAGCCTTTAGAAAGACTGGAAAGAACGAAGAAAAGAAGTTTACCAAGTCGACGGCCTTGAAGAGAACCCTGTCGTATCGAGACTTTGCTTCCTCGACCAGGGCCTAGAAGAACACGAAAAATCAATCCCGGAAGCTGGCTGGAGCGAAGACGCCAAAAAGAGGGAGCGAGAAATACAAACAAAAACCACACCTTTGCAAACCCTTCCGCGGTTCCGGTTTGGGTGCCAAAGAAGACGGTCACTTTGCTCGTGTAGCCTGCTAGATCATCGGCCTCCTCCTCCTCGGCTTCCACAATTGGCGTCACCACTCTGGGCGGCTCCGCCACGCGCTTGCCGGCATCAGCTGCCTTCCACCAGAGGAAGAGCGCCCCGGCCACGAGGAGCAGCGCCGACAGCAGCAGGGTGAGCGGGGAGATGTTGGTGGACGCCATCCCCTTGACGCCCAAGAGCGCCAGCACGAAATCCAGGCTCGACGACTCCATTCCTCCGCCCATCTGCTCCATTTGCTGCGAGCGCGCTTAAAAGGAAGACCTAAAAATCGATGAGAATGAAGCTATCGCTGGGCCGGAAATAGCAGAGGAGGGAGGAGGGATTGATCTCTTGTTCCTCCAATTCGCTTCCCAGCCCCGCGAGCCCTCCACAAAAAGAATGGGGGATTTGCGCTGCCCACAATTCCACAACACTACTGCAACCAGTCCACGCGGCCAGCCACCGTTCACACCTACCAGACCTGGCGCCTTTGACTGACACGTGGCGCCACCACAGTAGTGCCAAGTCAGCAATATAAAGGCGTAACCACCTCGCCGTGGATTCTTCAAGCGTTCAACGGCCGAGATCGCTCCTGATTCTTTCTGTGTGAGCGCGTTTTCGAGATATTTTCAACCGGGAGATGGAGTTATGGACAAGTTGTTGCTGACCACTATCTTTCTCATTTTCTACAACCATAACAAGTACCCTGCGAGAACTTTGGCCAAGCTGACCATTGCGGATGCTATCTTGCTCATTTTCTACAACCATAACAAGTACCCTGCGAGATCTTTTGACTTTATATGCGGATTTCTCTCTGTCTTTGGCGCGACGACCTTTAGTATGGCAGGGAGGAAGGTCGACGTTGCCTCAAAAAACACCATTCATGCGGAATGATCGCTCCTGGATATTTCATTCAAGCGTTATAATTTGCAACTTTATCATCCAGGATTTCTCCAACCAAATGCAATCGAGATTCGCATATTCTAGGTCCAAGTGATGGCTCTGGCTTGCGGTGGTGGACGCCTTGGCTGCGTGCCGGCGCCACGATTGCGATTGCGATTACCAGCGCGAGCTCTTTCCTCGGGCGATGTGCAAGGCGAGTGTGGTAATGGTTTTCTTGTCACCCACCGCAGGAATTTCCTCCTGGCTGGAGGATCGCTCATTCTCCACCAAAGCTGCGTCCACCACCAAGAGGCAATCGCGGTGTCACAAACCCTCCTTGCGGGACGCGTTCCCGGCCTTTCCCTTCCTGACGAGAATGGTGAGAGTGAAATTTCCATTGATTCCAAGATCACATCTTTCATTGTACAGGCATCAGAACGTACCGAAGACCCGATGAGAAATCTGGCGGCCATGGCGTGGGCTGGAGTCCCATGATACCATACTCTTTCCGAGTTCCACAAAACTGGCAAGAGGTAGGCTCCGTGAACATTCTCCATGTCCATCCGCAACATACTTTCGTAATGCACAGGTTCCCGTGTCTATAGCGGACCTGGGTGGAACCGAGATTGACCTCCGGTTTGCCAGTAGCGAAGAAGGCAGCATCGCAGTCGTCGTGGCTCCCGTGAGGAGATTTTCAGACAGTGAGTAGCTAGAGTGTCTCAAAGCATCTAGACTCATATCGATTTGGATGGTGGCAGCAATCGATGACAATGCCAAGATCGAAGAGATCGGACCACCAGAGAAGGTGATCGACGCGTTCGGGCCAGAGGTGACCGGCAAGAACATCGAGGGCAGCGTCAAGGACATGGAAGTGAAGCAGTACGATGGGAGAACTTACTACCAGTACGAGCTGGAGCCACACGTACTCATCACGGCAACAGCCGCTGGGAACAGGCTCTATCTCATGTCTGTCAACGCGAGCGGTAAGTTTTTCTTCTCACGAAGTTCTGTGTTCCAATCTATCTCTCTCTCTCTCTTTGTGTAGGACTCCAATGGCGGAAGCATGCCAGGGAACTGCGAAGCATCCAGGATTCGTTCAGAGTTGGCTGATTCACATCAAGCCTTAACATTGTTTCTAGTTGTAGATTACAAGAGTCCAGATGTTTCTATAGAGCGATACCAGGTGGCGGCATTTGTTCACTATAGACAGACACCTTGGAAACGATTGTCACGTTCTTAGAGGCCGTGACACACGGCAATGGCTTAGCTTAGCGGTACATGGAACTCGCTTGCACACGGAGGCGCTTCAGCTCGCTTCTGGGGAGCTCCACAGAGCCGTCGCGCATTCGGCTGCTCCACAGGCAGATGGTGGCGAGCGGGCTTGGCGATGACACGTATCTCATCAACTTGGTGATGAAGATGTACAGTAGGTGTCGCTGCCTCGACGAGGTTGAGCGTGTCTTCTGTTGCATGGCCGGACCCAACGTGTTCTCGTGGACCATTGTGCTCGAGGCATATGTCCGTAATGGGCATATGGAGAAAGCTAGAGTTCTGTTTGATCGGATGCCGGCTAGAAACGTCGTCTCTTGGACAGTTATGATCCACTCCTACTCAAAACGAGGTAACGTTTATGAGGCTCAAGCCCTGTTTGATTTAATGCCGGAGCGCAACACTGTGACATGGAACGCTTTGCTTGCGGCATATGCCTCAAACAGGCATCTACACGCTGCAAAGCACACGTATGACTCGATGCCCGAAAAGGATCTTGCGTCTTGGACCACCATGCTGCGTGCTTTTGCAAGCGCGGGGCACGTAGAAAATGCGGCATGCGTGTTTTCTTCTATGTCCCAGTGCGATGTCGTGGCATGGACGGCTATGGTTTACACTTATGCCGCTGCTGGGCATTTGGAAGCGGCAATGACCACCTTTGAGAAGATGCCCGAGTCGACGTTGGTAACATGGAACGTTCTCCTCGTTGCATATTGCCGCAATGGCGACTTGAAGGGCGTAAAGCTCGTGTTCGACTCAATGCCGGAGCGAGATTTGGTGTCCTGGACCGGATTGCTCCAAATCAATTGCCAGTGCGGAAACGTCGAGTTTGTAAAACAAGTGTTTGATTCCATGCCCGAGCGTGATACAGTTTCCTGGAACATCATGGGAGCGGCACAGTCGCAACGCCGCAGCTACACGCAATCGATCCAGCTGCTTCGTACCATGACAATGGAAGGGGCGGAGGTGAGCCAGAGGTCAGTGTTGAGTGTTCTAGCTGCTAGCAACGATGTTGGTCTTCTTGAACAAGCCCGGCATTTGTTCCTGCTCATGGCGGGCGACCATGGAATAGCTCCTGCTATGGAGCACTTCTGCTCCGTGGTGTGCCTCTTGGGGCGAGCTGGACGTGTAGAGATGGCACAGGAGCTCCTTGACACCATGCCATTCATTCCTGACTCCGTTGCTTGGGCTGCATTGTTTGCTGCTCATCGGATCCATTCAAGCTCTTTCCTTGGGCATTGATGCCGGAAATGTTGGACATGAGCACACGCGTATGCCGTCACCAGCGTGCGGAAAAGCGTTCTCCCGCTGCGAAGATGAGTTGCATAAGAAAGGCATAACGATTTGTCAGCCGTGACGCACATTTTTATTTCCTTGAAAAAGGAAAGAACAAAGGGTAGAGTCATATCAAGAGTTGAGAGAGAGAAGCATTTTCATGGCCATGAACTCTTGTCGGTTGCTTGGCATGATGATCGGGTAGTTCCACTTGACAGCCACATCCCTCTCCCACCCGGTTCAATTAGTCCTGTACTGCAGCAGGTCGCGTTCTAACATAGAGTTTACAGTATCCTGGTTCTCAAGGAAGCATCCAGGAGTTGGCCGATTCACATCAAGCCTTAACATCTAGCTATAACCATGTCATTCATTCCCGACTCCGTTGCTTGGGCTGCATTGTTTGCTGCTGATCGGACCGACTCAAGCTCTTGCATTGATCCCGTAGATGTTGGACATGAGCACGTATGCCGCGATCTGGCTCTCGTCCATGTCAAGCAGCTTGTGGTAAGCCCTTGTCCCCAGCTCTACGTTGTTCCATTTGTGACACGCTGCCAAGATGATAGTCCAGGTGACTTGAGTTGCACAGAAAGGCATGGATTCCAGCGTTGACATGGCCTCCTCCAGGCGATTAGCACGGCCCAGCATATCGATCATGCAGTGGTAGTGTTCGATGCGAGGCTTGATCCTGTGTTGCGAGATCATAGCTCGGAAGCACTGCCTTCCCTTGTTAACAAGCCCCGCTCGGCTGCATCCCGTGAGAAGCGACAGAAAGGTAACATCATTGGGCTCCAGGCCGAGTTCACGCATCAGGGACAAGAGCTCAAGCGCGAAAGCGGCTCCATCATTTCCGTCTCCTGCTTGACAATATCCCGCAATCAGTGAACTCCAAGTCACCGAGTTTTTGGTGCTTGTCGAATCGAAAACCTGTTCTGCGTTGGCTAGGCTCCCGCATTTGCTGTACAAGTCAATGAGGCTGTTTGCCAAGAACACGTCCCTCTCCATTCCGTGCCTGCAAATCTCCCCGTGGAGAAACTTTCCAGTTTGAAGTGAAGTAAGGCTCCCGCAAGCAACGAGTGCAGCAACGAGAGTCCGAGCATCCGGGGCGATTGCAACGACTGATGACTTCATGGCTGCGAACAGTTCCAGGCATAGCTCTGCCTCTCCATTCTCAGCGTAGCCGAGGAGAAGCGAGTTCCAGGATGCGTTGTCCCAAGTGGAGATGGTATCAAAGACGCTACGAGCATCCAGCAAGCTGCCACACTTGGTGTACATGACAAGGATGCTGTTTCCCACATATATGTCCGTCACTGCAGCCGCGTCCTTGCAAAGCTGGGAGTGTAAGCCCATCCCGTGCTCCAGGCTGCTCACTTTGACAAGCCTTCCACGGACAAGCTTGCCTGCTTCTTCTTCCGCCAGGGCCGAGACAGCCATGAGAGCCGCTACAAACGTGCAGGCATTTGGAGCCACGGAGCCTTGAGCTTGCATGCGCGAAAACAGCTCCAGTCCGGCCCTGCTTTCCCCGTTGTGGACGTATCCAAAAAGTAGAGCTGTCCACGAGACGACGCTACGGACTTGCATCTTGTTGAACACCGCTCGAGCCTCTAGCAAGCTGCCGCAGCTCGCGTACACGTCGATCAAACAGTTTGCTACAAAGAGTTGCGAGTCACAGCCGGTCCCAGCAGCTTGAGAGTGGATTTTCGCAACCTCCTCCTTCCAACATACTACGTTTGGTTCTCCGGGAGTACTGCCTTGCTTGGATATGAGTGACGAGCAGCAGGAAAGAGCAGCCACAAACGTCCGCGCATTCGGCTCCCATCCATGATCCGACACCGTGTGGAAGAGCTGGTGCCCGAGCTCGGCTTCCTCGTTGTCGACACAGGCCGATATCAAGGAATTCCACGACACCAAGCTATGGCACGGCATCCTATCGAAGACCATCCTGGAATCCAGCAAGCTCCCACACTTGGCATACATATCCACCGCGGAGTTGGCCACAAACAAGTCCATGTTGCCGCTACTCAGAGCCCGGGAGTGTAGAGCCATGGCCCTGTCCAGCAACTCCAGGCCATCGCGATCTCCTTGTCGTGCTGCCAGGCTCGCACAAGCCACCATTGCCGCTACAAAGGTCCTGGCATCACAAGCCGGCATGAGCTCCTCCACCAAGTGAAGAGCCTCGGCTTGGTAGCCAGCGTTGATCGCCAGGCCCAGGACGAGCGCGTTCCAGGAGACGAGGTCAGGGCGCGGGATGGCCACGAAGACGGCGCGAGCATCCGCGGGGCTGCCGCATCTCGCGTACATGCTCAGCAGCGTGTTTGCTACGTGAATGCCGGTGACAGTGGCGTCGTGGGCAGCATCGCAGTGGAGCTTCCTCCCCAGCTCCACATCGCCAATGCTGCCGCATGCCTTGAGCGCGCACAGCAGCTGACCTGCTGCCTTGGTGGAGACGTCGCGAGCAGCAAGATCTGGGAGGCGATGCGCGAGCAAGATACTTACAGCAGCGTGCTCGCGCCCACACACGATGGTGCGCATCCACGACGCGAGCCATTCAATTCCTTAGGGAGGGAACCCTAATCTCTCTCTCTCAAATTATTTGATGGCCATGGCGAGCAATCCGGTGCCTTGGCCTGGGCATCGAAGCGCTCCTCCGCGCACCAGGAGCGCGCTCGTGTCTCTGGCCAGCTGCGCGGCACTCGTGCTCCATCCGCCGCCATCACAAGCGCTTGCATTCGACTGGCTTGGGGGCCAGCAGCAACAGCAGCAGCAGCAAGAGCAGCGAGTGGAGCGCGATCCGGTGGAGCCATTCACAATCTATGGAAGCATCTTGTAGGTAATCCTCTTTTTCGTCTTTCTCAGCTTTGTCTTGTCAGCAAGAAGTATTTTATCGAGCAGATTGTGGAGGGGAAGATTGTCGCTCGGAGAAAGGGCTTCACGGCGTCAGCATGGTAGGAGAAGCTCTATCTTTGAAGATTGCTGATTCTTACTCTTTCTTGTCTCCATGAATCTATCTAGCATGAATGTTTTGGAGGCCAGCTTGGAAAGCCCGGAGCTTCAGGCAGTTCCAGCCGGATTGAAGGTCTGACGTTTGAGAAAGTGTGGATGGCATCTCAGGAAAATGCAGGTGACGCTGCTGGGGGAGCCTTGCTGCGGTAAAGGAGAGGGGCAATCGAGAGAGGAGTCGTGCTCACAGCCTTGTAGCATGGTTTGCAAAGCTGCTATCGCTCGACACCTTCGTCATGTCAACGAAACAACAGGCTACGTTCTAGATCCGGATGACACCAAGCGAGTCATCGGCTCGTGCGTCAACCAGTGCTCGAAAGAATGTAAGTGAGCGTCTTGTTCTAGTCTCGATCATTGATTGATTGATTGGAAAGCCATTTTTTCACAGGTACCAAACCAGGAAAGTCTATTTCCTTTGTGCTGCCCTTCAGGCCGAGAAAATGAAAACATTCTCGTTTATACAATTTGGACAGTACAACACTGTGTCTACTTTCTCTACACACCTCTGCTCATTGCCGGTGCCGAGGTGGTTCTCTGCCATGGGAACAAGTTTCCCTCGATGTACGTTCTCGTACTTCTGTCCTGCTTCATCAACTCGATTAACTTGGTGGCAGGGATGGAGCACTCGTGTAGCTGCGTGAGTCTAAACACCACGCTGATGCAGTCATCCTCGCGCATCATCTTGCTTACCTCCTTCAAGCTGGAGGCGGAGGTCATGAGCTTGGCCAAGAGATTGAGAGTGCGCGTCTTGCACTCGTTGCTGCTGGACTTGTCCATGATATTCCTCAAGGCCGACACGGAGGCACGGGTGAGAAGCATGCTGCGCACTTCCTTGCACAGGCTTGCTTCCTGCAACAGGCTTGCCAGGATTGCCAGGGCGCTCCTCTTGATCTTCTCGTCGTGGTCACCTTGGCTGGCGTAGTCTTCCTGCAGCGGCTTGACGAGGAAGGGGATGCTGTCTCTCAGCAGCAGCTTCAGTTGCTGAGTGCCCGGAACGGTGAGCGTCTCCAGAGCGGAAATCACGTACGTTATCCTCTCAACGTAGCCTTCCCGGCGGCTGTTAGTGAGGCAGAACTTGTAGACGGCCAGCAAGATCCTGAGTGCGTTATCGGTTCCGGAACTAAGGCTGCGGGCGAGGTTGCGGATGAGACAGGCACTGTTTACGACCGCGGCTTGTGATCTCTCGCCAGTCTTCTGGAGGATGTTGAGCAAGTGGTTCATGATCCCGTTGGAGATCATACTGCCGCGGATACCTTCCATGGCCTCGCTCAGTGCACCGATTTTCAAGAGAATGGAGATTGCCAACTCCTGCAAAGATAAAGTCAGTGTCAGCCTATGTTCTACCGAACAGGCAGCGTACCTGTACCCGATCGTTGTCCGGAGAAAGGCACTCTATCAGCTTTGGGATGGCACCTTGCCTGTAAAGCTCTACCTTCAGGGAAGAATCCTCCACGGCGATGGAGAGCAACTCCAGAGCCTCGAGCCTCGCCTGTGGCAGCACGGACAAGAGCGGCTTGATCGCGTGCGAAGAAGTTTTCAGCGGACCCTGGAGGCATGCACCGTCGTGGTGGGCGAAAGAGGAGAGTAAGCACACTGCTGCTCTTGTCACGCTGCCTGGGGCATCCATCGTCAGGAGCTTCATCAGCGCTTGGACGTATTTGGGCGACGCTTCGCACTGCTGCTGGCTGCAGCAGGAATAAAGAAGAACCAGCGACGCAGAGATATCGTCAATGCATGGCTCCCCGCAGCGGCCAGACTTGAGAGCTTCCAAGCCGGTGTGTCCGAAACCCGCTGCCAAAAGCACCGAGTGAGACGAGGTGCTGCTCTCCACCAGGATTCTGATCGATGCTACCGCGTCGTCCATGTACTCGCTCCTCGAGAACGCTTCAAGGAGGAGCGGGATCTCCTCCTGCGTACATGGTCTGCTGCGGCTCACAAAGGAGAGTAGCAGCTCTCTGTATGTTTCTCCTGCTTCATCCGCCAGCTCTACGAGATGGAGCCGGCTCGATCCGCCCAGGCTTGCCAGTCCCTCCTCTCCTCCTCTGCTAGCGTGCACCAGCAATATCTCCGCCACCTTCGTTCTGATGGTTTTGCTGCGGCCATGCTGTAGCACGTAGCCAAGCTGCTTGAGGCTTGGCTTCGACACTATGACATCGCTCCTCTCAGCCAGTGACCACAGCGCAAGAGACGCGGCTGATTCTCTGCACTGCTCGGGGAAATTCTCGTCAATGCAACAGCACAGGAGCTTGTAAAGATCCAAGCTCTTGAGTGCCAGATGCCTCAGCTTGCCGTTGCCTGCCAAGAGTCCCAGCGATACCATAGCCTCCGTGACGCACTCGGCACTGTCATCTGTCTGTATGGTGTTGCCAAGCACTCCAATCCCTCCAGCTCTGGAAAACTCCTCCTGGCATGCACTCGAGCGTAGGAGAGTTGTGAGCACAGCAAGAGCTCCCTTCCTGCACGTTGAGCGTGGCGAGACTGCAAGCACCAGCAGAACTGTGACGCCATCGTTTTCGACCACAAGCTCCTTGCATGCGGGATCCTTGGAACACAGCGTTTTGAGGAGCTCGAGCGCCTCGGCCGTGCAGTCCTTGACTTGGAGCGTATCCATGAGGCGAGACGTCAGCCTTTGCACGTCACCAAGTTCGAAACTCCAGTCCTGCTGCAAGTCTAGACAGCCGGCCGACAGACGGAGTATGCTCGCGAGCAGAAGCGCGTTGTCCGAGGGATGAAATGCCGAAACCAGCTGCACGATGAATCTGTGGTATCCCGCTTCGACCAAGTCACTGAAGCCTTCGTTCTTGGCAAAGTGCTCCAGTACTGTGATTGCGGCTTCCTGAGAGTCCCCGGATAATGAAGCTGCGCAGCGAACCAGGTGAGATACAGCATTCTTCTTCTTCAAAACCGCGCAAGCTCGAGACGATCCGGAAGACACTGCGGACTTGAGTGCCAGAACCGACTCTTGAACAATGCAATCTTCCTCCGACTTGAGAAGATCGAGGAGACATGCTACCAAAGAGGAGTCACCGCTAAAACTTGCGTCCTTGTTTCTCGATAGCTTCCGGAGGCATCGAAGGGAAATGTCCATGCCATCTTCAGACTCGGTAGCCAGTGCCGCGAAGGATGAAATAATTCCCACCTGAGAGAGGAGGAACTCCGTGGCCTCGGGAATCGATAGCAAGTTGGTGATGGTCTCCGCGGATTTCAGTCGAACCGTCCCCGTTCCTGTGGTGACCAGATCCAAGCAGTGCTCAAAGATCTCGCTCACAACCTGTCCTGTATCATCGGCAGTAGCTTGTCTGGAAGTCATGAGCGCAAGAATAGCTGCGGTTTTCTCCACCACCATTCTCCTGGATGACTTGAGCAGTTTTACAAGCTGTGCTGTGCCTCCGGACTGGAGGATTGATGCTGCTCCACTTGTGGATGACGCGACTTCGAGCAGGCAGTTGAGCGCCCTGAGCTGCTTGATATGGTTGTCGGACTCAAGCTCCGAGACCGTCTGGAGAACGAAGCCCTCGTCGTAGCTTCTCTCCACCACGTCCACAACTGGTTCGTCAACATCCTCGGCGTGCGCAGGAGAAGCTGTTTGCTTCCACCTAGAAAGACATGTATGGGTGGTTTTTAAGATGAAGTCAGATAACGCGAGACACGAACCTGGCGATGGCATTTCGCAAGGCAATGTTGTCGATGAGCAAGTCGGGTTGCACAAGAGCTCTCGAGTTTGGACAGACGGCAGGACCGTTGCTAAAGCACCGCTCGATGCAGTGTCTACAGTAGGAGTGGCCGGACGTGAGAAGGACCGGTCGCTTCATCAAGTCGTGACAGACGGAGCAAAGAAACTCTCCTGGGATGCCAGCCGCGTCCACCTCCAAGACTTTGCCATTAACTTCGATCTCGTCGATGCAGAAGATGATCTGCTCCAAGAGCTTTTCTTCGATCCTCTGCTTGGAAGAAGAAGTCGTGCCAACTTGTGTCATCAAATCGCTCTTCGATCGCTTCATGTCCTGGCGTGAAAAGAGACTTTCCATTTGGCAAACTTTTCGATCGGCAAAAGAGTACTTTACCTGCCATTCCCTGCGCACGGTCTCCATGTCCGACTCGAATTTCTCCGCGAGCCACGCTAGAAGCTTGTCCAAGGTGCTCTCTTGTTCATCTTCAGTCCTCCTGCTCCGCAATATCGACAACACCTGCAACCAAAGCTCGAACACTCTCGCTCGCTACTTGGCAGGAAAACATACCTCGTCCGCAAGGTCTTGCTGCTCTTGCGTGTACGCGCTCTTATGCTGGAGCTCCGTGCTCAGCTTGGAGAATGCGCTCGCCAGCTCCTTCACGTCGGTTTGGATTGCCGTTGCTTGCGTGAATTGGATCTGCAAACACACAGTTCTTAGTATTCGTACAGTCACCGTCAAGCACACCAGCGGGACGGACTTGAGGAAGCCATCTATACTGCCGGACACGACGCTCAAATCTTCGTTAACCTCCTTGCTCATGAAAATGTAGCGGAGAATGCTGGCCCTCGATGTCTTCTCCAAAACCCTGCCAAGCCACTCGAGCTTGCGATTTTTGAGTGCGGATGGAAGAAAGATACCTGTAGGCGTCCTCGAGGCATTTGTTGAGGCCCTCGAAGCATGCCTTGGCCTGAGGGGTGAGTGGCGCTTGCGGCGTTCGCGAGTTTTGGAGCTCCTGGAGGAGGCGAGCCAGCCTACACACCTGGTCAATCAGCTCCCGGCATTTACCTCTCTGCTTGGGGACATCCTGGTAGTTCCTCACGATGCGATAGGCGAGCTTGAGCGCATCGGCCACCAGATCTATGTGCTCGATCACCATCACCGACCCAAGCTATGGAGTGGAATGGAATGATCGATGCGATGGAGAGAATGATGAGTAGAGCTCCGGAAACTTGGGATCGATGCGATGGAGAAAATGATGAGTAATCCGGAAACTTGGGATCCAATCCAAAAAGCCTAGGAGGCTAGTCAAACAGGCTGCACGTTGCTGTAGGGTCGCGGCCAATGCCGCGTTACTTAGCTCATATGTTGCTCATCAAGGAGATAACTGGATAGAAGATACTTGTCCTGGATAGAAGAAGGGATGTTCCCGCAATTCTCGGTGGGAGAAATTACCACGTCAACATTGAGAGTTTTTACGGCGACTATTTTACCCTTCGCGGCGCGTTCGTCCGATTCGCCAGGAATCTCTTGCGCTGGAATGTTATCACCAGAAAATGTGGTGAGTGGAATAATGAGCTAAACACGGGCTAGCTGAGCAAGGAGGAGCGAGGAGGCCATGGCCGTGGCTGCGCAGTGCCTGCGCTGCCCCATTGTAGCTCGCCCCTCCATCGCCCAACAGCGCATCACAAAGGTAAATAACCTAGGAGGTGGTGCTCGTGGCTTTGGCATCGGTGGAGCACCAACATCGATATCACGACGCTACCATGGGCTTGGACGAGTTCTTGTCTTTGCTCGCGTCTCCAACAAGTCCGAGGTGCTACCGTCGGCGAGCGCCGATGACCAAAGTCCTCCTCCGCTCGTGGGTGAAGACTCTGCGGTGTTTGAGCTCCAGAGCCAGAAGCTTTCGTCCTGGCTCTACTTTACAGCCATTCTTGCCGCCGTCACCGTGGTGCTCTACTTCGCGTGGCTCGATCCAACCACGGGCTATGGAACCGCTTACGTCGACTGGCTCTCCACGCTCACCAACAATTCTCCCGAGGTACATCTTTCTTCTATCTTTCTTGTTTCTTTCTTCATGAGATAAGTGTCTTTGCAGCTCGTGATCACCGCTATGCTCGCCATTTTCGCTCTGGTCCACAGTGGCCTGGCCAGTTTTCGCGACCGAGGCGAGCAGCTCATCGGCGAGAGGGCGTACCGAGTTGTTTTTGCTGGACTGTCGCTTCCGCTGGCAGTTTCTGCCGTGGTCAGTCACCAAGCACGAAACATCTTCCAGTCGTGCGCTTATTTACGCTCCACTTGTTCGCACAGGTGTATTTTATCAACCATAGATACGAAGGTGCCCAGCTATGGCACGTCCAAGACGTTCCTGGAGTTCATCAGCTGGTGTGGCTTCTCTCGTTTACGTCATTCTTCTTCCTCTATCCGTCCACGTTTAATCTGCTCGAAGTTGCTGCTGTCGACAAGCCCAAGCTTCATATGTGGGAGACTGGCATCATGAGAATCACACGGCATCCCCAGGTATGCTACACAGTCCAAGCTCGAATTCATGTTGTAAATGGATCCTTTCCTCTGCTCGACGCGCAGATGGTTGGACAGTTCATGTGGTGCTTTGCTCACACGCTATGGATTGGCAGCTCCTTCACGCTGACCACGTCCATCGGGCTTCTCGCTCACCACCTTTTCGGAGTGTGGAACGGTGACAGACGACTTTCCCTTCGCTACGGCGACGCCTTCGAGACCGTGAAGCAGAGAACGAGTGTAGTGCCCTTCGTGGCTATAGCTCAAGGCCGACAGAAGCTGCCACGGGATTTCTACAAAGAATTCCTGAGGCTACCTTACTTGATCATCACAGCACTGACTTTGGGGGCGTATTTCTCGCACCCGTTGCTTCGCTTGGGGAGCTCCAGTTTGCACTGGTAGCTCCAGTCTTCTACGTACTCCAGGTCTTTCTAAAAAGTTTTTGTGCGGTCCCCCCGCACTCAAGGTACTTACGAGCTTTGGTCTGTCTAACGGTGTGATGCTTGCTTGCTGCTCAGGTAGCCAGACCATATCTAGTCTTTAGATCTATGCCCAAGATGAGTGAGAATCCATTCTATACGGATGCACAGGGCTGATATCATAGTTTCAAGGATGCCGGTGGAGCACTTATTCAGTGCGTGGCATTTCAGCCACTGGCTGTCCAAAAGAGATTTGTGGCCGCTACCAACTTGTCCGGGTCCACCGACACGCTTTTTGACGATGACAAGTAGACGTGTGAGTCACGATGTTTTCGCTCGAGTTGCAAGCCTTGATTTTTGGGGGAGATGGCACCGTCTGTCAGTATGGAGCTTGTGCTGGCCGCGTTTATTCTTTGCTGCAAGATCGCAGGTGTGTGTGACAGGATAGATTTTAGATTTCTCTTTTACGTACTGCCTGGCATACCAAATGTTTCTTCCGTGTTTGCAGGAACACAAGCGATCGGTGTCAATTATGGCAGAATCGCCGACAACCTTCCAGCTCCAGACGCAGTTGCTCAGCTGGTCAAGTCCCAAAACATTGGCATGGTTCGGATATTTGATGCCGATCCCGCTGCCATCCAAGCCTTCGCGCGCCAAGGCATTCCGGTGGCTATAACTCTTGGCAACGGGGAGATTGCCGGGGTTGCCTCGTCTCAAGCCGCTGCCGACGGATGGATCGCCGGGAACGTCATGCCGTACGGGTCCATCGTCTCGGTCGTCATTGTTGGGAACGAGGTGATCAAGTACAACCCGGAACTCAACCCGCAGCTCGTCCCGGCCATGAACAACATCTACACGTCGCTCGTCAACATGGGAGTGGCTTCCAGAGTCAAAGTGTCCACGGCTCACGCCATGGACATTCTGGATGCTAATGCGGCGTTCCCTCCGTCGGCTGGCATGTTTAGGAGTGACATCGGAGTCAGTGTCATGCAACCGGTGCTCGACTTCTTGGCACGCACAGGCTCCTACCTCCTTCTCAACGCCTATCCATACTTCGCCTACAGGGATGACAAGGGACAGAACCTTGCGCTCGACTACTCTCTGCTCCAGCCGGGAGCCGCGGGTTTCGATGACTCCAACTCGGGCTTGCACTACTCCAACTTGTTGGACGCTCAGCTCGACACGGTCTACTCGGCCATGCGGAAGCTCAACCACGACGACGTTGGCATCGTGCTGAGCGAGAGCGGCTGGCCGTCTGCGGGTGACTTTGGTGCCTCGCTCGACAATGCTGCCACTTTTAACAGGAACTTGATCCAGCGTGTTGCTGCAAACGCTGGCACTCCTCTCAAGCCCAACACTCCCGTGCAGGCTTACATCTTCTCTCTCTTCAACGAGAACCAGAAGCCCGGCGTGACGGAGCAGAACTTTGGGGTGTTTAGGCCGGACATGTCCAAGGTCTACGATATCACTTTCTGATTCAAGCACTAACTTCTCAGTCCGAAATTTATTTTGATTCTAGAGAGCACTAGCGTTACTTTGAGCGGATCATTCGTGTTGTGTACTCTCGTTGCCTGTGATTTTCTTGCGTGTGGAGAAACTGAGAAAAACAACCAATACAATATGAAGCATCACACTAAACTAGAATCTGGAGCTAGTATAGTACTTACTTGCAGCCGATAACTGGGGCTCCACACAAGGTGGTGACGTCCTCCATGAAGACGAGGAACCATCTAAACTGGTGCGGGCCAAGGGCGCACAGGCAGTCCCAGGTGTAAGTAGCCAGAGTGTTGCAACAGAGGCGTGAGACGGTGCTGTTTGGCGGGCTCTCGCGAATAACAGTGGGCAGGCAGTAGCTCAGAATCGTCGCCGTCCGCCCCGTCGCGCAATTTGGCTCCGGACGCTGTTGTCCACCGGCATTCATCAGCAGCAGCGATACTACCACCACTGCGGCCAAAGATGCCAGCACAGCCGTCATGCTTACAAGTTTGTGGCGAGTTTTCTCTTGGCTCTCCTCATGCCGCTGACTTTAAGAGTTTTCTCTGTGTACGAGCGAGCTGTTAGGAAGGCCATGCCTTGTGGCTGATCCTACATCCATTGCAAGCGCACACACACGCGCAGGGCACAGGCTTTTTCATTTCCACGCTTAGTCATCAGTGTGCGTTTGACCATGGTAGACTGCATGGTCATTTAGTCAACTCCCTCGGAGCAAATGCATGGGTAAACCCTGGTCATGTTGGGGTAGAAGATACCAAAGTTTTGCTCCACGGCGCCGCGCTTGAGGTTCTCGTTGAAGAGCGCAAAGTGGTAAGCCTGAATAGGGTGGTGTGGTCTCAAGGGCGTCCCAGCTCCGCTAGAAACCTCCTGAAGGAGGTTGCAGAAGAAGTGACAGGATTTCTTCTTGCTGGCCCCAAATCCTCCGCTCGACGGCCAGCCCGTCTCGGACACCACGAGTCGCACCCCGCCGTAGCCCAGCTTGGTCATGGCCGAGTAGACGGCGTCCAGCTGAGCTTTGAGCAGGCTGGTGTAGTTGAGGCCAGTGTGTGGATCCATCATGGCGTCGGCGCTCACGTTTCCAAGCGCGTAGTCGAGAGAGACAGTGCGGCCTTTGTCCTGCTGGTAGACGTAGTATGGGTAGACGTTGACAGTGAAGGAGGAGTTTGTGACGAGCAGAAAGTAGAGCATTCTTCGCAGGGTCTCGCGGTACTTGCTCCCAAACGATCCGCTGGAAGGAGGATCGGTGCTGTCCAGGATGTCCATGGCGTGAGCTGTGGAAACCCGGATGGCTCGGCTCATCCCGACGCTGACCAACACGCGGTGCAAGTTTTCCATGGCCGGGACCAGGAGCCTGGCCATCTCTTGGTGCAGCGTGAGGATCTCGTTGCCGACGAGGATGGTCTCGATCTGGGCTCTGTAAGGGAAGATGTGCTGGTAGAACCACGCACGCGCGCAGCTCTCGCTCATGGCCACGTCGAAGATCATTTCGGTGGGCAGGGTGACGGACATTCTCACCGGGGATCCAAAGCGTGCAAATGCCCGAAGAACCGCTGGCTCTATGTCCAGAATCCTCACCCTGCTGATCCCTTCCCCGGCCACCAGGTTGGCAACATCGTTTGGCCTGGGAAGGTTGCTGGCGACGCGGCCATAGTTCACTCCAAACTGTGGAGGAGCTACTGCCATAACTTTGAATGAAGTTAAGGCTCCACCAAGCAAAGACCAGGAAACGGAGGAAAATTCTACGCACCTTGTGCTTGGCTGTCGCCGAGCAGGCTGCTCCAGAGCACGTAGGAGTACCAGATTACTTTCCTGCTGTTCATGGCATCCCAGAGGCGCGATTATCTCACTTGGCTACTGCTTAAAAGCCAGGCTCCATGCAACTTATGCGTGCTCCACCTACAAAGCAAAGCACGGGCTTGCTCCAACTAACCAGCTACTAGATCGTCGTCCTCGGTGCGTTCGTTTCTCCTGTTTTCAATCCTTTTCTTCTGAGGCTGGCTTGACAGGAAATAAAGTTTCGAGGCAGGAAAAAGGCAAAGGTGGTACATTGGCAAAAGTTGGAATAGACAAGGTGGCTACGTACACCTATGGATGAATGCCGATGACGACACGGACAAGCAGACAATACAGCCATTTCCCTTCTCCTTTTGGAACAAAAGTGAAGCAAAGCATGGACATGGAGTTAAATCTCCAAAGAGAAAGAGAAAGAGAAAGGGCGCAACTCACTTCATAAATTATACGTTGGTGTGGGTCATCGTCATCCAGAGTGATGGACACATGGAGCGAAGCTGTCTCCTGGAATTTTTTTCTCAAGGTAGTCTCCTTAGCGAATACTCTAATCAAAGCAAACAAGGGAAGTGGCAGGCACACAGTGGAGAAAGGCGAGGCAAAGTGAGAGGGACTGATGGATGCTCCTCACTACTGCCTCGCCTCTGGGGAGTTTGGTGGTCCATGATCCATAACTCTCATGATCGGAATATCGCACCAGTAGTGCTGTCCAGTGCTGCTGCTGCTGCTGCTGCTGCTGCTCTCGCATCGGCCAGGTCTGTGATCTTTGGAATGGACGATGGCTCAAAAGATTAAATGTTTTTCATGGTGACGAACAGGGGCGAAGGCAATGCAGGCTCGCCGAGACGTCACTCTTTCTCGAGAATTTGCAATGGTCACCTGCTTTGAAAAGACAGGGAATGTGGAGAGGTGAGACGTAGATCTGGGATGCTCGAGAGCTAGCTATGGCAACATGGATATTTGGGATTGTTGGAGCAGCGTCTGTCATCTCCGCGGCAGTGTTCGTCGTGTCCATCTTCCAGCTGCTCATCATGATCCACCGGAGGCTCAAGGCCGGCAAGCACCACGTCCTTCCCGTCGCTTCCGGCGGCGGCACCAAGGGGAAGGAGAGCCTGGTCAAGGGCGCTGTTAGAGGACACGTTCTGAGCTTCACGCTCCAGGAAGTGGAGCTACTGAGCGAGGGGTTTAGTAACCTCATCGGGCAGGGGAGCACCAACCGGGTTTACAAGGGAATTCTCTCGGATGGGATGGAGGTGGCTGTCAAGAAACTCAAGCAAGATGTTGCCGAGTGCTCGGATGTGGAAGCCAGCTTCCGGTTCCAGGTACGAGCGTCTTCCCTTCTCTTGCAGCCGCGGCCGCGCAGATGCCCAATAAATCGGCTGCTGCTTCCAGATGGAGCTTCTCTCACGCGTTCACCACCAGCATTTGGCAAACCTCGTGGGCATCTGCGACGAGAAACAAGAGAGGTAGGCATGGAAACTGTAGCTCGTTTTTCTGAAAGCTGTGTCCTACAGGATGCTCCTCTTCCAATACGCTCCCAATGGTACGCTGTTTGAGAACCTGCATACGGGTATGGCAACTCGATAAGTACGTACGTTAGTCTCGGGGGAAGAACTGACCCCCCGAGTCCCTGGTTTCAGGAGACGAGAACCTCTCGTGGAAGCAGAGAATGCGCATCATCGTAGGTGCTGCATACGGCTTGGCATACCTCCACCACCTATGCAACCCTCCAGTCATACACGGTGACTTGAGGTCTCGCAACATACTCCTCACTGAAGACTTTGCCGCAAAGGTATGGGCTATGGTGAATGAGGGAACTCTTTCCTTTCTTTAGTTTCTGAGAAAATTGAGAATGCCTTGGGAAGCTGAGCAGATCACAGGGCTGGGGAGGGTGCCTATTGCTGGGAGCTCGGAGCTGGCACTGGTTCGCAAGACGGGTGGCTACGTGGACCCGGAGATAGTGCACCGGGGAGTGTATAGCCGAGCCGGGGATGTGTTCTCCTTTGGTGTGCTGCTGCTCGAGGTTCTATCGGGAAAGCAGGCCTTCTCCGAGGAGACCGGCATGCTTGTGGAATGGGTACGCAATCTCTCTCACACTCTTGTGCAAGAAAGAGCTCATGCTGTTTGTGGTGCTGAACAGGCGCAGCAGTTCCTACAAAGCCGGGACAGGATGATGGATCTGGTGGACAAGTCGATGAGCAACGTGTGCCCCATGGAGCTCTACTCGGTTTGCGAGCTGGCGCGGCTGTGCACGCAGCGGGAGTCTTCAAGCCGGCCCTCCATGCGGGACGTGTCGGACTTGCTGGTGCAGTCTCTGGCCATCCCGGCCGAGGCTGCTGCCCCGGTTAGCAGCCCCGTCACCTTGAGAGGTCTCATGGAAGGATAGACAAACACGCGATTCCTTGACAAACAAAGAGCTCGCATTTCTTCACTGTCTAGTAGCGCTGAAAAGCTGCGGGGGTGAGAAATGCCCAACGCCCTGTCAAGAGAGTTTTATTCTTTCTCACACCCAACTGTGTACCAGCAGTCATAGCTCTTGTTGTTGTTGTGGCCCAGGAGCTCCAACAGCAGGCTTGAAGACATAGCTAGCCATGGAGAAGCTTCCATGCCAGCTCCTGTGGACTGCTTGAGCCGTAGCGCCCTCTCCAGCGGCTCCTAATGCCACCAACAATGGAAGGAAATGGTCGGGTGTTGGATGGTTGAGCTTGGCATACGGCGCCTTGTCCATGAACTGCGTGACTTCGTCATATCTGTGAGAAAGAGCATCAGGTCTTCATTCATTGCTAGCCAACTTTGCTTTTGTGCGCGTACCTCTGGTGGATCAAGCAGTCGTAGAGCCAGTCGTCGAAGGCCTTCCCCCAGTCCGGGACGGTGGGCAGCATGTGCCGGAGGTTGTGGGTGGTAGTCCCGGATCCGATGATAAGAACGCCCTCGCGGGTGAGCGGAGCTAACGCGCGGCCCAGCCGGTAGTGATAGGCGGCGTCCTTGTGCGACTGGAGCGAGAGCTGGAAGACTGGAATGTCGGCGTCGGGGAAGGCCAGCCACAGTGGAACCCATGCACCGTGATCCAGGCCTCGCTTGGGATCCTCGCCGGCTTGCTTGAATCCAGCGTCCTGGAGGAGCTGCTTGGCTCGCCTTGCTACGTCGGGAGCACCGGGTGCCTCGTACTTGAGCTGTGCCACAATCGTGCCTCTGGTGAGACTTCTTTTCCTACTGGGCGAAGAGATCTCACCTCGTAGAGCTCGCGAGGGAAGCCGTAGAAGTCGTGAATGGTAGGGTTGCGCGCTGTGGTGCTCACCATCGGATCCCGGGTCTCCCAGTGGCCGGACACCATGAGAATCGCCTTGGGCTTGTGCTTCACCAGCTTGGCCATGCCCTTCAAGAAATCCCTGACGGGGAGCTCCTCGAACGGCAGCTTGGGCGAGCCGTGAGAGACGTAGAACACATCCATGACCATGCTGCTGCTACCACCGCTGCTAGGGCGACCACTGCTACTGCCCCCGAGCAAGCTCGAGATATGTCGGCGAATCCCCAGTGGCGCAATTGCTGGATCAGCGTCGCCCGCGATCGCCCACAAGATGAGAATGAGGAGGAGGGGAATCATGGGCTAGGCTAGAGCCACAAATAGTGCTCTTCGATGGACCTTCCTCCATCTACCGATGTTTGACTTGCCACTTTTACTCGTTTTTCTTTTCATCGAGTGATCGATCAGCTATGGCACTGGCCAAGGCATGACACAGCGTGATGCCGCCTTCCACACAGCAGCAGGAGCAGCAGTAGCGTCGCCACCGCCTCCGTCGCGGTCGGAATGTATTGCTCTCATCCACTCGTGCACGCAAGTGACCGCGGCCCGCCGGATCCACGCCCAGCTCGGTCGATCCGGGATGCTACGCGATGATCAGGATTGCCAGCTCTCCTCTCGGCTCATCGCCATGTATGGCCGATGCGGGAGCGTAGAAGAAGCTCGCAAGGTGTTCGATGCCATCCCCGGTGATCGTGGCCACCACCACGCCGCCAGCAATGCGCTCTTGGCTGCGTATGCCGGCAATGGGCGACTGCAAGAGATGGAGCGCCTGTTCAACTCGATGGAAGGGAGAAATCTGGTGTCGTGGACTGCGATGCTCACGGCATTCTCCCGAAGCGGGCATCTTGTCAAAGCGGAGAGCGTTTTTGCGAGGATGCCTGTCCAGTTCAAGGATGTGGTCTGTAAGAACACGATGCTGGCTGCCTACACCCAAGCTGGACGCCTCCAGCAAGCCAGGAGGATGTTTGATTCCATGAACGACCGGGACGTGGCGTCTGGAAATGTGATGCTCACCGCGTATTCCCAGGCTGGGGAACTGTATCTTGCCAAGCAGGTCTTTGCTAGTATGCCCGAGTGGGATCTTATCTCATGGAATGCAATGCTGGCTGCGCTGGCTCTAGCCGGAGACTACGATGATGCAAAGAGATTGTTTTCACGCATGCATGCTAAAAATCTGATCTCCTGGAACACCATGCTCTCTGCATATGCCCAAAGCGGAGATCTTTGTGAAGCGCGCAAGCTTATGGACGCTATGCCCCGGCACAACATAATCTCGTGGAATTCATTCCTCACAGCTCATACGAAAATGGGGGACACAAGTAAAACGCGACAGTGTTTTGACCAGATGCCTGCAAAAGATCTTGTTTCCTGGAATGCCATGCTAGCTGCATACGCCCAACTCGGGCTTTTGGAGGAAGCACAAGAGCTCTTTCGAACCATGCCCGCGAGGAGCTTGATATCATGGAATGCCATGCTCACGGCTTCAGCACACGATGGCGACGTTGATGGAGCGGAGAAAATGTTTGCCACTGAGATTCCACTGCGAGATCTCGTCTCTTGGAATTCGATGCTGGCATTGTACACGAGACATGGTCTCATGGACAGAGCGAAGCTCTTGTTTCACCAGGAGATGGAGCAGCACGATCTAGTCTCTTGGAACGCGATGCTGTCCGGCTATGCACAGCTGAATGATCCGCAGCTGGAAAGTGCCCGACAGAGCTTTGTTGCCATGCCACAGCACGATCTCGTGTCTCACAATGCCATGATCTCGGCCTTGGCTTCCAGGGGCCATCTTCTTGAGGCCAAGTCCGCCTTTGACTCCATGCCTGAACGGGACGTCATCTCCTACAACGCGTTGCTTGGTGGCTACGTTCACGCTGGCGAGCTGCGAGATGCCGAGCTCGTCTTTTCTGCGATGCCAAAGAGAAATCAGGTGTCTTGGGCGAGCATGGCTGCCGGGTACGCCCGCGTCGGTGATGTAGAATCTGCGAAGCGGGTGTTCGACGCGACGCCGGAGCGGAATGTGGTGGCGTGGAACGTCTTACTAGCCGCATACGCCCACACTGGGCATGCCAAGGGGCTGTTTGACTCCATGCCGCAGCGGGACATTGTGTCATGGAACTCGTTGCTGACATCGTATGTGCAAGCCGGTGACGCTGAAAACGCCAAGAAGACATTCGACAGCATGCCGAGATGGAATAGTGTGTCATGGAATCTTATCCTCCACCTCCACCTCCATCTCCAGTCTTCCTCGCGGCACACCTTTGAGCTCCCACACGAGCATGACAATCAGAGCAAGGACATCGGGTGGTGGAATACGATGTTAGCGGCGGCTGGGGAGCAAGATGCCCGAAAGGCCAAGGAGGTGTTTGATGCGATGCAGCAGCGGAATCTCGTATCGTGGAACGCGCTGCTGTCGGCATACTCCATCAAAGGGAAAGAGCACCTGGAGAGTGCCAAGCACACGTTTGACGAGATGCCCGAGAGGGACGTGACGTCTTGGAATTGCCTGCTGTGCTCGTATGCCCACACCGGGTACCTGGAGGAGGCAAAGCTGATCCACGCCAGCATCCCGTATAGTGACGTCGTTGCCGACACAGCTATGCTCACTGCTTATGCGCACAACGGGCAGCTTGAAGATGCCAAGTGTTGCTTTGACGCTATGCCGCAGCGGGACGTTGTGTCCTGGAATGCTATGCTCACCGGGTTGGCCGCCTGCGGGCGTCTCGTAGAGCTACGCAAGCTCTTCGCCACCATGCCGGAGCGGAGCACAGTGTCGTGGAGTGCAGTACTGGCGGCTCACGCGGATTGCGGCGACTTCCCGTCGGTGGTGGCGATCTTCGAGGAGATGAAAGCTAGCGAGGTTCCGGACGAGGCTTGCTTCGTGTCGGCGCTGGCAGCTCTCAGTCACACTGGCGACTTGCGAGATTGCCGCAGCTGCCTGGTATCGATGCCTACAGACTACGGAGTGCGCCCGGTGAAGCAGCACTTCAGCTGCGTGCTGGACGTGCTTGGGAGAGCGGGGCATTTGGATGCTGCCAGAGAACTGCTTGCAAGCATGCCCTTCGCACCCGATGTTCTCGACTGGAAGTGCCTGCTCGCGGCGTGTAGGAACCACAAGAACACCCGGCAGGGAGCCATTGCCGCCACAAATGTTCTTGGCATGGATCCTAACGAGGGAGCGGCCTATGTGCTTCTCTCAGACGCACACACACGATGATCACACGATGAGAGACCTTAATCTTTGGCTTGTATTATAAGAACAGGTGCGAATTCAACGAGAAGGCACTGCTTCAGCAGTCGATAAGAATGGTGGGATCACAGCAGCATTCATCCAACAGGCAACAGCAGCACAGTGCTGCGAGACTGCAAATCACAATGTAAGCGATCTGTAGACTACTGGAAAGAGATTTACCATCCTTGGAGGAATCCACCGCTTCTCCGAGGCGGTGCTTGAGAGTAGTACTGTGGAGGAGGAGCAACAGGAGGAGGCTGCTGGTAATAGCCTGCACAGAGGAGGAGACCTTGATGACCCAAAGTGGAAATTTTGGAGAGTACCTTGAGGAGGATAACCTTGCGGTGGATATGGAGTCTCGTAGTCTTTCCCCATCGTTTCTTCGCTTTGCTCTAAGAAACTATCCAACGGGAGCCTAAAAAGCGATGGCTCTTTCGGATGACTTGTGGCGGTTTACGTGGAAGGACGCCACTGGTGGAGACAAATGGGGTGCTTGACTTGGGCGATTAAAGCAAAAAGATGCGATTCGCATTGTCTATTAAAGCAAGAGAAAGCGCGCGCTGCGCGTCAAAAAGGTGGGATCATAGCTTCAATAGGCCGGTTTGATGTTCATGGATGATTATGTACATTACACGGATGTGTGGAGTCGCTCGTATAAACGACATTTTTTTCTTTCTTAATCTATGACTAGGAACGATGGATCGCAGCAGCACTCGTCCACCAGGCAGCAGCAACACAGGGCAGCCAAGCTGATGAAAGTAAACTCCTGAGATCCGCAAAATGGAAGAAATAGAAGCTTGAGCTTTTACTTACCAGCCTCGGAGGAATCCACCGCCTCCATGCCTCCTTGGCGGAGGACCATAGTACTGCTGCTGTGGATAGTAGCCTGCTCGGTGCCAAGAAAAGGATTTGAGAGGGGGAAAATCTCCAGCTAAACTCGAGAGATCTTACTACCTTGTGGAGGATAGCCGGTGGGATAGCCGCCATGACCGTGACCGTGACCGTGATGGTGGTGGCCCTTTGCCGCGTCTTTCTTGCCCATTGCTGCTGGTTTATGTCAGAAGAACTTGAAGAAGGGCTTGCTTCTCTGGCCAAAAGAGCGCATATTTAAGCGCGGGGAGGAATATCCCTGGCGTCCCGATCGCGACACGCGGCGGCAATCGGTGACATTAGGTCAGTCGGCTCGAAAGATCTTGGTTGGGAAAAACGCTAAGGGCAGGAAAAGCAAAGGGATTGATCCGATTCTTCCCTGCAACTTGCAACAACTCTTATAAATCTGCATTGTCTGAAGACTGTATACCAGTGAGCTGGGATGGGCGAATGTGGGCCGTCGGATGGGAACCGGGGTATATGCCGCCCGCATTCAAAGCCGCCGAGAGGTAACCGCCGGCCGATTTAGGGCTTAAATCAGCATCCAAGTTAGGGCGAATAACTTGATTGTGGGATAACTAACTGTTAAAGCTTTTAAAGGGAGGCCACTCCACACACACACACACTCCATCGCGAGAGAGAGAGGAAGGAGTGTGCGTCGCTTTCCATTTCTTTTGTTGTTTTGCCTGGCCGCCGCTGCTGCTACTGCTGCTGCTGCTGCTGCCATGGTCTGGAGCTGACGAGTTCGAGCTCGCTTCGGCCCCCATTCTCGCTTGGGCATTCAAGACAGAACAAGGAAACACAGCAAACCCAGCCAGCAGCAGCTCTCTCATGCTAACCATAGAGGCGCATCCACATCTCGCATCGCTCTTTTCCTTAGAATGCTCCTTCTACTGCTGCTGTGAGTTGTAACATATCGATTGAGTGGAGGTCGCAGTACCAGGGCCGAGGAGGAAGAGCCTCCACTCCAGCACAAAGATGGCAGCAGCAGCAGCAGCAAGATCGGGCAGAATGTGGGTGCTGGGGTGGGCCGTGCTGCTCCTGGCCAGCGCCGGGCAGTCGGCCTTTGATTACAAGGATGCGCTGAGCAAGAGCATCCTGTTTTACGAGGCGCAGAGATCTGGGCGGCTCCCCACGGACCAGAGGGCGGCCTGGCGCTCCGATTCAGCACTCTTGGATGGGAAATCTCAGGGGGTAAGCAATGCGCGAGAATGTGGTATGCTGGTGTCGAGAGATTGATCTATATAGTTGTCGTTAGCTCATGATAGGATGCTAGATCTTCCAGTCTTGTGTGGATATATATGTCGGCTGAGATGTCGTTGTTGTGGTGGTGCCAACAGCAGCTAGCGGCTGTAGCTTAGTTGTTGCTTCTTGGCTTGCTTGAGCACTTTCGCGTGTTATAGATAGCTGCATTCGAGGATATCTTTCCCTTTCGGATGTGCCTTTGCGAATTGAGTACTTTGCGTTGTGGTGATTGATGGTGGCGCTGGAACTACCAGGTGGATTTGGTTGGAGGGTATTACGACGCGGGCGACAATGTCAAGTTTGGCCTGCCCATGGCCTTCACCATCACCATGATGTCGTGGAGCGCCATCGAGTTCCACAAGCAGCTCCAGTCGAGTGGTCAGCTCGGCTACACCCTCGACGCCATCAAATGGGGGGCCGACTACCTCGTCAAGGCACACCCACAGCCCAATGTGCTCTGGGGCGAGGTAAAAAAGTTAACCATGCTCTACTTGTGTATCTCACAACTTCCTTTCACTAAGGTGGGTGATGGATTCACGGATCACTTCTGCTGGCAAAGGCCCGAGGACATGACAACGCCCCGGAAAGCTTACAAGATCGATGCGAGCAACCCAGGGTCGGATTTGGCGGGCGAAACTGCCGCCGCTCTCGCTGCCGCTTCCATTGTCTTTAGAAGGCACAATGCGGCATACGCAAACAATCTCCTGGCTCACTCCAAGCAGGCAAGTGTAAAGAAGAGACGAGCTTTCTTTTTTCCATGACAGCTAAGTAGCATACTTACTATCTTCTTTGCTTTTGCGTCGTGCAGCTCTTCCAGTTTGCCGACACACACCGCGGCAAGTACGACGCCAGCATTTCGGTGGCTCAAAAGTTTTACAACTCCAAGAGTGGCTATGCGGTGAGCGTCCCTTATCATCAAAGATCCACTTGATACAGCAATGCATCAAATGCAGGACGAGCTGCTGTGGGCAGCCCTGTGGCTTCACCAAGCAACTCACGACGATTTCTACCTCAGCTACGCCGCCAACAATGCGGGCACTCTCGGGGGCCTAGGCTGGGACATGAAAGAATTCAGTTGGGACGTCAAGTATGCGGGTGTGCAAGTCCTTGCTTCCAAGGTATCCAAGCGACTCTTATACTACATGAACTGAAATTTCTTCCCTTTGGATGCGGACAGGTTTTGCTTCAAGGGAGAGGAGGGCAGCACGCATCGGTGTTGAGGAGCTACCAGTCCAAAGCCAATTTCTTCCTCTGCGCCTGCTTGCAAAAGAACGGCGGCGGAGGAAACGTCCAGCGGACACCGGGTGAGTGTTCTTTGCAACTTCTCAAATGTCACCTTACGTTTCACATGCAGGTGGCTTGCTCTACGTAAGATCTTGGAACAACATGCAATATGTGACGGGCGCAGCGTTCCTTCTCACCGTGTACTCGGATTATCTAGCAAGCTCCGGGCAGCAACTCCAGTGCCCGGGCCAGAGAGTTGGGTCAGGCGAGCTGCTTCGGATGGCACAGTCTCAGGTAAATTACTCTAGTCGAGTACCCTCTCCTGGATTGGATCAACGTTTCATGTGTTCTTCGACGCAGGTGGACTACATCTTGGGAGACAATCCTCGAGCGACGAGTTACATGGTTGGGTTTGGTGCCAACTTTCCCCAGGAAGTTCACCACCGAGCCTCGTCCATTGTGTCGTACAAGGTGAACCCCTCGTTCGTGAGTTGCCGCGGTGGATATGCAACCTGGTACAAGAGGCGAGACCGCGATCCCAACATTCTCACGGGTGCCGTGGTGGGAGGACCGGATCAAAACGACAACTTTGCGGACGAGAGGGACAACTTTGAGCAAACGGAACCAGCAATCTACACAAACGGCCCGCTCATGGGCGTTCTCGCCAGGCTCCACGGCGGCTACTACAACTCCCGCGACGACTCCGGATCCGACTTGAACACAAACCCAGTGGAGGCATTGCCGCTGCCTCCAACCAGTGCTGCAAGCCGTCCAGGTAGCTAATTACGTGCTGGTGGAAGCTTTTCTTTTCTCTGACACTGCCAGCCGCGTTTGCATATCCAGATGACTCGGTGGAGTTAACGCACGAGACAGTGGCATCTTGGCTGTTCAAGGGCCAGACATACTACAAGTACGCGGTGAATGCCACCAATGCATCCAAGCACACGCTGTCGAGCCTCAACCTCCGCATTGACAATCTCCAAGGCCCGCTGTGGGGGCTCACCAAGACCGACGCCACTACCTACACTTTCCCCGAGTGGCTGCATTCCTTGTCGCCGCACGGGAGCCTCGTCTTCGTTTACATCCAGCCAGCCGCAGCTGCGAAAGTCCAAGTTCTCAGCAGCAGCTGGGTGGAGGAGCGGGCATCGTGAGCAACGGCGTGGTTGATCCATCCTCTCATCTCGCTCGCATCCAGCGGCGGACGAGTCTATCTTCTACGTAAGTATGCTACCAAAGGCGGTGCTACAGCGAGAATAAAAACCAAGGTATGTATGTGTGATATACACAAGCAAGCGCAGTGTGCTAGCCCAAGCTAGCCGCTGGACGCTCGAGGTCTCATCCATCCGTGATCCGTTTGAGCTCGATCAGTCGAGAAGCTGCTTTGAGTTTCCAGTCGGGCGATGGAACAATAACGGACCGGTGTTTTTTTAATTCTTGAATGCGCTATTCGCGAGTATAAGCTTGTAATCTTTCCATGTGTGGAATTCCAACTCAAGAAATACGGGTTTTAGCTAGACCGAGGAGGATTGTTTCGTTTTGAGGCTCGAGGAAGAGTTAAGAGGAAGGGAAGATTTCGAGTTTAATGATTCATCGAGCCCAACCAACCTCTTAAATTCGAAACCAGAGAGAGAATGACGATTGACGATGACGACTGGATAATTTGACTGGGCCAACGCCAACTTGCTTTTAACCAGTGATCGTATTATCGCATATTCTCTCTCTCTCTCTCTCTCTCTCTCCCCTCAGCGCTAGTCGCTTTCCACACACTTGAAAATGCCCGGGATGGACGTGTTTGTGTTTCTCCCTCCCTTCCCATCTTTGTGTCTGAAGAAGAACGAGGAACTTCTCTAGGATTGAAGAATCAAGCCATGGCCAGAGGTGTGCTACTGTCCCCCTCTTCCTCCTGTGATCCACAGGCACAGGAGGAGCTGATGCAACTGGAAGAGGAAGATTTATGTGCGGCGATCGAGGAGTTCGCAAGGCCCGCGAGGATGGAGACCATCTTCGAGTCGTTTGAAGACGAGCCGGTGGAGCCAGAGATGCTGTCCAGCCCTGGGGTAGCAGCAGATGATCGATCATCTGCTGTGGGATATCCGTCCCGCCAAGAGAAGGAGCTTGATCGGGAGAGCAAGGATGTGGGCATGGTAGTGATGCATGATCACGGCAATGTCAATGTGGCATCGACATGGTCCTCGTCGTCGACATCCTGTTCTTCACCATCCTCTGCCTCCTCCTCGCCCAGACTCCTCCTCCAGCAGAGCGTCTTGGCATGGTGGGTCTGATTTATTGGATTCATTGGATTCATTGCTTTGGATGGTATGTAGGTGTGAGGCCACCGGAGCGGTAGCGAGGGTGAGAGTTCATGTCCAAGGCGCGACCTTTGAGCTCCACGAGGTACAGTTCCAAAGCTTTGGAAAACCGAGATACTGATCGAATGGCCATCCGTTACAGCTGCCGCTGGTGTCAAGGAGTGGGCTTCTGCGGCGAGTGCTCCAGTCGAAGAAAGCGAGCGGAGAGGTGGTAGAGGTGGAGCTGGGTGGCGACTTTCCTGGCGGCGCCGAGGCATTTGGGTGGGCGGCGGCGTTTTGCTACGGCGCTCACATCGTGGTGGAGCCGAGCAATGTGGCCATGCTGCGCTGCGCTGCCGAGTACCTGGAGATGAGCGCGGAGATGGGTCGGGGCAGCCTGGCGGAGCTGTGCGACATGTACCTCACCAAAGTGGCGCTCCAGAGCTGGGAGGGCAGCATCGGTGTTCTTGCCGCCGACATCCAACGCCTCCTCCCGCTCGCCGACGAGCTCCTCATTGTCACCCGCTGTGTCGATTCACTCGCCTCCATCGCTTGCACCCAGCTGGTGGACGACCAAGAATCCATTGCAGCTCCGGAGTGGTGGATGCAACAGCTGGTGGAGCTCCCATATGCCTTGTTTGCGAGGATCGTCGCTGCCACCCGGAGGCAAGGGATGGCGGAGCGCGTCATCGGGCAGCTCATGATCAAGTGCGTGGAGAGGTGGATATTTGGTCGTGGCGACGCGGACCAGCAGCACAAGAACAGGGACTACTACTTGTGGTGCGGCAGCCAGAGGCTGGAGAAGCTGGAGCAAAGGAGCGACAAGTGCCGGCTGCTAGAGTCCATGGTACGCTTGCTGCCCGTGGAGAAGCAGCAGCTGCTCCCGGTGAGCTTCCTCTTCCGGCTTCTGCGGCATGCACTGGGAGTCGGCGCTAGCACGGAATGCCGGCTCCAGATAGAGACCCGGATTGCCTGTCAGCTGGAGCTTGCGAGCGTGGACGATTTGCTACTGGGGCTGCCACTCAAGGATGGTCGGACGTCAAAGGCTCAGCTGGAGAGTGCCCGCCAGATTGGTTCGCTCTTTTTGCAGCAGCAGCAGCAGCAACAACAAGATGATCGTAAGCAAGGTGGTGGTGGAAGTCATGTGTTTAGCAGCAGCAGGGACGAAACACTGCTTTTCTTCACCAACATTGAAGCAGTGAATACCGTTTCCAAGATCTGGGATGGTTATTTGGAGTATCTGGGATATGATCCAGGGATCAACCCTGTCACCTTGTCTGACCTCATTGACGTCTTCCCGGCTTGTGCTCGGACAAGCCACGACCAGCTCTACAAGGCGATCCATGTCTACTTGAAGGTAAGTCATGTCTATCAATATGATCATCACTGCGAACGCTTTTGCGCAGTCCCATCCCCATGTAACACACTCGGAGCGACTGCTCGTGTGTAGGAGCCTCAATTGCCAGAAGCTGTCCCAAGAGGCGTGCATTCACGCCGTGCAAAACGAGCTCATGCCCCTGAGGACTATCGTGCAAGCTATGTTCATGGAGCAGCTTCAGAGCCGCCATCACTCGTCGCCAGCACCGCCAGTGCCCCCCAGCGGAGAGCTTCCCAGCCACGACACGTCTGTTGCTTGTTCTAGTCCCGAGCCTTGCAAAGACATCCGTGTCTCATCCTCCGTAGCCACCACCAACACAAACGGCAGGATCGCGGCCGAGGCAGCTCCGAAGAGATCATCCAGCCATCGGTTCCACCGCGAGCAGTTCAGCGGCTCCACCCAGGCGCAGCCCGATGATAGTAGCAAGTGCCCTTCGTCCGACTTCCCTTACGTCGTGGATTCTCAGCACAACACCAGGGCCTTGTATGTCAACCGTGACTTTGAAGCAGCCAAGTCGCGACTCAAGCACCTCGAGAAGGAGCTTGCGCAGGTGAAGAAGACGCTGCAACAGAACAAATGCCCGGGCATGGAGCACTTAAACGCAAGCGGCCCCAATGCTCACAAGAAGGCCTCCTACTCGACAAACTGTATAGGCCAAATGTTGCACAGCCAACGGGCCGGCATCAACTTTGGTCACAGGCTGCTCAAGACTTTTAAAAAGCTCGGGCTGGGGAGCTTGTGGAGGGGCAAATACAATGCGTGCTATGACGTTAGCAATACCACCACCACCTCCACCGACGTGGACGAAGAGGAACAGCACCGCTCCACATTCACAAGTAGTACTAATGAGTTTGAAGCTCTTCCTGCAAGATCCGGTACGAGGCCCGCCACTCCAAACAACAATCTATCCAGTGGCCAAAGGCGTCCTTGCCAGCACCATCGCAGTCACTCTGTTTCTTGAGCTGAAGTATCTCTCGCAAGCAAAGCAAGCGCTCAGATTGACCAAACTCAATTCAATGAGTGCTATTTTGGTGGTATTAAAAGCTTGCTTGGTATATCACAAGCAATGCAGGAGCAGGACGGACGGATGGACGGCGAACGAGCTCGTGTCATTTCTTTCCCTGCCATGGCCAATTTTTATTGTCGAACAGTGTGTGAAGCATCGCCCTTGGATGTTGCAATGAACTTTAGCTACCAGGATTTTCGGCAGGGATCCTGCCTGATCCTGGCGAATGTGAATTGAGTGCCCGTGATGTTGAACCGCCACAAACAAAAGATCTTCTTTACTTGAAATTTTGGCTTATGGGAAGTTGCTTTCAAGCATTAAAGATCGTCTCGTTGCTTTGTGTAAGACAGTACACGTTAAGTGTCCGCGTCCAATCCATCCACCTCCAAGTGCATGCGATTCATCCGGCTGCGCAGCTGAATCATAATGCTCGCTACAACGAGAGGAGCTGCCACATTCCATGGCGCCATCCCTGTCAATCCAAACCAAGTCTGTGTAAAACTGCTGCTTCGGCTCTGCTCATGCTCAGAGACAAGTGAATCAACAAACCGCCAAGCTTGGCCTGAGGACGAACAGTCGTTGATTGATGGTGAACCGCCCAGCACAGCACTTTGAAGCGCCATCCTGTCTGCCCTGCTTGTGTAAGCATGTCGAGAGCGTATTAACGGCATTGAATTGTTGATCCTGTTTGCTTCTCTTCTCCTTGCTTGCTCAACTGTTCTTGCTGTTGCTTGTGCATCAACTCCAGGATCAAACTCGCTTTGCGCCTGGCCCTGCTGGTGCAATTTTGCTCGAGCTCCACCACCAAGGCACGTACTGCTGAGATGAGTCGTTCTGGCCCAGAGCCAGGAGAACAGCAGCTGCATTCTCCTTGTTCCTTGCCAAGCCGGAACATATGAGCTTCGTCATACACCGCAAGACGCGTACCAGGCAGTAGAGCACAAGCGGGTGTAGGCTGGGCCTGATACCTCGATGGCATATCAGTGGCGTTCCTCCCATGGAGTGGTATGGGTCCAAGCAACAACCCTGTGGAGGTTATGCTTCCCCACTCTGTATCTTGCCCGTTATCTTGTAAGAGTGTTGTGTGACAAAGGAGTTGTATGCTTATGAGATTGCAACAGGGCAAATGTTGCTCAGTGGGTTAAGTCCCCAGCATCCCCTGAGCTACAATTCTGTGCCTTCGTCTCCTTATGTTCATGAGGCATTGTTTTGTAGCTTTTGTGTGTCTTTCGGGTATTAAGAGAGGTGCATGTGCGGCAATTGCTACTAGCGCCTCAACATGGGAGAGCTCGTCAATAGAGCATGCTCGGGTCTCCAAAGCCGCACTACCTAGTCTATAACAAATACCTCACGAGGGCATTCGCTATAAGCAGCAAAGCGACGCATGCTTGCCAGCTAGTGATGCTCCACATCCACCTGGAAGATGAGAATGCACTAATTTCTGAGGCTCATTTGGGTGCTGGGAGCCTGCTGCAACTTTCTAGACAGCCAAGCCACCTCTCTACTCTGGTTTCTCATTGGTGTTGTTTCCTGACTTTTGTTTAATTTAGTTTTTCATGGGGGAGCACAGCTTGAGACATTTTCGGGCTATTTCTCTGCTTGGCAACCACCAGAAGCTTGTACATGGAAGGATTGCTTGCATTGCAGCATTTTCCAAGATTGGGTATTTGTCTCCAGTGATGTGTTTTTGGGTACTTGCAAAAGCAGTAATTGTTTCAAGTTGTGGCAGACTTCAGCAGCAACTGTTACTTTCTAGTTTTTGTGGGAGTTCTACAAGCTACTGACATGTCCGTGGCAATTGTTCATTGGATGGACCCTACCATTATATGAGCATCAATGACTAATCCCATGACATATAACTTCTGGACGATGGATCATGCATGATTCAGGAGGGGTCCAGGAGCTCGCGGCAGGAAACCATATTGGTGATTGCCAGGACCTCAAGAGCATCATACACAGGCCAGCCTCAAGCTGCTCGAGGAGAACCATGGTGGTCCAAAGACCATACCAAGATCTTGATAAGAGATTTCTAATAAGTTAGAAAACACAAATTTATGCATTCAGCCATTATGCAATGTTTCATGTAGATATGTATTTGTCAGCTTTAATGAGGCTTTTTATTGTGTTCTAATCAAATTTATAGATTTGTTCTTTTAATACTCCAAGAACAATCCAGGCACTGTTCACAAAGGTAAGCCTGTCAATGCACAATTGAGCACTCAACAATCCATCCTGCTCCATGGCCTACTATGCCAACCTCAAGCTGAACTTGCAGTGGTCCAAGCTCATCCTCTCTCGATCCAAAATTTTCCTACTTTGCCACTGCTACTCCGCTGGAGTTTGATCATGACGAAGGGAAGTTGACCAAGTTCCAGCACAAGCTCTTATAGTAGGAGAAATCCTTCTAGCAGAATACTATTCACATTGACATTTTAAAGGTGCACTTTCAAACTTTAAATTTTAAAATTTCTATTTCAATTCTATAATAATTCCTTGTACTATACAGCAATATTTGGTTTATAATATTTGAAAGGTCTATGATGCTATATATTATTACTAGCATAGTGGATTGGATTCAATCTGGATCATTCATTGTATATAAACTAAAGTTATATGTGAGTACAAATATATGTAATCTATACAGTAGACAGCTTTAAGTCCCTAAGGAGTGCTTGCATTTGTGCTTTTTTTGCTTGATTTAGTTTTATCATTGTTGATGTAAAGATCACTAGATACTAGAAATATTCTAAATGGCACAAGGCTACATACTCTTTTTTATATAGCCATAAGTTATTTGTTTAAGTCCATCTTTCTTGCATGGTTTGCCATTAATGAACATTTTTCCTTTTCCTTTTCTTTGCCATCCATGGATGGGCAATTGCCTTGGGCAGTAGCTGGCTGTTCCTGCCTTGCAACAATTAATGCAATTTTTTAATGTTATGTAAATGCAATTGAACAATTGATGGTGGTGTTCACAACATTTAGTTTAGTTTCCTTTACCAATCTTCATGTCCAACTATATTTATTTTGTGGGAATCCGAGAGATGATGTGTACTATTGGTTTAATCACATCACAATGATTACCATTTATTATTTATGTGATAATGTTGGGTATATATTCAACTTTCCCAATTATTTTCAAAGGATGGCATTATAATAGTATGTATAATAGTTTGAGTGAACCTATTTATATAAGTTATAACTTTCTTTTAAATATTTCAATTTTGTATTTAAACATGTTGATGATTATAATGATGCATTCTAACAATTACATTCTCTCCATCAAAGGCTATTTGAGTTAATTAGTATTTTCTTCTAGAGTTTTTTACTTTATGAGGAGTTCAATATATAAAAGTAAATCAAGTTAGGCATATTATGGCTAATGCTTTGTCAAAATCTTGTGGGGTTTATACATACACTTGTGTTTCAGTAACCTTGGACTATATTCTTTAGCTGATATAATGTTATAAAACATTACCTCACCCACTTGTAATTACACATACTCTACCTTTACATTTTGTGAGGGATGATTTTGTTTTGCTAAAGGTTGTTGTTATTTCTACTCATATTCAAGGATGAGGACAAAGATGTAAACAAGGTCATGACATTCATTATTGAGTTGGCCATATATATTAGCATTATCAACGTTTTTTGGATTGACTTTTTTCATTTCTTGGGTGGAAATCTTAGTTTCAATAACATCATGTTAATGTTATTGTAATAGAAGGCCTTGATATAAAAGTTCTTTCAGGAAATTAAATGTTATGCAAGTAGTAAAGGGTTCTTGTGTGAATATGTCAATGACACTTTTAAAAGTATCATCAAAGGCTTCATTTGGCACCAATTCACTTAGTGTTTATTTTTTAAATTTGCTATATAATAGAAGGTCCTTTGTTATCCTTTCCATATTTACTGATAGTTTTAAATTTATTTTTGACAATTTATTGCCAAATGTTGTCATGTGCATTTATATCATATAATAAAGCTAACCTTCATTCTCTATGGCAATAGCTATTAACTTGATTGTGTGCATGGGTAATCACAAGTTTAAGGATCAATCTTTGTAAGTGGTGCTAAGTCAAGCTTTTAACTTTATTATTAATATAGATTAATTGAAATACAATCATGCCAAGTGTAATTATGAGGCTTTCCTCTTATCTCATACTTATTTATATTTTTTCCATTCCTTTTGCTTTTATTCCACTCCATCCCATTGTTTTACTTTTATTTCAATTATTTTTGTATTTCCTTCCATTTTTCCTTCAAGATTTTTTATTTCCTCTTCAAATCCTTTTGATGATCTTGGTGAGATAACAATTAATCAATTGAAGGAGTATATTAATCTCTTTAAATTTGACTTATTTTCTAGGGCTAAGATTGCAATGTATCATTTTATTGTAACTAAGGATGCTTAATCAAAAAATTTATTTAGTTTCAATCATCAAATGAGATTAAAATCTTATGAGTCAATGTCAAAAAAATTATTGGAAAAGGGTATTATCCAAAAGTATTGAAGTCCCTAAGTATATGAACTTCATCTGGTGATGACAGAAGCATCTTGCATCAACTATTACCTATTGAATATTATGACAATGCCAAATGTGTATGCATACTACAAATCTCCTACTTGCTGCATTTGTTCGAGAGGAAATTAAAAGAATCAAGACTAAAATCGAGACCTTGAGTATCTCTCTCTTGTCTTTCCCTCTCGGAGTTTGTTCATTTGGGATGAAGCCATTAATTAGATCTTGGGTACTAATAAGTGCTATAGTTGAAGAGGATATCTCTAAGACTATTTCCATGTATCATTTGGTTTATATGAGTTTTTAGTGATGTCATTTAGGTTAAATGATGCTTTGATGACTTGCCAATATATAATAAATGAGGTTCTTTACGATATGCCAAAAGTGACAATTGATTTCATATGTTTCAATATCACCTTTGGGTACTAGCAAGTGTCAATGGATGAAGAGGATATCCTAAAACTACTTTTTATATATTATTTGGTTTGTGCAAATTTTTTATAATGTTTAGGTTGAATGATACTTTGGTGATTTTCTAATATATAGTTCTTTGTGATATGTCAAAAGTGACTACTGATTTTATTGATAATATTTTGATCTAAAGGGGATATAAAAGAAGCATATTCATGATGTATGAAAATTTTATAACTAAAGTTCTTTATGTTGAAGTTTATAAATGATGTGTAGTACTTTCTTAGTATATCTCAATCATTTTATTGATCACCTTTCTAATGATATTATATAGTTATGAGTGTTGTGTAGGTAAATATCCCAAAACCATTAACCAATTAGAAAATAAAGTGCATTTTTGTTTATAAGCCTTTTCCATCTATATTTGAATATTTATGGATTATTTTCTACTCGTTCTCTTTGGTTGTTTATAATCAACCACACTGACTAAATTGGATTACTAAATGTTAATCTCAATATGTGGTATAATTCCCTTAACCAATTAATAGAGACAGACTCAAAACTTATTTAATACCAAATTGCATAACCATAAATCAATCATATTTTTTGCTATCCAAAGCATACGCAAAACTATATTAGTATGCTTACCACACAAGTATAGCTTTGTATATGTATTTCAAATATAATAGGATCTGAAATATAATAGCAAACTCATAAAATTGCATCATAAAGAAGTTTTTATGCATTGTCGATTAACTTTAGTTGTGCCTTTCCACTCTTACCATATACCTCATCACCTTTTAATTGATGCTAGAAAACCTAGCTAGTTTGCACAAAATGCATTGAAGCATTTCAAGGATAGACATGTCTCAAGCTCTAGATAACCACACATTCAAACACTCAAAAATATTACTTATCAAATGTTCAAATTGTTACCCTTCCAAAAATGTAGTTACCTAATCCTTTGACTTTATATCATTTAGAGTAATTTCCTCTCTAATCAAATCAAGATCAACTCAAAATGCCCAATAATAGCTACATTTTTCATTGTTGTTCATAAATCATCAATTGAATCATACTTTACCTGAAATAAGCTTAATAAGATCTATTTAGTGGGTAATTTTTTCTAGGTTAAATTAGAATATTTTTTTGAAATGCTCTTAAACTTCAGAATTGCATTTCAAACCTTCAAGATGTATATTTGCAAATATACCAAACTTGAGGGGCCACTTTCTTATAAATTTAGTTCTAAAGCTTGTTCATATTTCAAGAACAAACCCTCTCTATGCCCTGGTCACCAAAAGCACGGGGACAAGATATCATAATGGTAAGCGAGTTGGTGGCATTTTAGTGGTGGGATTTCACAAGGGTGCATCTTTTATTTACATAGGTGCTAATATACTATTTTGTTTTCAGGTGCACATAAAAATATTATACACACAATCATGAATCATCCATTGTAATATTTGAATGGGATATACCACATAAACAGATACTTCATGTACTTCATGCCACATGTGAAACCATGTCTTCTACTTTTTTACAAGTGATTTGATGATTTATGGAACTTGGAAACAAGAACATAGAAGAATCTCTATTTGTGCCTTGATTGTGGTCACAACACTCTGCTACCCAAGATGCTTAGTTGTGTCCAGCACACTACCCAATACAGCAGGATATCACACTCTGGCTCATCCAGTGTGCACAATCTCTATCAATCCATTAATAGTCTCATCCAATAGCCAATGTCTGCTTCTTCCATGGGATTCCATTCTTTATCAAACTTCATTCTTGGTGAAGAGCTTGAGTGCCATGTCACAATACATATGACATTTGCAATTCTTGCCTATTCTAAGGTAGAGATTGGCCAGACTCTAAATCAACCCAGATGCATGTAGCCATGAGTGCATGCTCAATGCCCTCTACAATGTCAGTAGCCCTAATCAAGTGGTCTAACATGGCGCCAAATTAATGCAACCAACAATATACAACAGTCATGTGGAATGTGAAGACTCATGGCCAACAGTCTTTTGGGGATAGCATCTACAATGTATGGTTTAGTTGTGCTTCCAAATCATCTCATCATGCATTCCTGCCATTCTGAAGAAGATGATAATGTGGTAAGTAAATTGATGTGAATTAAGAATTCATGTGTGGCCGTGAATCAATGTGCCTTTGAAAAAAAAGTGGCAACCAAAAGATTATTTTGCTAAACACTTGAAGCACACATATGTTTTAATTTCATATATTTTGCAGTATAATAAAATTTGTTGCCACACTACCCACCTCAGTACTTCTTGGCATGCCATAATATGTTTTTGACACACATAGACTTGATCACAAAAGAGAAATCTTTAACTATGTCCAGAAAGGCAGCAGTGAACTGCCTGCTCTGGAAATCCTTGGCACGGTGTCTTTCGCATTAGGTGCAACTGTGCTATTTCTCGGTATGGAGTTTTGGGCTAGATGGGTACACAAAGCGCCATGGCACTCTTGCTTGTCGAGCATGCACAAGGTAACGCACACACAAATTTCCAACAGTTAATTACCACAAGCCTCTCTACAACAGTCTCATCGCCAAGGTCCATTCGAGCTCAATGAACGCAGTCCCCGCTATAGCTCTCATGTCTTGCGAATTCTCCCACCACGGACTCCTTCCTGGTTTGTGCTTTTGAGCAGTAAGTAATAGGATGTAGTTTCGAATTGCAGGGCCTGGGCATCACCATCTTTAGCATGGCCTATATGTTTGTTCAAGACGGCCTGGTGCACCAAAGGTTTCCACTGGCCGATGTGCCATACTTCCAGAAGATATCTTTTTTACGGCGTTCCGTACGGTTTGTCCTTGGGACTTTTGACACACTCGTTGCCGGTAGGTGGAGCAGTAAGCTGGCGCAATTACGTGTCAAGCGCAATAGGATTTCGTTTTCTTTTCCGTAAAAGTAACGGCATCCCACGCGTCCTCCAAGCTGTGTGTGTCAATTCTAGAAACGTGCGTTTTTGCCTGGAATCTTGGCGGCGTGGAATGTCCCAGGCCTCAGATTGAGAAGGCCCACAAAAGCAACATGTTGAGAAAAAGGACATGGTTCGAGCTGCCTACAGAAGGGGGAAGATCAGTGTCGACGCCCCCCCACCTCGGGTGTTTCACGATCAGTCCCTTGTTTGTTTGGAGGCTTCTTGAAATGTATCACTGCAAGGCCGTAGGATGGGCCTTGAAGGAGAAGAGTTGCAAGATGTTCTATGGCGTGCAGGTAAAGAAGGAGCAGATTGCCAGTACCACGGCTCCGCACCGGCTTGTACGAATCCGAAGAGTGGAGAATGTAGCAACAAGAAGTACCGGGCCGGGATTCAAAGTAAATGCATGGGGCTTGATCCTGGGAACGTGTTTGCTCTTGCACCCAGCAAACCAAGCTGTGGCTCTGGACATCGAGACCGCTCAAAAAACATGGAAATGTCTTTTGGGTGGATGCAGGTGCTGTTGTGCTCCACCTCCTCATTTGTTGGGATTCGTTGTTTCTTGTGAATCCAGCTGATCGCATGTTCTTCAGATCTGAGCTGGTTCGATGCGTGGGAGATCCTTCATGCGCTGCCAATTTAGTTTGTCTGGAAACTTGCAGTCCAGGAGACTTGAAGTGCCAAGTATTATTTGATTTTATAGACTTTCTGGGATCAAGTTTTTCACTCTGTTTCTGTTCCTCTCTCTCTCTCTCTCTCTCTCTCTCTCGTTTTGTTTCCGAATATAGGTCAGATGTGGAGACATTTTCCAGAACAAGGTCGTAGAGGAATTCAACACATGCCTCCTGAGCAAAAAAAAGTGCATCCCTCAAAGTGCCAACGACGGCACCTACCCGGTACCAGACTGCGCTTTGGTGGAAAAGTTCAACACCCAAGACTTCACAGGCACATGGTATATTACCAGCGGTCTCAATCCCTTGTTCGATCTCTACGATTGCCAAGTCCATGAGTTCTCGGCCAGCCCCAACAAGCTCACCGGAAAATTGACGTGGAGGGTGACCACCCCCGACGGCGGCTTCATCACACGCGACGCAACACAAAATTTTGTGCAGAAGAATCCCAAACGCCCGGGAGTCCTCTCCAATCATGACAACGAGTACCTCAATTACAGAGAAGATTGGTGAGCAAACGTCCAACAACCGCCATGAATCTTATAAGGAAAGCTTCCGTGTGCGTGGGTCCGGTGCGCGATTGCCAGCATAGCTGCGAATCCTTCATGAGCAATTAATGGATTGATTGGGGGCTCTTGCGCAGGTTCATCGTCTCCGCGCGGCTCAACAAGCAACCGGACGACTACATTTTCGTGTACTACACCGGGTCCAACGATGCATGGGACGGCTATGGTGGGGCTGTTGTCTACACACGGAGTTCAAGCCTCCCCAAGTCCATTGTCCCCGAGCTGCGGCTTGCTGCTGCTAAAGTCGGCTTGGATTTTGACAACTTCAAGACGACTGACAACAGTTGCACTCCGCAGCCATCTTTGTTTGCTAAAGTCCACAAGAGATTGTTCGAAGGAGAGAGAGCTCTAGCTAATAGTTCTAACTAGTCATTATTCTCCTCTCTGTGTTTAGAATTGTTCTACGAAGTGTCTCCTACGTAACATAACCCTACATCCTAACTTGCCACGCTATCAGACAGCAAGGCGAGCAAAGAACGGCAGAATGTAGCAAGACAGCGAGGATGCTTTTGGCTCAGAGCGAATAAAATAATGATACATGGTGTTTAGAATGTATTACACTCCTTGAACTTGAAGCTCTCCTCCGTTCCACCGAGGTAAATGGCCAGATATACGCCATAAGGCACGAAAACATTGTCATGATGGCGATCTCCCAAGATCTGCAGTCCCTAACAGCCCTTGAATTCCTTCATTCACGTGAAAAACAAAAGGACAAGGTGACCCATCCCTCCCAGCCACCCACGGACCAGTGGTCCCGTTACTAATGAATGGTGAGTGTGCTAAGGAGTTACCATGTAGGAGTCTGTGGCGTATTGGAACAAATGGCAACCCGTTTTGCATCACTCCAGCTCCAGTTACCAGTTGCATCAGCTGCACCAACAGCGAAGCCCAGAAGTAGCAGGAAATGCAGCAAACGTGCGAGATCCAAGGTTGTGGCACGGGCAGCTCCGCCTCAAGAGGCCCTTCTCGGATCACTGAGTAAGCAGTTGTGCTGTTCTAGATTCATGGGTATGGTCGAACAGCAAAATGAATGAATGCTATACAGAGGAGCTCCAGAGCCTTGTCTCCCCCAAGGTTGAACAGAGCCCAAGGAGCCGCGCGAAATCGACTGCAGAGGAAGTCATGGATGGCATCTCCCTTGATTCCAAAGTTGTTCTCATCACAGGTCTGGGAATTGATCGGTTTCGGCATCGACACCATACCTTTCCTCCATGTACAGGCGGTAGCGCTGGGATTGGATTCGAAACATCTAGAGTGCTCGCAAGAAGAGGTGCTCATGTCGTCATTGCCTCCGAGAACCTTAAGGCTGCACACGCAGCAAAACTCAAGATTTTGGAGCAAACACCCAATGCACAGGTCACCGTGCTCCATCTCAATCTCGGGTCGATGTACTCTGTGCGAAACTTCGTGGCTAAGTTCAAAGCTCTGGGCCTGCCACTTCACATACTCATGTAAGTATCTTCATACACACAAATTAAAGCTCATGGTTGACAAAGTTATGTCTGAAGTAACAATGCAGGAATCGCTTCAAGCCAGTTCGTCCTGTCAGAGGATGGCCTGGAGATGACATTTGCAGTGAATCACGTTGGCCATTTCGTTCTCACTCACTCACTGCTCGACTTGATAGAGGAGACTGCAACGCAATCCGGCAACCGAGGCAGAATTGTCGTTGTTGCTTCCAGCCAACACGAGAGTGCTCGGGGAATTAATTTTAAGAATCTTCACAGAAAAAGTTGGATGTTCGCAGTCCCTGTTTTGCAGAGGTATAGTATGGTATGGTTATAAAGAAAACTTACACATTACAATGAATTTGCAGCATTCATGGACTGTCCACGGTTTATGCACAGACCAAACTTGCCAACATATTGTTTGCCAAGGAACTGGCACGTAGACTCGAGGTTGGTCCTGTTTACTTTGTTTTTGCTCCTCTGGTCTGAACGTTCTCCAGGAGCAAGGAGTGAACATCTCCGTGAACGCGTTGCACCCTGGAGTATTCAACAGCAGCTTCGTTGAGAAATTTGCTGAACCAGCAGGCTGTGAGAAAGCTTACCTGAATATTCCATCTGGATTGATTCTGATCTTTGCCCCGTTCCAGTGGCATTTTCGTGGATTGAACCATTCTTGAAGACGATTGAACAAGGAGCAGCTACAACATGCTACGTGGCGGCACACCCAGATGTCGAGGGCATTTCCGGAAAATACTTTGCAGACTGCCAGGAAACCTCAGGCAGCAAGTATGCCAGCGACATGGAGCTGGGCAAAGAGCTATGGGCCTACACAGAGGACCTCATCGCGTCCCACGCTAATCTAGAAGACTGCCATCTGCCATCTTAGCGGCTCCCACTATTGTGCGGCTTTCACTGTCGCTCTGGATCTTGCTCGCAGCTCTATAAGCTGTTTCACACCACCTCGCATGGAATTTCCAGGTGTGTTATACCGATTCTTTCTGAGCTCTCTCCAGGTAAGCTGCGGCAACAGATTTATATTATGTAGTCTTCATCAGGCAAGTTCATCTGGAGAAGTACGCAAGAACCGAAGAGGATGAAGGCTCCCATCGTACAAAGCCACAAAGATTCTTGGCAGCTCGAAGAAAACCAGAACGGAGAGCAATCATGCCACAAAATTGACCGTGTAGAAGCAGAATCTCGCTAGTTTTGGAGCAGCTTCTCTAGGAGAAAGCACAGGCACACAATTGCCACCCAAGGTTATTTGCTGCTGTAAGTATCCAAGTGAGGTTGACGAGGGCATTTGCATGTGCCAGACCCATATCGACAGCTTACTTGGGATACGACATCCCAGAAGCATTGCTGCCAAATGCGGACTTGGTTGCAAGTCCCCCAAACACCGTGAGCAAACGAGCACCACGGAACTCTAGTTCCGTTCCAACACAGTGCGAAGAAACGGAGCTTGGGGAGTCCCAAACAAAGACGGTAACTCCGTATTCGTCGTACATTGCAGTTTTCCGGAACGGATTACAAGTATTTATCCTGAGCCAACGGAAAACGAAACTCCAGGAGTCAGAAAGCAGCCGCGATTGCGGCAGTGGGACAATCCAAGTCACGAGCATTGTTCTTACTTGATTGTGGACTTTCTGCTGCTCCTGATGTTAACGAAGTCGGGAGTATCTGTGCCTCTTCATGTGTGAAAGAGCGAAGCCAAAGTGAATCACTTAAAAGGGCAGTTCCTCTTCAATCATTAGGTGTCCGCGTCCTCTAAATGCATGGTCATCACGGCTGTGTTGGAACAAGAGGAGCCGAGAGCTCCGCATGTCTCAGCAACATTCCATCCAAACCAAGCTCGCGTTCGTTGAATCTTGTCTCTGAGCCGAGCCGCAGCAGCACTGTGAATGAACAAACCGCCAAGCTCTGCGTGTGTTGTTGATTGATGGTGGACCTTCCTGGGCAACTTTGAGCACAGAGCACCACCCTCCATGTGTGCAAGCATGTAGAGAAAGTGTTGACGACATTGAGTTGTTTGGTCCTGCCTGCTTCTCTTCTTCGTCTTACGTTGTTATTGTTGCTTGTTTAACTGTTCTTGCTGTTGCTTGTGCATCAGCTCCAGGATCAAGCTCGCTTTGCGCCTGGCCCTGCTGGTGCCGTTTTGCACGAGCTCCGCCAAAGGCACCCCGGCGTCGTACTGTTGCGCTGTGACAAGATGAGCTGCGTCGTTCTGGCCCAGAGCAAGGAGAACAGCAGCTGCATTCTCCTTGTTCCTGGCCGAGCCGGAACGTATGAGCTCCACCAAAAGTGGGATGGTTGACTCCTGGCCGATTGCAACGCGCCCCTCCTGGTGCGTTGCGAGTATTGCCAGAATAGCCAAAGCTTCATCCACCATGCCTGCGTTTGGATCCAGCAGCTCCATCAGCGGCGGAACCACGCCAGCTCTCACTGCCTTGGCCTTGTTGCCTTGGTATATGGACAAGTTGAAAAGGGCAGTGGCTGCGTCCTTTTTGCCTCGGGGAGTGCCTTCTCTGAGCAAGTTCACTAGAGCTGGAATCGCAGCCGTCTGGCCAATCGTCACCTTGTTATCGTCCACAACCGAGAGGCTGAAGAGCGTAGCAGCGGCATTCTCTCTTGCCTCCATGCTGCCTGACTTGAGAACCTCGACAATCGGATTTATAGCACCTGCCTGGACGATCTGAGCCTTGTTGGGGTCGTGGATGGAGAGATTGAGCAGAGCGGTAACTGCATGCTCTTGTATCCGCGTGTCCGTCGATGACAAGAGTCCAATCAGCAGCGGAACACCTCCAGCTTCTGCAATGCAAATCCTGTTGTCGATGCTTCTCTTTGCCAGCAGCCTGAGGTCCGCCACAGCTATCCTTTGCACATCCACTTGGGGGCTGGAAAGCTTCTGCAGTAGCGCCTCTACGGCCACCCTGTCTCCACATGCTTCCAAGTCGGACGAGTGACCACCCCGACTCGTGCCAACTTTCTTTGGCAGTTCGATCCCGTTGGTTTCGCACCACTGACAGATGAGACTCCGGAGAACATAGTTTGGAGTCAGCACCAGATGCGGGAGCGTCTGCTGCGTTATCGGGCATGTCTTGTGGCCGGCATCTAGCCACTTTTGGATGTAGGAGCGCTCGTAAGTCTGCGGAATCACGACAATTAATAAAAGAATTCACGATGAGAGCACGTAACCTGGCCAGTTGCAACGATGACGGGGTCTTTCATCAGTTCCAGCGAGATTGGGCACCGGAAATCCTCTGGAATGGCTGGGTTGCTCAGCTTGTCTGATCGCGGTGACGGTGACAAGGGATTTCTCATAGCGAAGTCAACTCGTGCTTTGTCGATTGAAACATAAGGTTCGTCCGCGTCCGAGATGGCAATGCCCTTGAGCCTTCCCAGCACCATCTTGATTGCAGCGTCAAGGTCACCACCTTTGTCCAGCTTCAGGCTCTCCTGCGCACGAAACTCCTCCTCCTTTATCTCGGACCAGGTTTTGAGGTGTAGCTTGTCGGCTAGTCTCTCCGCTGCCATTCTATCATAGTCTCGTTCGTCACTCGTGCTGCATCGCATCAAGTCCTCGATCAGCTCCGTGTCGATAACTTCTGCTTTGCCTTTGGCCCTCTTGAGCTGCGCATGGAGCAGCTCCACCTGCGCATGGATCACAATCATCATCGAAAGCTCACCAAGGAAGACAGGTTTTGGTCGACATACCTGTTCTCGGACCTCTTCCGAGAGATTCAGTGAATTGTATGGCAGGGAATCTAGCACATGCTCCAAATCCGCGGTCACGGATTGGAAGCTGCTGGCAATTCCTTCTCTTTTCATGATCTAGATTTCCATCCGCAGTTCAGGCAAGTCAAAGGAGAACTTTGCGGCTTACCAGGAAAATTTTGCTTCCCTTGTGGCAGAGAGAGAGGAGGTCCTTGGCCGAGTGGAGAACGAGCTTGAGGTCGTGGAAGGGGCGAAGGGAATCAAGCGAGCTGGCCTCCCTCGCCTCCTCCAGCAGCGGGGCCAAGAGCTTGAGTCGGCGGGCGAGATTGGTGCATTCCTTGCGGTGCGATCTGGCGTAGTCCCCCAGGGATGATATCTCGTTGAGCAGCCCAATGAGAGTCTCCACCAGCTCCTGGAACTCACCTTGTCCGGCCATAGCGGCCTATGATACCCTAATCAATCACCAGGGCAGCTTAGATCTCGCGTGACTCATGGAGCTCGTTGTAAACGCGTTGCAATCACGCGGCCGCTGGAGCAGCCCTTGCCAGGAATCGAATTGACAAATCCAAGTGAGAGAGAGAATTAGAGCCACGAGATCGAAGGGAGAAAGCCCCAGCCGCCCTGTCCGACTTTGATTCATTCACACAAAAATCAAAATTTCGCCGCCAGCTGGCGGGAGAATGTGGCGTCACGCGTACACGTCAGCCCTCGTCCTCCCTCCACTTCGCGTTTTAGGGCGATGCGATGAATGCGCCGCTCGATCGGGTGCTTCTTCTCGTATAGGCAGCAGACCGCCCGGGAGGCGGCAGAGGGGGTGAGATGGGCGGGCGTGATCGCGGCGCTCAAGGCGTGTGGCACGACAGGCGAGGTAGAGGCGGGGCGAAGCATTCACCGCGGCGCGGAGCAAAGGGGCGGCTGGAGCATCTACGCGCACAATGCCGTCGTCGAGATGTATGCCAAGTGTGGGCATACCAGGGATGCGAGCGCCGCGTTCTGGCGCATTCCTTGCCACGATCAGGCGTCGTGGAACAGCCTCATTCTGGGATACGCCGCCACTGCCGATGCGGCCGCTGCCCGCCACCTCCTCGACTGCATGGCGTCCTCCGGCTGCCCGCCCACCGCTCCAACGTTCCTTGCCGCGCTCCGGGCCTGTGTTGCCAGTGCCGCCACCAAATCCAAGCTCGATGCCCTCGACTGGGGAATGTCTCTGCACTCCCAGGCTGGGCAGCTGGTGGAGAATGATCTGTTCGTGGGCAGCGCTCTCATCGACATGTACGCCAAGTGTGGCAGCCTGCTCGATGCTCGGGCGGTCTTCGACCGGATGGCGCTCCACGATCTCGTGTCGTGGACTTGCCTCATACTCGGCTTTGCGGAGAACGGGCAGGGTGACATGGGCTTGGAGCTGTTTGCGAGCATGACATCGCAGGGGGGCTGCCAACCAAGCTCGCGGACCTTCGTGGCCGCGCTTGTGGCTTGCGCGGCCTCGGCAGACAAGGAGGTGGGGCGGCTCATGGATGGCCAGCTCGTTAAGGTGGCGTCCCTCGACAAATGCTGCGCTCTTCATGCCGGAGCTGTGGAGATTGGGGCCGAGTCGGACACCTTCGTGGCCAACACTCTGATCGACGTCTTCTCGAGGTGCGGGAGCCTTGTCAATGCCCGCAACGTGTTCGATAGGATGGTGCGCCGCGATGTTGTGTCGTGGAACGTGATGATCTCCGGCTACGCAGACAATGGGCACGGTGACGCTGCTCTTGACCTCTTTGCTCGCATCGGCTGTGCTCCCACTTCTCGGACTTTTGTTGCGGCTCTCACGGCCTGTTGCAGCGTGGCGGAACACTCGTCACGAGACGAGGGCCTGAGCAAGGGACGGGCTGTCCATGCACAAGCAAGGTCGAGTGGCTACGAGTTTGACGTCTATGTCGCAAGCACGCTTGTGTTCATGTATGCAAAGTGCGGGTGCCTTGTGGAGGCCTGTCGAGTCTTCCAGCGCATGCCGAGCCACGACGTGGTAGCGTCGACTGCGCTGATGCTGGGTTACACGGACAACGGGGAGTGTGGCCTCGCCTTGGAGCTGTATCAGCGCATGCAAGGCCATGGTGCCGAGACTTACGTCGCCGCTCTGAAAGCCTGTGCGGCCTTGGCAGACAAGGAGGAATGGCAACGAGAAGTTGGCAGCGGTAGGCTTGTCAAGGCCCAGAGCCTGGAAACCGGGGCACGGATTCATTCGCAGGCAGCCGAGAGCGGGTGTGAGTCGGACGTCTTTGTTTCGAACACGCTCATCGACATGTACTGCAAATGCGGGAGTGTGGCCGATGCTCGAGCAGTGTTTGATGCGATGAAGCAGGGCCGGAGCCTTGTGTCCTGGAATGCGCTCCTACTGGGGTACGTAGAGAACGGTGAAGACGAGGTGGCACTCGAGACCTTGTCCAGGATGAGTTCGAGCTGTGCGCCCGATGCAAGGAGTTACGTTGCCGGACTCATGGCTTGCGGGAACCTGGTGGCGCTGGATGCCGGAAGACAGATTCACGCTCTTATTTGTCGCGAGGAGCTGGACAGGGGCAATGCTTTCGTGGTGCATCGGCTGGTGGACTTTTACGGCAAATGTGGGAGGCTGCTGGACGCGCAGCTCGTGTTTGATGCGTCGGGTGTGGAAACAACAAGGGACGTCCTGATATGGAGCGCACTCATCGGGGGCTATAGTTGCCAAGGAGGAACCGAGCAGGCGTTTCGACTCTTTGAGGACATGAAGAACGAAGCCGTGCAACCCAATGCTGTGACGTTTATCTCTCTTCTCAACGCTTGCAACCATGGAGGATTGGTCGACGATGGCGAGCGATTGTTTGCCACAATGCATGCTCAATACGGCATCCAGCCGGAGATCAGGCACTATCACTGCATGGTAGACATGCTTGGACGTGCCAACCGGCTCGACGACGCGGTTGCCATGGTTGCCAGCATGCCGTTTGAAGCCACACTTGTGACATGGACAACCGTGCTGGGTGCGTGCCGCAAGTGGAACAACATGCCGCTGGGGAAGCTCGCGTTTGAGGCGTCCTTGAGGCTGGATGATAGCGATGCTGCCACTTACACTCTGATGGCCAACATCTACGGCAGCCTTGGGATGTGGCAAGAGCAGTTCGAGGTGTTGGTGGCCATGAGGCGGAGAACCTCGGCTGCCGCTCTTGGGGTCTGATATTTTGCTCAAGTTTCTATTTGTTGGGGGCGAAGGAGCGGTGTATGCCTCGGTGCCCACACTTGGCTCCACAGCAGGGATGCAGGCCGCCAAGGGCTTTGTGGACGCGGATCCACACATGGAGTTGGAGGCAACCCATGACTGGAGATGACGGCCCGCTGGTGCTCGGAGGAAAGCAAGCTGCACAGGAGCATTGCTACCAAGTCAGGCAGACGGTCCTAGCTGCATTCAAGGCGTGTGGCACTCTCAAGGAACTCGGGACTGGCAAGAGGATCCAGGCTGATGCTCTTGAAAAGGGACACCTGACGGGCGATGGAGAGGACAGCTACGCTTCAAACTCGCTCGTGAATATGTATGCCAAGTGTGGAAACCTGGTGGAGGCTCGTGCCGAGTTTGACAAGTTGCAGCGCCGGGATGCCGTGTCGTGGACAACACTTATCCTGGCGTATACGGAGATTGGACGAGGCGGGGAAGCCTTGGAACTCTTCTCGCGCATGGCGGACGAGGGCTGCCTGCCGGACCGGCGCACCTATCTTGCTGCTCTCGTGGCCTGTGCGAGCTTGGTTGCCAAGGAGGAAGGCAAGAGAGTTGACAACAGAAAGAGGTGCATGGACAGAGGCATGGCTATATTCTGGCAAGCGTCAACTAACGGGTGCTTGGACGTGTTCGTGGCCAACACGCTCATGGACCTCTTGTCAAAGTGTGGGAGCATGCCTCAAGCCCACGCTGTTTTTGACAGGATTCCGTGCCATAGCATTGTGTCGTGGACAGTCTTGACTCTGGGATATGTCGAGAATGGGGAGCCCGAAACAGCACTTATGCTTTTCAGTGTCATGCAAGATCAACAGGACTTTGCTCCCAACTCTCGCCTTTACGTCGCAGCTCTCATGGCTTGTGCTAGCCTTGCAACCAAGGAAGAAGGGCGGCTGGTCGATGGAAGGCTTGTGAAGTTACGATGCCTGGAGAGGGGTATGGACGTCCACTCTCAGTCGAGAACAAGTGGCTGTGACTCAGTCCCGTTTGTGGCAAACACGCTCATCGACATGTATTCCAAGTGTGGGAGCCTGCTTGATGCCAAGAAGGTGTTTGACAGCACTCAAGCGCGAGATGCTGTTACTTGGACTGCCATGATGCTTGGCTATGCCGAGAATGGAGAAGCCGAGGGTGCTCTTCACATGTTCGTGTGCATGGAGCAGCAAGGCTACAGTCCACGGCCCCAGACGTTTGTGGCGGCGTTGGTTGCCTGCGGTAACATCGTTGCACTGGATGCCGCCAAGAGGATTCACGCCGTTATCTGCAGGCAAGGAGTGGAGAGCAACACCATTGTGGCAAACTGCCTCGTGGACTGCTACAGCCGGTGTGGCAGCCTAACTGCTGCCGAGCTCGTCTTCGCTTGGATGGTGAGAAAGGACGTGGTGTCATGGAGCTCCATGCTATCGGGCTACAGCTGCCAGGGAGCCACGGCTCAAGTGTTCGATCTCTTTCATCAAATGGTGTTCGAGAAAGTCGAGCCAGACAAGATGTCTCTCACGGCACTTCTCACGTCATGCAGCCGCGCAGGCCTCGTAGATAAGGGGATGAAATGCTTCCGCAGCATGCCGGCCGAGTATGGGGTTGACCCCGACGTTCATCACTACCACGTCGCCATCGACATGCTGGGCCGGGCTAACCGGCTTCACGAGGCGGTGGCAATGGTCAAGGCAATGCCGTTCAAGCCGAAGCTCGTGACGTGGATGACCGTCTTGTCCGCCTGTCACAAGTGGAAGGAGGTTGCGCTGGGAAGGCTGGCGTTCGACTGTGTGATGAAGCTGGACGACTCGGAGGATGCCGCTTACGTTCTCATGGGCAACATCTACGGCAGTGTGGGCATGTGGAAGGAGAAGTCGGACATGTTCTCCCTGGGGATGAGCAAGGGAGGCGGAGGTGACAATGCTACTGCGCATACTCATTGTGATGGAATTCGATCGTCACTTGACAGCCATGGCTAGCACTTTAGACTGCTCCTGCCACATGCCCAGGCTTCCATACAATCCTGCCATGACAACGTATGCGGACGCTTGCAAGTTCCCGCCAGGAAGCTTGAGTAGTGACTCAAATGCCTCTTGTGCCACTGCCAAGTTCTTCCACTTCTTGCATGCATCCAGCAGTATGGTCCAGGTCACCAATGTTTTCTCTACAGGCATCGTCTTAGCCAAGTCCAAGGCGGCATGCAGCTGGTTCATTCGCCCAAGCATGTCAATCATGCAGTGGTAGTGCTGAATGGCTGGGCCGAGGCCGTGCTTAGAGGACATGGACTCGAAGCAGGCCATGCCTCTGTCTACTAGACCTTCATGGTTGCACGCGGTGAGCACACACAGGAAAGTGACACCGTCTGGCTTTACACCCTGAGCTTGCATCCTTTCAAACAGGGTGAACACTGTGACTTGTTGCTCGAGCTTAGAGCCACAGTTGCAGCTGCAAGCAGCCATGAGCGCGTTCCATGTAACCAGGCTCACACTGTCTAGCGTCTCAAACACACGCACGGCATTGCCGATGCTCCCACATTTACCATAGAACCCGACCAAGCAGCTTGCAACGAATGCCTCGACCTCGAGGCCACTCCGGCATGTCTCTGCGTGTATTTCCCTCCCATAGCTGATAGCTGCATTGCCGCATGCTACGAGAAGAGCTACGTGTGTTCGAGCATCCGGCTTGCAACCTTCGTGCCTCATACACGCAAACAGATCCAGAGCCAATAGCTCCTGTCCATTCTCCGCGCATCCCAGGAGCAAGGCATTCCACGACACCACGTCACGGTGGAACATCCTGTCGAACGTCCCGCGAGCATCTAAAAGGCTTCCGCAGTTGGAGTAGAGATCCACAAGCGCGTTTGCAACGAACATATCTCCGTCGTGGCCGCATTGCCAGGCTTGGGAGTGGAGCCCCATCCCTCTCTCTAAAGCCTTCAACTTCAGAGTTGAAGGCTTTAGACCACCATCTCCAAGATAGCCATGCTTGCCATCCGAGACCACGCAGGCTGGTTGTGCTTCCTCCACGGCTGCCAGTCTAGAGCATGCCGTCAGCGCAGCGACAAAGCATCGGGCGTCCGGTTGACAACCCTCGAGCTGCATCCATGCAAACAGGCTGAATGCGACCTTGTAATCTCCAGTTTCTGCATAGCCCAGGATGATGCTCGTCCAGCACACGACATCGCGGCGCTGCATCTTGTGGAATGTTTCCCACGCATCTGCAAGGCTGCCGCATTTAACGTACATGTCAACCAAGCTGCCCCCGACAAACGTGTCCTTGGAATCCAAACCAGTCTTGGCAACTTGAGAGTGAATAAGCATCCCGCGGTGGAGGTCCCCCAGGCTGCCACAGGCCTTGAGCGCCGCCACGAAAGTCAGAGCACTCGGATCATGCATCTGAGCAAATGCGTGTAGAGCTTGAGCAGGCTGCCCGTTGTCCACATATCCCAGGATCAAGGCCGTCCAGGTGACAACGTCGCGATCGTGGTGCGGCATTGCGTCAAACACAGCTCGGGCATCCGTCATGCTCCCACACTTTGCATACATGTCCACAAGGGCACTCGCCACAAACACGTCCGAGCCACATGATCCGCTGGTAACGGACTGGACGTGAAGGTCTCTGCCGATGTCGAGCCACAACCTTTTGCAAGTAACGTCGTCGCGTGCTAGGCTGGTCACTGCCATCAAAGCCGCAGTGTAGCTCCGGGCATCGGGTTCGCAGCCGCCTTCCAGCTGCATGCGTTGGAAGAGGTCCAAGGCCACACGGCCCATGCCTTTGGATGCATATCCCAGCACGAGTGCGGTCCATGAGATAACGTCGCGCTCCTGCTCGGCTATGGCATCAAACGCCGCTTGCGCATCGGCCATGTCACTGCTGCACTTGGCATACATGCTGACAAGGGTGTTGGCGGCGTAGATGTTGGAGGCGAAGAGCTGCGTCCCCTCACTTGTGGCATGGACTCGCTTCCCAAACTCGAGGTTCTTTGTGCTGCACGCGGATTTTAACGCGGCAATTAGGCTCCACACTGGCGCCACCAGCTGCTCCACGTTGGAGGTGCGGCATCGATATCCATTTCTATGTAGGGAAGTCCAGATCCCTGGCATTGAAGCAGATGACCTGTGTGGGCATTTGCGGCGACACCTGCAGTCGCTAGCCTGTGTTTACGTTGGCCGAAAGCACGTAGCTGCTAGCCTCATAATCTAATCCCAATGAAACTAGCGATGTGAGTGCAGCACGGCCCACTCCAGCACACTTCCATCTGGAGGATGCATCTAGCAGCAGCGTCCAAGTCACCGCATTGGGCTGAAAGGGCATTGCCTCGAGCACCTCCACAGCAGCATCCAGCTGGTTCACCCGGCCAAGCATGTCAACCACGCAGTGGTAATGCTCAATGCCAGCACAGGCGCCGTACTTATCACGCATCACTCGCAAGTAGTGCCTTGCCCTGTCCACGCATCCACCATGGCTGCACGCAGTGAGAAGGCAGATGAATGTTACGCTGTCTGGGTGAGGACGCCCGCTCTCCTCCAGGAGATCAAACAGTGCGGACGCGGCGCTCACATGTCCTGAGCGGCTGTATCCCGAGATCAAAGCATTCCATCCAGCAATGTCAATGCTGTCGGAGGCAGCCGAGTCAAAAACGTGCTGTGCGTCAGCAATGCGGCCGCACTTTGCATACGCATCGACGAGGCAAGTGACAAGGATCCCGCCATCGTCGAGAGGGCCATGATCATGGTACCTGCACAAGCGAGCGTGTATGGCCTTTGTTGCGACCGAGTCCCCCACACTTGAGCAAGCCGAAAGAGGTGCCGCGCACGCCCTTGCCGCGGGGATCCCACTATCGGACGCCTTACTATCTCTTTGTCGTGAAAGCGCCAGGGCGAGCTCTGCCTCGCCATTCACGGCACACCCGCGGATGAGCGAATTCCAAGACACGTCGGTGTGATATTTGATGCTGTCGAAAACACGGCGCATGTCTGCAACGCTTCCACACTTGGCATACACATCCAGCAGGGCGTTGGCAACCACCGTGTCCGATAGTTTTGTTTGTGTAAGTTGCGCATGAACGGCCATGCATCGCTCCAGAGACACCAGCTTTGCTACCACATGTTTGCCGCCAGGCCTTCCTGTTTCGGAGATGCCCGACCCTTGTTCTCCTTCCGCAAGACGTGCCAGCGCCTTGAAAGCAGCGGCAAACGTCCACGCATCTGGCTGACAGCCATCTAATTGTTTCTGTAGCATGAGCTCGAAGAAGTGCAGAGCAACCCGAGGCATTGCAGCTCCCGACATGAGTGCATTGCATGACACCACGTCCGGTTGCAGCATTGTGGAAAACACTCGGCTTGCATCGTCAGCGCTGCCACACTTGGCGTACATGTCGACAAGGCTGTTGGAGACGACTGTGTGATAAGCAAGGGTGTGGCGGCTGGCAGCATGAGCGTGGAGCGCCATGCCTTTCTCCAGAATTGCTAGGCGCTGACAACCCCTCGAATTCACTTTGGCCGCTGCCAAACTGCTACAAGCCTTGAATGCAGCTGTATAAGTTGCAAGCCCCGCATCTAAGGTGGCAGTCATGGACGCAAACGATTCCAGCGCCAAGTCAGCCATGCCATTGTCAACATAGCCCAAAATGAGTGAAGTCCAAGCGTTGAGATCAGGTTGCCGCATCCTGTCAAAGACCATTTGAGCATCGACCATACTCCAGCACTTGGCATACATATCCACAAGAGCGTTGGCTACAACCTTGTCTTCCTCGCAGCCCCTCTCTCTTGCGTGAGCATGGAGAGCCATCCCATTTTCTAGGCCCCGTAACTTGCCTGCTGGCTCGATGGTTGCTGCTGCCACATTGGCGCAAGCTCTCAACGCAGCAGCAAAAGCCATGGAATCACAGCCTGCACATCGCGTCATGAGCTCAAAACACTCGAGAGCTGCCTCTGCCTTGCCTTCACCAGCATAGCCCAGCACCAGCACGGTCCATGACACGAGATCAACGTTACGTCTAGACCAGGCAGCGTCAAACACTAGACAGGCATCGGCAAAGCTCCCACATTTGACGTACATATCCATGAGTGAGCTCACCACGTACCTGTCGGGCTTGGAGCTTATGACGAGCAGCAGCTGGGCATGAACAGCCATGCCTACCTCCAGAGCCGCAAGCTTGACGAGCTTACCATCGATTAACGTCACCTCCTCGTTTGCTGCCAGGCAATTGGCACACGATTTGAGCACAGCAACAAAGGTGCGCCCGTTTGGTGGTGGATAGCTCCGATCTGTTTGCATGTGTTGGAAGAGTGTGAGGGCGGATTGGCCATCCCCGTTGTCAGCATAGCTGAGAATGAGCGCGGTCCATGACACAGCATCTGGCCGCAGCAACCTATCAAACACCATGTGGGAGTCGACTGGGCTCCCACACTTGCCATAGACGCTGATGAGTGTGTTGGCTAGGAGCCTGTCATCGTCCTTGCATATTCTGGAAGCTCGAGAGGAAATAAACATCGCCTTTTCTAGTGACACCATCTTCACAGCCCCTAGCTGAGAGTCCTCTTCTTGATTCGCCAGAGAGGCACACGCCTTGAGACCCGCAGTGAAGGTTTGGGCATCTGGCAGGGGGCAGCAGTGGTGCTTTACGTGCATTACCTTAAGAAGCAGCAAAACCATCTCTCCCTCGCCATTGGTAGCATATCCCCACAGAAGTGCATTCCACAGCACCAAGTCAGGAGGCCGGGGCATCCCGTCGAAGACGCTGCGAGCGTCTGCCATGCTACCGCATTTGGCGTACATATCTACCAGGCTGCTCGCAACGTACATGTTGTGCTCCAGCCCGCAATCAGCTGCTTGCCGGTGAAGTCGTCGCCCTCCCTCCAAATCTCGCGACCTGCCACACGACTTCAACGATGCAATCAGGTCACATACCTTGTTCCTCAGCTGCACGTGAAGGGGCACATGTCTCTTCTCTTGAAGAGACATCCGGTGCTCCGTAAGCGCTAAATAGCCATTCACAGAAGAATTCCAGCATTTGCCCCAACTGGGCATACTATCTTAGCTACAGGAGCTCATGAACCATGACCTGTGGGGCCAAGTGCCAGAAGTGTACAACCGTGAGGCTTACACTTCGCTCCTACGGGAGTGCATCAGTGGAAGGGCGCTAGAAAGAGGTGCACGCATCCATGCCCGGTTGATAGCAATAGAGAAAGACAAAGACACCGCTATTGGGAACTTGCTGGTGCAAATGTATGCCAAGTGCGGAGATTTGCACCGAGCAAGAAAGGCTTTCTACAGCATAGAGCGAAGGAACAGTGTGTCGTGGACGGTGATGCTGGCTGCCTATATCGACCACGGCAAACAAGAGCAAGCACTCTGCTTGTTCCACACTATGGACCTGGAGGGAGCCCAGGCAGACATGGATGCGTTCACCTTGTCATGCGTGCTCAGCGCGTGCTCCAGCCTAGGGGCAGGCGCAGAGGGCCAGGCCATCCATGCTCGTCTCGTTGCGTGTGGATATGAGCTCGACATTCCGCTACAAAACGCCCTCGTCACCATGTATGCCAAGTCGGGCAATACTCAGGTGGCAAGGCAGGTGTTTGAGAACATGGCCGCGAGAAACCTCATCTCGTGGAATGCCATCCTTCTCGCTAACCACCACAACCGCTTCAACGTTGAGGCATGCCTCATCTACCTCCGCATGAACTTGGAAGGCGTGCAGCCAAACGCAGTGACCTTTGTAGCGGTCGTCGGTGCCTTGTCCGAGCTGGGACCGGGACTTCAAACCGTCTTAAGAGGCCGGGCGGTCCACGCGCGAGCGGCTGCGTCCGGCTTTGCCTCCCAAACCGTGCTCCAGAACGCTCTCATCAGCATGTACTCAAGGTGCCACTGCCTAGAAGAGGCCAGGAGAGTGTTCGACAACATCCAAGACAGGAGCCGTGTGTCGTGGACATCGATCATCTCGGCCTATGCCCAGCACGAGCGGGGTGACGAGTCGCTGAAGATGTTCCTGGTCATGAACTTGGACGGCATGCAGCCGGACGAAATGACACTGTCTGCCCTCTGTGCTGCGTGCTGCCAGCTTGAGGATCGAGGCCGAGGCCTGGCAGTGGGAAGGGGCGTCCATACACGGATCCGAGTTGCTGGCCACGACCAAAACCCCGTGGTTGGAACAGCTCTGGTGTGCATGTACGCCCGATGCGGCTGCCTGCTGGAGGCCGCAGCAGTCTTTAACAAGCTGACGCCCAAAGACGTGGTGTCATGGAACGCCATGCTCACTGCCACTGTCGAGGCTGGGGAGGCGGAGGAAGCACTCCGGCTTCACCAGCGGATGAGAGCTGAGGGAGTGATGCCGGATGCGGCTACATTTGCTGTGGTTGTAGCAGCGTGCAGCGCGCTCAAGGACGAGGCCACGTCGAGGGCCGTGCACACCGAGGTAGCTGCTCGCGGCCTCGACGGCCACCCCGTGTCCGGCACTGCTCTCGTGTGCATGTATGCCAAATGCGGGCGCTTGGATGACGCCACCACGGTGTTTGAAAGGATGCAGCGGCACTCGGTGCTGGCTGTGGCCGCCTGGAACTCCATCCTCGCTGCTCTTGCAAAACACGGGCACGGCGCCACGGCCGTGGAGTTTTTCAGAGTGATGACAATGGCGTATGTACAACCGGATGGGATCACCATCACTGTTATGTTGCACGCTTGCAGCCACTCAGGCTTGCTTGCGACCGGCCTCGACTACTTCTTGTCTATGTTGCATGACTTTGGATTGGCACCCACTGCCGAGCATTACGCATGCTTGATAGATCTCCTAGGACGAGCAGGAGTGGGAGCCGAGGCGGAAGAAGTCATTCGTGGCATGCCGTTTGCGCCCGACAATGTTGCGTGGAAAACCCTCCTGGCTTCCTGTCAAACATCCAAGGATGCGGGCCGGGGATCTAGAGCCGCTATGCAACTTATTCGCATGGACCCATTGCTCCATGACTCGTCCTACGTGCTTCTATCTAACATTCTCCCCGTGTAAACTAAGTGTGTACGCGTTGAATAAAAGCAAACCACAGGGCAAACACACATATATCTTAGCTAAACATATCTATCTGCCACCCGGAAAGCCGCCACCACCTCCACCGCCTCCTTGGAAGTTACCACCGCCGCCTTGACCTCCTTGCCCTCCCTGTCCCGGAAAGTTGCCTCCAGCTCCGCCACCCGGGAAGTTACCGCCGCCAGCGCCGCCCTGATTCCCTGGGATGTTACCACCACCCTGATTGCCTGGGAAGTTACCACCGCCTTGATTACCCTGGAAACCACCTCCCGCCCCTTGCTGCTGGAAACTACCGCCTTGGCCACCACCCTGCGGGAAGTTGCCCGGAGCACCACCACCCTGCGGGAAGTTGCCCGGAGCACCACCACCCTGCGGGAAGCCACCACCACCGCCACCCTGTGGGAAGCCCTGGCCCCCTCCGGCACCCTGGTTGAAGTTGCCACCGCCACCACCGCCAAAGCCGCCACCGCCGCCGCCGCCAAAGTTACTCCTCGGCCCTCGGTCCCAAGAGCCACCGCCACCCCTGGGAGTAGAGAAGCCAAGCGGGCTCCGGTTGGGAGGTGGCTGATCGGCAGGCCAGGTGCCCATGTGGGAGTTTGCCGGGTTAGGATCCCACGTCCATCCCTTGGCCCTCAGCTCCGGCTTGGTGGGATCATCCCACTTGGAGTCCCAGTAGGGGAGGCCATTGGGATTGTCCCACAGCTTACCACCACCCTTGGAGCTGCTGCTGTAGGAGCTGGGGGTGTAGGTGGGAATGTCCCTGGGAGCATTCGGGTTGGGCCACGTCTTGCCGGTGCCTGGCTTAGAGGACCAGCTGCTAGTGGAGCCGTAAGTCCCCACCCCTCCAGCGGCACCGCCACCCGTGTTGCCAGCCGCCGCGTTGCTACCATCAAGTTCCCGGCTGGACGTGCTCCCTTCGGGGACAACCGGCCCAGTGGCGGTGCTCGCGCCACCGGTGGCGCCTGTGGCGCCGCTGCCGCTGTCATCGGGACTTGGCCAGCTCCTCTCCGCGTTGAGGTAGCCCAGGGTTTTGAAGCCGCGCAGAGCGAAGAGCTTGCCAGGCGCCGCGAGAGGCCCAAAAAGCACCCTCTTCTCCTCTTCTGCCAAAACCCAAACAAAGAGAGGTGGTCACGGAGAAAGCGAAAGAAAATGAGACAATGCGGGATACCCACCGTAGCGGAGCGCGTTCTGCAGGAGACGCCGCCCCACGACACCCGACCTTCTCATCGCCATCGCTCCTCCCTGCGCTGCGCTCTCTAAACCCTCACTAAAACCCTAGCCCCCTCGCATTGGTCTTTAAAAGAACGTGCGGTCCCGATGGCTCAGATGCTCCATCAACGGCTCAGCTTCGTCCGTGGCGGCTCAGATATTTTGTCCTAGGAAAATGCCCTAGGTGACGAGTTCGACTCCTGCGAACCTAGTCCCTCTTAGTTATTGACGAAGAAGAGGATAGGATAAGAGGACCCGCGCTATGGCGGCCACCTTAACGGCGGTGGCGGCGGCGGGCCAAATGCGGTGGCCACCATCATCACCATCACATTCGCCGACTATTGCTGGCAGGTTGGTCCAGGTGGATATCTCCGCTGCTCGTCGTCCAGTTTGCGCACAAGCGGTAAGAAGAAGAATGCTCTTTCATGTCTGGAATGTCTCGTTTGCTTGTTTTGGCTTGCTTGTGCAAGAAGACCAAAGCACCACCCGGCGGCATTGCTCAAGGCCTCGGACAGCAGCCCGGCCACCAAGAATCTCACCACTACGTGGGAACATGTGAAACTCATACGCTACCTTTCGTTCTCTCTTTGGACGATGCCTTGACGGCGCTCAAATCTTTTGTGTGCCAGCTTCGTCCTCCAGTCCTCGGCCAAGGCATTCTCCGGGTCCAGGTATGGTTTTTTGGTCTATTCCATCGTCTCCCTGCCGAGAGTAGAGTGTCGCCCATCTCACAAACAGGTTCCGCTTCCTCCCAACGTCAAGGCGTTGCATTGGCTGCAATGTCAACCCGAGTGCAGCCTTTTGCTACCTCGGATGTATTTCTCGCCCAGGAGCAACACACCACCCCACGCAGGTGGCAGCAGCATCCAAGTGACTGTGGCCGGCGTTGGATCCGCTGCAAGCTTCCGGGGAGACGAGCCCTTCTCTAAAAAACACTGGAATTCAATCAACAGGTACCAGTCACTCCATCCACCACTTCCATAGAATGACGCGTTTTCTTTCGTCAGATTCCTCTCCGAGGACTCGCCTCTCATTCGCGCATATGGTGCCATTCGCTTCAACCCCGAAGTTGAAGCCTCGGAGGAGTGGCAAGCTTTCGGCACCTTCTACTTTTTCATACCTCAGGTACTTGAGGAGAGCCTTGCAGCGGGGCATGGCATCTGATTGTTTTGCTGGCTGCCAAGATCGAACTGTGCGAAACTGGAAACTACTCTCTGCTTGCAGCAAATCTCTCCTGGGGGGACGTTGCATACGAAAAGGCCGCAGAAACGCTGCTGACGGCATTAAGCAGTGTAAGCCAAACCCACCGCAAAAGAAAGTGTTTCAGACGTTTTAACCTCGTGTTTTCCGCAGGTCTCTGTGCAGGTCAGCGCTTCTCTGAACAAACTCCACCTCAGTAATGTCGTGAAAACACACAAGCCCGACGAGCGCTGTTGGCACGCAAAAGTCAATACTGTCCTTCGAGAGCTCGAAACAAAGAGTGAAACAATGAAAAAGGTAAGTCGATCCAATACATCGTGGTGAAATTATCTTCGATGCCTTCAGGTCGTAATGGCACGTCAAACGAGGCTAGAAATCGACGGAGAAGTTCCTCCACTCACTCTCCTGGCGTCCTTGCAGGTCAGTTTGGTTTTGTTGGCTGTGTGACTTAACTGAGCCGCGCGGTGAAAGAATTGCAGGACCAAAATCCTTCAGCATACCAGTTTTGTTTGCAACTACCAGATGGGAGTGCATTCATTGGAAACACGGTGAGCGGTTGGCATTAGTATACAAACAGAAAAGAATCGTGCTTACCATTGTCAATCAACAGCCCGAACAGCTTTTTGCAAGACATGGCTTGTCTGTTACGAGTGAAGCGGTGGCTGCAACTCGGCCCCGTGGGGAAACAAGCGTGGAGGACAACCAGATAGGACTTGAACTTCTCCAAAGGTCGATACCCTTAAAGACAACCATTTAGTATGTCTGAAACGTTTTAGTGGCAGCTGCAAAGACCACATAGAGTTCCAAATCGTGCAAGAGGCTGTGCAATCTGCTATGCTGGTACGAGCCTGTTTACACGAATATAGGCGCTTTATACTAACGTTATTACATGTGCAGAGCGTTTGCAACGACGTCAAGTTGGCATTTGTAAAAGGAATAATCAAGCAGCCAAGGATCCAACATCTATGCACGCGATTTCTTGGCGTGCTCAACAACAAACGTGACGAAGTATGCTGTCAGCTGGTGTTTGCTTGCTTGTCTGAGAGCTCGACGTTTGCTTTGCAGTACGATCTACTAGCCGCGTTGCATCCTACACCTGCAGTCTGTGGCCATCCTTCGGGTGCTGCCAAAGATGTTATAGCATGCACGGGTAACAAGCTGATCATTTCGAAGCTAAAAGTAGTCCGTTTGTGCTGTCGCAGAGAAGTTCGACAGAGGCATGTATGCAGGACCAGTGGGGTGGTTTGGTGGTCAGGGTGCTGAATTTGCCGTGGGCATAAGGTCGGCATTGGTCAGAAAGCTTAAAGGAAAAGCTGGTTGCGGAATGAATGCTGCCTACAATGACAGTGAGCGAAAGGTTGCTACCCTTCTCTTTGAAGCGCCAATGATACCTTTGGCATTCCGCTGACAGGATATGTTCCTCTACGCTGGTGTCGGCATTGTAGAAGGATCCAATTCTTCGTCTGAATGGCATGAGCTAGAGCTGAAAACAAGCCAGGTAGGTTCCTTTGATATGTAAAAACGAAATGCTTCTGACGCTGCTCAGTTTGAAGCGCTGCTCCAACCGAGCAAGCAACTCAAAGATGCGGCAAACATCAACATGGTCTGGGCCCGGCTCCTAGTCGACGAGTGCTGCAGGCTGGGCGTGACAGTGAGTTGTTGTTTGCTGCATCTAATTTGGCCTTCAGTACTTCTGTGTTGCTCCAGGCTCGCGATCATCCCCACTTGCAGAAGCTGCGGCTGCAAATCCGCGAGTAACCTGTATATCATGTGTCGACGAGAGGTCGTTAGGATTCTACGCACTTGGATATGGTCGAGGTGCGAGGAGGCCTGCAGCCGTCGTCATCACCTCTGGGACAGCAATGTCCAACCTCCTCCCAGCTGTGTGTTGAGCAAACACTCCTTGGGTTAAGTTTGTACTGTTCTCGTGTGTGTTTCAAAGCAGCGCCTTGGATAGAGTCATTAGTGACGCTTGTGACTGCAGGTGGTTGAAGCCAGTCAAGACTGTGTTCCACTGCTGATACTGTCCGCTGACCGTCCACACGAACTGAGAGATGTGGGAGCAAATCAGAGCATCAACCAAGTAAGGCTTGTTTTTGCGTTCCCTGCTTAAGAATCAATGATACGCAGGTCAAACACTTTGGAAGTTTTGTTCGGTTTGATTTTGATCTTCCTCCAGCAACCGATGAAGTTCCAGCAAGGATGGTTCTCACGACTTTAGACACGGCCATATTCCGTGCAACCACGGACCCGTACGGCCCAGTCCACGTCAACTGTCCATTCAGAGAGCCCTTGGAAGCTGTACGTACGGAGTGGGATCTGGAGTGCCTGGAGGGCCTTAGTCAGTGGATGGCAAGCGCTTCTCCTTTCACAACATACATCCCCAGCAGCACAAGCAGTCTGTTGGATGGCACTGCCACTTTGTATACAAGCAGCCAGATGAAGGAGGTGTCAAGCCTGATTGCCAGTGCCAGCCGCGGGGTGATTGTGGCTGGCGGGCTTAACCAGTCACAAACAACGTGGGCAGTTTTCAAGCTTGCCAAACATCTCAGGTGGCCGCTCGTTCCTGACGTCCTTTCAGGCCTCAGATTGGCTTCGAAAGAGGAGGACATGGACGTCAAGATAATCCACAACCTGGATCATGTCTTGCTTAACCCGAGCCTGCATCCATCCGTGGCACCCGACATCATCCTGCAGGTAAGAAGCAATTCCCGGTTTCATTTCTTGCTGAAGTTTTGGCAGATTGGCAGCCGGATCACTAGCAAACGTCTGTCGCAGTTTCTACAGGAGTGCTCTCCACGTGCTTATATTCTGGTGGAGGAGCATCCCTACCGTCATGATCCTGGCCACAGGTTGACCCACAGAATAAAGTCGTCGGCTGGCGAATTCGCGCGATTTGTTATGAAAGAGCTGACGGAGCCGGAGTTTCCCGAGCGATGTCATTCGTATGGCATGTGGCTGCACGTCCTGTCTGATACGGTAATTGAACCTTCTTTCGACGAACTTCTAAATATCTGTCTGAAATGCAAAGGTCCGGCGCGAGATTCTTTTCCAACTCCAAGCGGAAGCGACTCTAACGGAACCATGTATCGCCCGAATTGTCTCGTCCAGCATTACTACCGAGTCGGCAGTGTTCCTCGGCAACAGTATGCCGATTCGTGACGTGGACATGTATGCGGATGGTCTCACGGACCAGCAATCTCTCCTGGGCGACCAGAACCTGCCGGCGATGGTAAGCATTGGTGCAAACAGGGGAGCAAGTGGAATTGATGGCGTTATAAGCACGGCAGTGGGCTTTGCAGCCGGTAGCAACAAGAGGGTACTCAAAGCGTGTTTTACTCTTTGTATGTGCATTTATTCTTCTTGATGATGTGCTGCACAGGTCACTCTGCTAATAGGCGATCTTTCCTTTCTACACGACACCAATGGATTGATGTTCTTGACGGGGAGGTAAAGATCAAGCTGAAAGTTGATGCATTGCTTGGCAGGAAGAAAGTGGCACACTCCTGACTGACAGTGTCTTGTGATCCAGGGAAGCACAGCCTCCAGTGACTCTGGTTGTGGTAAACAACCGTGGTGGAGGTATTTTCAGTCTGCTGCCTGCAGCTGGCCTCATGCCAGCGGTCACCTTCCGCAACCTCATCTCTAGTGAGCACGACGTTCACCTGGATAAGCTCTGTCATGCGCACAGGTACCAGTCTTTCTGAGAAGACCTTGCACCATTGTTGTGTTTCTGTGCTCAGGATAAACCACATACTTGTTCAGTCCAAGGCGGAGCTTGTGAGGGCTTTACAAGATTCACGTACAAGCACTTCAAGCTGGGTGATCGAAGTAGCAAGCAACATACAGAAGAATGCCAACTTCCACAGGTAAGAATCCATCGCTCTGGCTGTATCACGAATAATAAGCTTGCAGGTTTTTGCAACAAGCAATTCATTGTCACTTGGACCGGGTTTTACCAGTTCTTTCAAGGCATGTATCTGCTGACAAGAAAATCATAGTCGCAGTAGAGACTTCCCCATACAGGTAAGTGTCGTCTCTTTTTCCATCTTGTGCGCTCTGTCATGGCCGAGCTGTCCGCAGTTTTCCCCTGACCTCCCGTCTCACCACCGGAGCTGCAGAGTTCTACAGGCAAGGCTTTCTCCTCCGACTCGTCCTTAACAATGGTTTCTCGGGATATGGCGAGGTAAGCAAACTACATAGAGATACGCTTAATGTGTTATAAGCTAGGTTGCACCCCTGCCTGGTGTCCACGAGGAGGATCTTTTGGATGTGGAGATGCAGCTTTCCATATTGTGTGGGAAGCTAACAGGGGTCGAGCTTCCCGAAAATGTGGCTCTTCTCGACGGAAGCTTCTCTCAGTGGCTGCGCACAAACTTGGGTCCACAGGTAACGAGATATTGTCGTGCTGTTGTAGAATAAATACCGGTTACGTGTCTCTCCTTGACTTTCAGGCCGAGACAATTTTTCCAAGTGTTCGATGTGGTCTGGAGATGGCGGCGCTTGAAGCTTTGGCAGCATCTCACAATTGCAGTCTCTTGAGCGTTTGCAACGGCCGTCCAAGTGACGTATCTATTTGTGGACTGATTGACATGTCGGAAGGAACCCCAGATGATGTAGCTTCCGTCGCCGAACAGCTTGTTCACGAGGGATTTACCACTTTAAAGATGAAAGTACGTACTCTGCTGTCACTTCCTGTCAACTGATTCTTGGGCAGGTTGCGAGGCGGGCGCTCCCCACACAAGATGCTGCTGTCGTGGTTGCGGTTAGACAAAGAGTTGGCCGCAGCATTCATCTCCGAGTTGATGCAAACAGGCGCTGGACACTGTCGCAAGCTGTGCAGTTTGCGGAGGCTGTGCGAGAGTGTGACATCCAGTACCTGGAGGTGATTAGCAGTCGTTGCTGATTTGGCTCTCTTTCAACTGCGGTTGACACAGGAACCGGTGAACAACCATGCCAGCTTGCCAGCATTCTTGAAACAGACTCAAGTACGTGTTGCCTTGGACGAAACGATCGATTTGAACCCCTCATGCTTTGAAAAAGTACTGGAAAGCGCACCTTTGGGCAATATAGTTGCTGCGGTGAGTGTTCTCTTATCTCGTGGTATCCCTCACGATTTGGGGTTCGTTTGCAGGTGATCAAACCGGGACGGTTGGGAGGCTTTGAGAATGCTTATATGCTATGTCGGCTATCGCTGAACCACAATATAAGGCCGGTCATCAGCGCTTGCTTCGAGAGCTCTCTTTCTCTCGCAGCTTACGCACAGTTTGCAGCCTTCGTTGATGGCCAAAGTCCGCTGCCGTCAGTGGCACACGGCCTTGGAACATATGCCTGGATCGAACGCGACGCGGTCGGGAGAAGTTTCTCTTCGATTGTAAACAAGGGAATAGTTTCCGCAGGCGCTGTGAACGCCGTGGCTTCAACACTGTTGCAGTTCAACCCACCCAAGCCTCGTGCCAGAAGCTTCACGTCAACAGTTGCCCTTGGAGGTTATTGCTTCACGTTCCGCGTTGTGGAGGTGGCCAGTATGCTCCAGGTGGGTTTCTCGCCGCGGAGCCTTTCTAACTTTGAATACAGGAAAAGCAAACTGTGGTATTCCTGCATGGTTTCCTTGGAAGTGCCGAAGACTGGTTGCCTGTAATGCATTCGCTCGCGTCCTCGTTTCGGTGCCTTGCTGTGGATCTTCCTGGACACGGGAGGGCTTCCTCAGTAACAGGGAATTTGGAGGCGGAATGGGGGTTAGACGTTTTATCAGCGGCGCTATCCGAGCTTCTGGAGCAGCTAAGTGAAGGCAGTGAAATTGTCTTGGCTGGATATTCAATGGGAGCCAGAATAGCTCTATATATGGCTCTGCACAAACATCAAAAGGTGGTCACAGCTTGTATATGTATCTCACTGTTTCTATGATTGTTATGTCAGATCAGAGCAGCTGTAATCGTATCTGGTAGCCCCGGGTTACGAGACAAGCAAGCCAGGATCATTCGAGCCACGCAAGATGATAGTTTGGCCCTTTCGTTGCGCCTAGGTGGACTGGATAATTTCGTTGTCAATTGGTACAAACGGCCTCTGTGGAAGAGGTGAGAACGAGAACTCATACTTTTTCTCTCACGGGCTTCGTCACTGTGCAGCCTAAGGCGTCATCCCGACTTTAAAAACTTGATAGCAAGTAGACTTGCGATGCATAAGGGAAATGAAGTGGCCTTAGCTGGGGCATTATCGCAACTAAGTGTTGGACGTCAACCGTGAGTTTGTTGTGCTTTGTGTTATGTTTGCTCACCTGTTTTCTTTCTTTCCTTTAGCTGCCTATGGGAGCAATTGCACACAGCAAGCATACCATTACTGGTGGTGGTGGGCAAGGCAGACGAAAAGTTCGTGAGCATTGCCAGCGAGATGGTGTATGCCTTCAAAACGTTTGATAAGGGGAGCGCTTTGAAAGTAGTTCGAATTGATGGTAGTGGCCATTGTGTACCCATTGAAAGCCCATTGCTGCTTGTTCAAGCTCTACACAGTTTTATGCTTGGAGTTGGATTGAATTGAGTATTGCAATGCTATTTATGCCGAAGAAGTTGCAAGAACTTTCATTATGATAGTCTTCTTTTCATACTTATGTAGAAAAAGTTAGGATAAGTCACCCAATTGAAACTAAAGGTTAATGACATTTCAAATGGTCTGGTTGATAGGGTATTATTTGGGGTTTAGTACATTTGTTTTGCATTTGATTTGGCTAATTTCTGTACCATATTAACTAGTGGAGTATTTATATTTTTGTATTAAGTGCTGAAATAATGCCAAACTATGTTTGGCTCTGTTTTACATATTAATCTTGGTGTTGGGATGCATTTCAATGAGTATTATCTAGTGTATACACAAAGAACCAAGTGGGTACACATTTGGTTATTATAACTTCACATACGTATGGTTGGCAAGTTTCCTTTCTCTAAAATAAAATAGAATGATATTGTATTATTTTGTACCACCTTGTATATCCTTGTTCTACATTCAGTTTAAGTTTAATCCTAAATTTCATACTATATTAGTTGTTCGAATACTTATAGCTTCGTGTTAGGCCACCAGTATATTAAAATTATGTTAAACTATATTTGGTTTTGTTTTATATGCTGTATACTGAGAAGTTTGGTCTATACATTAGTTTGGGCTATACACTTAGGAATATTTTTATTGGAAATGATCACTTCAAATCTGGTATGGATGGCAACATTGAGTAATTACAGGTTATTTTTTATATACTTAATAATGATATAGTATTTAACTTAAAAAATAATTATAATCTTTTCATTGTCTTTATAAGAATAATATAGTATTATTATAAATAAAATATGAGGAGGCATAGCATAGTCTAGGGAGATTAAATCCTTGTTTTTAAGGGTCTGTGGGGGGTTCCAAATGTATAGTAGTAGGGATAGTGGGTATGGCTGACCAACTTGAGATATAATCTAGTTCCCACTTGTGTGTTTATCTTTGTTCTGCGTTCGGCTTGGGTTTAAGCCCAAGTTTTACACCATGTTAGCAGTGGAGTACTTACATTCTCGCGTTAGGCCATCGATATGCTGAAATAATGCTAAACTCTGGTTAGCTCCATTTTGCATGTTGGTCTTAGCATTGGAATGCTAGATACTCTAAAATTGTTCTAAGTCACTTCATGATTCTATTCCTTCGCTCCTTGGGCTAAATGTTCAAAAGTCACTCCATGCTCTAGTTCTTTCGCTTTTTAGCTACAAGTTTAGGAGTTTAGCTCCATTCCTTCATTCAGTGGCCCAAAGCCTTGAAACTCGAGTTCCACTCCACTGTCCTTTGAACACATGATATATGGTATATAATATGTAACACATGGCATATAGAGGGTTTAGGTTCCACTTTATGGTTATCCTATGGTAAATTACCATAGGAGAAAGGGTGAAAACCACATGCACTACACACACTAACAAAAAGAGGGAACAAAAGAAAGATTGATCAGGAACACCTTTGTCTTTAAAATGTCTACTATGGGCCCTACCTCTAGTGTAGATCTTGTTTCTCGAATAGATATGTCTAAGTCGAGTGACCTTGCTAATGTATAGGTACATTTTGTCAACCAAGATTTACTTATTTATTCTCTATAAAATCATAAAATCCAGTTTTGATATACTCAAAATTGGAAAAGAGTGAGTTTATTAATAGGAGTATATTTCTAGATCAAGTCATTGGTTAGTAAGGGTGCCCCTTTGTCTTCAAAAGGTCTACTATAGGCTTTGCCTCTAGTGTAAATCTTGTCTCTCGAATGGATATGTTTGGGTCGAGTGACTTTATTAATGTATAGATACATTTTGTCAACAAAGATTTACTTATTTATTCTTTATAAAACCATAGAGTCCAATTTCAATATGCTCAAAACTAGAAAAGAGCAAATTGGGGTGTTAACATGGAAAAACAAGTGTTACAAAGAAAAGAAGGAAACAAAGGGGAAAGGGGAAAAGGGGTTGGAATGGTGAAATTGCGAAATGGTTGGCTCAGTTGAGTATTTGGTCGCCAGTTGGATTACAAGTCTGACAAGAATAGAAAGAGAGGCTACACGATTGGCCGGTCGTACAACTCCTTGATCCACACTAAGAACTTGGCCGTCAACAAAAATGAAGGTGGGTAAGGATGGCATAGGCCACAGAATTAACAAAAACCCAAAACAAGTGAATGCATTAGTACAACAGAAAGTAAAACTGAGTGAAAACTAAATGCATCTCGGTGTTGATCCCGGAACACAGAGTAGGAAGTCAAATCTCACAAGCAGTTGATAAAGAAAAGTTTCACAGAGCTTTCCTTTGTGCAGAGTAGAGATGGGATAAAATTCTCACTCTCACAACTAAGTCCTTGGCAACGTGTCCGTGCTTATCGCCATGGTCCTTTTGGGTTTGTGTCTGCAATACGGATGTCATCATCTAGCAACCACTCCTGGTAACCGCTTCCAGGTCATTTGTACCCGTCCGGTGTTCGAGTCTATTGTAGAGTTGCTGCTGTAGAGTGTTGAACCGAGATCGCTGAGAAACTGAAGTTGGAGTCGTTGGGTTGGAACTTGGGCAGTTGGACCTTGAGTCCAACTGTTTGGGACTTAGCGGCATTTTGATGTTTGAACTTGTGCTGCAGAATATTCCTTCTGTCCGACTTTTTCCTTTATCACGCTCCCAGACTTAAACGACACTCCGTCCTCGGAGTGTGTCGACTGCTTGATCGATGTGCCTTCCTTTTGTACTTTTTTTTTCATTTTTATGTGAAGCAATTTTCTCATGTAAATAGTTTTCTTTATTTCTCTTAGGTTCGAGCAGAAAGGAACTTGATAGACCTGACAGAAGTGAGCTTGTACCAGGTGAATTCCCCCTCTCAGTGTCCCTTGGTGCGAACAGGAGGGCGCAGCATGTTGCTGAAAAACTGCTCATACCGTGCATTGGTCTCTCAGAGTTGGCGCAACTCCTCACGCTCGCGCTCCGACAGATTGGTGATGGCTGTGAGGAGCTGTTCGTGGTGTTCTTCGATGAACTTCTGTACTCCAATCAGATGCCCCTCGAACTGGGACACTTTCTCCTCCATCGTACGGAGTCTTCCTTCCAACTTCTGGCCGATCTCCTCTTCGTGGGCCAGCGTCAGTAAGATCTGCGCCGTGTCCTTGTACGGTTGGCGACGAGAAGGTCGAGCTTCTTGGCGTGGTTCCTCTTCTCCATCACCGCGGTGTTTGTGGTGTTCACCCTTGCCGTTGTGGGGTGGGGAACGTGCTCGCTTGCGTGTCTCATCCTGCCGACTTGACAAGCGCTCCACCTCCATGGGTCGCACGTTGGGTACAGCCTCCTGCTGTCCGTTCTCCGGCAGTGGTGCCGGTGGTACACGCTCCAACACCTGATGTCGTCCCATCTCCTCTTCGGCGTTTGGGTCGGTTGGATGGAGCAATACTTGGGCAGGCTCCGGTTCCGGTTCTTGAGCAAACCCACCCCACGGGTCCGCTGGAACTTCCTCCTCCCGTCCTCCCTGGTGGTGCTCTTGCTCCGTATCCGTCACCTCCATGGCTCTGACTACCGGTATCTCGAAAGGTGGTGCAGAACTCCATAGGGGAGTTGGGGAGTTTGCAGAAGCGGGGTGGACAGGTATTACCTCGATGTGAGCTCCTCGGGGTGTAGCGGGCAGTTGCACTGCTGCTGAACCACCTACTCCTCAGCCTCCCGCTTTCTTGGCCCTTGGCTCCACTGGTGCTTTTCCTGTCCTCGCCCTGCAAACTTCTTGTGCAAGTTGCCTTTCTTGATTTACTTGCTGACGTGGGCAATCCCAGTCCATCAACACCGTTCTTGGAGTTGGCGTGGATGGGTTACCATGCTGCTGCTTACGTGTCATAATGATCTGGATGATCTGTGGTGGGGTATCCAGTCGCGGAACCGGATGTGTTCGGGCCGTCTCGTCGAAGTAGAGCTGAACTCCCTCCTTGGACAAGGTGTCGATGTACAGTCCACCCCATCCTGATCCTGCGGCTGGTCCATCTTCTTCACCTGTGTCCGTCTCTTCCTCTTCAATCCCCGTGACCACTCGGTCTGTGGGTTCCCCCAGCTTTAAAAGTCGGAACAGGCCATCCTCCTCCGTCTCCACACGCTTGAGGAACGCCATAGTTGTCCGATGATCCGGGATGTCGGTCAGCATTCTGTAGGGCCGAAACTTGTAGTAGTCCCCAACCCTCAGATCAAGGAATGTAGACATGTGAGCCAGAAATGGGTAGAGGATGGTGTCGCCACCATTGTTCTTCATCATCAACTTCCTCGCCGTCTTGACTACTTGGAAAAACGACCCCTGAAAAATCATAGCCCAGTTCATGAACCAATTCCGATCCGCTGCGATGAACGCCCACAGCACGTTGACGGGGACGCTCTTCGGGTTGTTCCTGCAACCCATGATCACGCTAAGAGGGCGAAGTACTGCTACCACCTCGGCACAGAACTCGGATAGCTGCAGCCCCCTGGTCTTCATTCTCCTTGCGAGATGTTCCTCCCAGGTCGTCCCCTACTTCAGGTATGGCCTATACTCGTTGTAGATCTTCGACAGCGGCTCCTCCATCTCATACACCTCATTGGGGAACTCGAACACCTTGCTGAAGAACTTGTTATTCAACAGGATCAGATGGTTCCCCTGCTTGGATCCATCGCCATCATCATCTGCGAGTAAAACCGCTCTTCCTCCGGAGATGGTCCGATCAACCCTTCTCTAAGCAATTTGAAGTTACCTCCCAGTTTGCGGTCGTTGAACCAGGCACTGTCGGTGTTCTTCCCCTCGCACCTTGCCTTCTTCGCCTTGAGCGGTAGGAGAGAAGAACTTGCGATTGCCGTCATCCTGGTTGTGTTTTCTCTGATGGTGAACACTGTCAAAAATGCAACCGTTGGCTCCGACTTAGAAACCCTAATCGTGTTTTCCTCCGTCGGAACTTCTTTTGGCTTTTCCTCCCATAAACGACGATTCATCCTGACCATGCCAACGGTTGAGGTCCCACTTTGGTTGCCCACAGAAAAATAATTGGGACTTAATATCTTGGCCACCGTGCAGTGAAATTAATCGTCTTAATTTG